TCCCTTCATGGTAAACTGAAATTATCACCTTAATATCACTAAATTGATCCATAATCCAAATATAATAAAATGCCCATAGTTCTGCATTAGCCTTCATCTAGAGCATGCTCTCTTGCATATCCATTAAGCACATATATTTTTATTTAATTTAAATGGAAATTAGTGAATATATGCATGCCTAAGCTCTTCAAAAGACCCATCACGTATGAAAAGAAGCTATTAATGTGTATTTATTTTACACACAGACCCATAGAAACTAACATTCTGATTTGTGATTAGAGAAAAATTCATCCCCTCCCTTCTCTTCATCGTGATCTTGGTGCTCTCTGCTGATATTCTCGATGGTGCAAAAGTCCACTGGTGAATTTGATTCCAGAGTTAACATGCTCATTCTGCTTCAGGGGATTTGCTTGAGTTGCCAAAGATCAGGCTTGAAATAAACCAAGTACTTGATAATGTCACCCCTCTGCTCTTTCCACCTGGATTTTCTGCGGGCCACCCACTCCATAAATGAGACATGACCTAATTTGCACAAAATAAACACCGAATCTGAAACCAGCTCTAGCCTGACACTTGCAAACAGATCTAGTGGCCTTTTCCAACCATGAAGAAAGCTCCTCTATTTTCGGCCCAACAATCAGAGCGCCACTTCAAATTCTTTTTTTTTTTAAATGATATTTATTGAGAATTTTAAAGTTACAAAGAAAAAAGAAAAAAAAGAAGGAAAAAATAAGAAAAAGAGAAAGAAAAGAGTAGATAAAAGTAACAATTAAACAATACAAATCTATAAAAACCAAAATCAAAAAGAAAAAACAAAACACACAATGCAACACAATCAAAAAACAAAAATATACAACAAATTTAAAAACAAATCCAATATTCCCAAATCCTTAACTTTCATTAACTTATTTCATCGACCTCCTCACACCTCCCTTTTTTGTATTCTAGTTGTTGATTATCTCAGCAAATCCTTTCCATCTTTCACAGTATTCTGTCATTAAATTACCTTAATCTATTTTAACCTGATCTTACCATAAAAAACCTTAAAACTTAAAACTTAAATCTTATTTATACCGAATTCTTTTAACCATAACATATTCTTACATAATTCTTTTTAACATTTCTGCTAAAGCCAATTAATTTCATTCCAACATTTTTCTGATACTCATTAATTTTGCAATACTTTTCTAAATAAATTTTTTAAAACTTTCTTCCAATCTTCATCCATCGTCTCTTCTCCTGGTCTCGGGTTTTGTCAGTCATTTCTATCCCATCCATCTAGTCCATCAACCTGGTGACCTTATATCCGAGGCTCTTAAGTCTTTTCCATGTTCCTTCCACAGGTCTTCTTCATGTTTATACCTGTACTTTACTTTGTCTTCTGCTCCTTTCACTCTGGGAGACTCCAACTTGACAATATTTTTGTCCCTTCTCGACAAGTCAGCCCCTTTTCCATAGTCAACACTGAAATCCATGTGGTATTTAAAGGCATGTTTCAAGGCCCCTCCAAAATTAGGGGCCCCCACAACTCTGAGCTCCCCCCAGCCTAAAGCCAGACTTGAAAAATCAAAACATCTCTGCATAGGGGGGTCCATCCAGCCCCCCATCTCCAAACCAAGCAGAACTCCGTCTCTCCAAATCTGACTTTTTCCAGGCTCATTCATCAAGTCCAACGACTCATGTTCCTGCTGGGCCACAACTCCCTCCATCTCTGCCACCCGAGGTCCAGCAACAGCCTCCTCCCTCATCTCATCTGTCAAAGCACATTCCTGGATTAATTCCTGAGTGGGTTCTATATAGGTACCCACTGCCTGTCCAAAATTTCCTATCGCAACTGTCATCAAATCCATTTTCTCATGTAACTGTTCCAATAAAGCACTTGTCTTGCAAAAGGCAAGCACCAGAGCTTCTGAGCACATTCTTGTTCAAGGTCGAAATCTGGTCTCACGATCTTAATCTTTTACAGCTGCAAAACTCCCCAGTTCGACTTTAATAACAGTTTCACAAGCTCCCTCTAGGGGAAACAATTTCTATTTGTATCCATCTTTTTTTCCTTCTTTTTTTTTAAAGGCAGATTTAGCAACAAAGTTTTCCTTTTTCGGATATTTTGTCAAAATTTTGTTCCTTTTAAAAGCGAAAGGGAACAATGGAATCAATATGTTTCTGTTCTTTTAACTACCTGTCAAAGACGTTTGTCCATAGTCAATGAGCTTCTCCAAAACGTCTGTCTTGACACCCCGCTCCCAGGTTCAAGACGGTGGAAAATTACCTTTCTTTGCTCTCTCTTCTGCAGGTTTAAACAGTCTTAAAAAAAAAGGTTCTCCTCTTCTCCTGCTTCCAAGGGGGGGTTCAGTAATTTTAAATGATGAAAATTTAGTCCTTTACAGACGACTTTCTGAACTCTAGCTTGCCGTGTCTTTGCTTCAATCTATCTACAAAAGTGGAAGGCGGACTTCCTGTTTAGACCTTCCCGCTTTCAGTGCCTAATTAATAAATTTCACAGTCCAATTTTCCGTTCTACTCACGGGCAGTTGTTTGAAATCCAATTGTCCACAGGAAAAAGTCAGCGCTCTCCGGCAACAGCAATGTGGCTTCACTCCATGAAAGAAGCAGTCGATTCAAAGCACCGCGCCACTCACCCCACATCGCTCCGGATCCCCAAAACCGGGTTTCCCCACGAGTGGAGGGGGCGCAAAGGTGCCAGCTGAATCCCACGTCCACAGGCTTCTCCCGCCTGTGGTTTTTGATGGGTCTCCGCCTCGCCGTGGCGGTTCAGACCCTGATTTCCACGGAGCGGGTTCCTCCCGATCGGAGGAAATCCGCCATTGCCAGAGGCGCCAACCCGGAAGTCTCCAAATTCTTTCCAAAATCAGTTGGATTGGTGTGTGCAAAATGATATGAATGGCCGTATCTTGAGTGGTGGGTCCAAGTCTGATGACTCCTTCCCATGACTATACAACTTTTGTGACCCACCAAGCCAAACACAGCCATATCACCCATGTTTGACAGCTCATGTGTCCTTTCTAAACCTCCTCTATTGGCTGCCTTGCTGAGATTTCCACTGGAGCAGAGGGGATTTTAACCAGTCGGCAACCCATGGGTGATGGCCTGTGTTTATTAGATACAAATTGTTATCATTATTATTTAGGCTGGGATTCAACTAATGAGCCCCATCAGCAGAAGCCCTGCACAAGGACTTCTGCTCACACAACGGGGCCTTTCCCCCTCTCCATCCCCCATGTCCCCCCCAATTGAACCAGTCACTGCCTCTCAACCTACCTCACAGGGTTGGTTGCTGTGGGGATTAAATGAAAACATGTACATCACCTTGCACTCCTTGGAGAAAAAGATGGGATACAAATGCAATGGGTTATATAATAATAATAATTTATTATTTATACCCCGCCCATCTGGCTGGGTTTCCCCAGCCACTCTGGGCGGCTTCCAACAAAACACTAAAATAAAAAACACTAAAATACAATAATGTGCTTATTGCAATGGGCTGCCCTTGAAGACAACTCACAAACGTCAGCTGATGCAAAACACAGCAGCCAGATTACTGGCTGTCTGGGGTTCCATTTAGATGGTAAATCATATAATCCCTGTTTTAAAACAGCTGCACTGGTTGCCAGTTCATTTCCGTGCCCAATTCAAGGTTCTCACATTGGTGTTTAAAACGCTAAACAACTCAGGGCTCAAATATCTGAAATATTGCCTCCTTCCCTGCAGTCTCTCTTGTGTGCTGAAATTGGCAAAAGGTGCCCTCTTAGTACTTGCTCAGAGGCTCGGGGGTGGCAGCTCAGGTGGGGGTCTTCTCTGTGAATTTCTTCTCCCCAAAGGTGAGTCTGGTACCTTCATTATACAGCTTCTGGGATTGCTGAAGATGCACCGCTTTATCCTGACTTTTGACCCTTGAGGTATAAGTTTTTAGGACCCATTTATTTTCATGGTCTTAAGTTGTTTCAAATTGTTTTTAATATTGATTTTAATGCTGTAACCCGGCCTGGGACTTTAGGGTGAAGGGCAAGTAATAAAGAAATTAATAATAAAAAAACCAGGTGTGATTAACCATAATTTGGTGAGTGAACAGATGTCCGTACACTAAATGACCAAATGTAGTACAGCAATAAAAGAAAGTTGAAACTTCCACTAAATCAGATAAAATGTTGATAGGGCATATGAAATTCAACATTAGGCTGTCCAGTAGATTTAAAGCACTAATTTGCTCTACCATGTTATTTTTGAAACACATGGTAAATTCTTCTAAACTTTTTGAATCTGACATTGCCTCCAGAATTCCCTTCTCCTGGGTTTTTGTGTGATATATTGGCTCCACCTAGCGGTTCTCAATTACATTGGTCAGTACTGATCCTGTGGACGATGTTTAACAAAGAATTAAGAGTTTCACCAATGCATCACTCTGATTATTACTTAAGAGTTTCAGCTTAGTTTATTGCTTTTATCAAATTTTATAGCAGGTTAAATATACAATAATTAAATCAGAAATGCTTCAAGAAAGAGGGATTGTGCCAAGGCAATTTTAAAGGTTTAGGCAGAGAGTGTGTGCGCGCACATTGCAGCGAGGAGTGCATTTTGTGGTTTGCCTCAGGTTACAAAAAGTCTTGGGCCGGCCCTGCCCACAAGTGAATCCGTTCTGGGAGTTGGTTCTTACAGAAATGAGTGTTCTAATAAACTGCACAATCACAACTGATCCGCAACTGGATCTACTTTCAGTTTCTTGTGAGAGGAAAATATATACAGATCCATGTGGACCCACTTGTGTGAGTGAACAACAAAAAGAATTGTCTGGGTTAGCATGCGGAGAGCCCAATAGCAGAGTATTAAATCCACAAAAATAGGCAGCACAATGAAGCATTAGGCATGTGGGTTGTAAGACTTTTCTTACCCTGCTTACAGTGCCCCCCTTTTTTGACCCCTTTCACACAACACATACCACTCACTGCTTTACTTACAAATATATAAATATATGTTTTTTTAAATGTCCAGTAGCACCTTAGAGACCAACTAAGTTTGTTCTTGGTATAAGCTTTCGTGCGCATGCACACTTTCACAAAACCTTATACCAAGAACAAACTTAGTTGGTCTTTAAGGTGCTACTGGACAATTTTTTGATTTTTTATATATATTTCGACTGCGTCAGACCAACACAGCTACCTACCTGAATGCTTTACTTACAGATTCATAGGTCTGATACATGTGTTGTTCCATGCAGCTGCATGGAGAAACACAGGCAAATACTCTTGAATAGAAAATACAGAATATAGTCCCAGACCCGTGCTCTTAAGTTTGGGAGCAAGTTAACACATGCCTCCAGATGCAGAGAGAGAGAGAGAGAGAGAGAAAGGTAGGTTTCACTTCCTCCTTCTCCAGAGATGGTGTGTGACCTAACTGAGTCTGTCCAGCTACACATCAGCCTCGAAATCTTACTGAATTGGAGAGGATCTGCAAAGAGGAGTGGGACAAAATACCTCCCGAGATATGTGCAAACCTGGTGGCCAACTACAAGAAACGTCTGACCTCTGTAATTGCCAACAAGGGTTTTGCCACCAACTACACAGTCCTCTTTTGCAAAGGGATCAAATACTTATTTCACTCATTATAACGCACATCGATCTCTGACTTTTTGTCTTCTGGGTTTCTGGGGGTTTTCCTGTTGTTATTCTGTCTCTCACATCTACAATAAACCTACCATTAAAATTATGGACTGGTCATTTCTTCGTCAGAGGGCAAATGGGCAAATTTAGCAGGGGGATCAAATACTTCCCCCCCCCCTCATTGTATAGTGAGAGGGTGGGGAGGGGTATTACTCAGAAGGGTGGTGGGAATGGGTGATGGGCTGATAGATGTGGTAAACCAGTTGACGACTGTTAACGAATGCAATTAGACTGCATTTCTGAGGGTTCAAACTTGGATAGCCCAAAGAGTTGGTAAAATTCATAGTAATAGCATAGGGGAGGCTGGGAGAGAGAGAGAATTTACTTCTTCCCAATGGCAGCTGTGTCTAAATCCTGGACTTCTCCCATTGTTTCCTAATAGGGTGTCAGCCGCTTCCTTGCAGCTTCCAAATTTCCTGGGGAAAATAAATTTAGACCAGGCTGCGATTTTCATTCTTACACCCTGACCCACCCACCTCCCCACCTCCTATAGGGCCTGCATGGTTTTTTGCAGTCCGATCCATCATGTCTACGCAGAAGTAAGTCCTCGTGTAAGTCGATCGGGTCTTACCTTAATTGTTGTTAATAGGAATTCCAGACTAAGACCGAATAAGGAGCTCTTTCTGCAAAACGGGGAACGGGGAACTGGAAGCGGCGCTGCTTGGAACAGAATGAATTTATTTGTATGTTATGATGATTTTCAGACTATCTGGTAGAAATCGCTCTTTTGCAGTGAGAAGCGAAGTAGACATCTGCACAAACCCAAACCTTGAAAAGCGTATAGGTGAATCTGAGCTGGATTTTGTGATTTAAAGAACCCTTTTTAGAGACGGCCGGGTGGGGGCGAATGCATTGCAACAATAAGCCGTCCTTGGATTTGCTTTTTTAGCTGGACATCACACAATCATGTTTGTGGGGGGGAAATATCTCTCTCTTCAGGTCCACAAGGAGAATTGCTTTGGAAAACTTCCCCGGGGACGCACGATTCGGCTGTGTCTCTGCTTCGGGGCTGTAGCTTTCTTTCTTTTTTCCCGGCGTTATGCACACAGCGCTTGGGGGGATTTTTTAATTAAAAGCTTGCTTTTCGAGTCTTCGCGACAACATCGATCTAAGAAGTCGATAAAATGGTAGAAGCATCCGGGTAGCATAGAACAGTACCATTCATTTGTATCAGCAGAACTGATAGGTGGCTCCATAGCTCAGTGGTTAGAGCACTGGTCTTGTAAACCAGGGGTCGCGAGTTCGATCCTCGCTGGGGCCTGGGCGTTTTTTTCTCTCCTTTTCCTCTTTTTTTTCTTTAAGAACTTACAATTTAATGCAAAACGTTTAGTGCAAGATTTGAAGCTCGTTGATACAGCTCTGTGGAAGTCAAGACTGCTGCCCTTCGATCAACGTAGAAGAAAAAGTGGGGAGGGACCACTATGGGTTTTTTTTTCCTCTACAGCAGGAAAAAATAATTTTATTAATATTTTTTTAAAAAAACAACAACCATAAATCATATTTACGTTCTGAACGCCTGCTTCAAAAGTGAAAATTACTCTTAAGAGTTTGGAAGGTTCGAAAGGACAGCGGGGAGGCGTCGCTGGTTGAAAGGCTGCAGTTTCAGGTGTCTTTCCAGCCTAAAGCCAGCAGGTGGCGCTAAAGGACAAGGAATCTGCGCGGGTCTCCGAAGTGAGAAAAGATCCCTGGAAAAAGAGCCGGATTTATCCTGGGCGGGGGGCGTTGCGCTGGGGAGCAAGCCATGTGCTTCCAATGGATGGTTGTGTACGCAGCCTTATTGGGAGCATTTGAGGTCTCCCCGAAGTGGTACTTCAACCACGTGGCACAATCCGAGTGAATCTCCGCTTCAGAGACCCAAAGAGAAAAAATGTGTTATACTGCTACTGTATTCTTTATTATGTAATAAACTCACGAAGAAGTATTGTATATCCCCACCCATTAAGACTGGTGATCAGGCAGCCTGGACCACCTGGGACAAGTTTAACTGGGGGACGGGGAGGGAATTAATATTTTCTTAATTTAGTAATATTGCACAGGCACTTTGCTTTCCTGTGTTAGATATACAAAGCGCAACAGGCTGAATAATAATAACTTTAAGCATTTTATTGGTTATTTCCTAACGTAAAGGTCTAGCCCAGTATGTGCAACGTATACAGTTCATATGTACGGTATATAACCTATGAGACTAATTCCATTATTAATACATTTCTTCTTTTCTTACTGTTTCTTCTTGTAAGTTCCTGTATAACACAATCCTTCGGTAAAAATAGAAAAGTCCTCAAGGTAATGAGTAGATCGTCAGTGTGTATAACAGGTACATAAGTAATTATTATACATGAATGGTTCTCAGTAGTAAAGATACTGAATTTGTTTTGACGTTTTTTTCTGCGTTAGATGGCAGCTAAAAGCTTTTTTTTATAGCAGCATGTCTCTTCCAGACATTGTTTAGTTATGTATAATGGTTTTTAACATTTTATCTGTGTTTCATGGCTAGTTGTTTTACACAGTTATGTAACCTGCTTAGGTGTTTTTTATTAAGTGATTTGTATTATTTTTTTCTAAATAAGGATACATTATCTAGTTGTATGGTGCTAAATGAGAGATGCATCCGTTCCTGCAAGTCAAACATTAGTGTGGTGGAACAGGCTGAAAATGCATTGGAATTATGGCAGTCATAATGTGAAAAAATGAAGGAGGCAGCAAAGATGCCTTCCTTGCCTTGCTTGATTTAGGGATGGCCTTAGTCTGACCCTGGAAAGTCATTCTTAAGCCCTTGCCCACTACTAGACATAAGGTTTACTGCAAAGCATAGCTTATTATCCTAATTGTTCCTTTCCTACCCATATCCAAACACAGGTGAATTCCCACCCCCCAATACTGGTGCATTTGGAATTTGTATCTGTGATAGTACGCTCTGAATCCCAGATGTCCAGGAATATTGTACACCTGCATTGGGTGTTGATAGGATGTTGTCTAATAAAGTGACCAGGTGAGACCTACAACAAAAGGTCGCAGCATTTAAGTGCTTTTGTTGAAACATTTTTTGCCTTGTAAGAGAATCACACAAATAGACACACTTTGATTTATTTGTTCTCATCCAGTATTTTATTATAGGGAGAGAGAAAACACGTGTGCTTTAGAATGTATGTTGCAACTGATAAAAGAAAATCAACTGCCCAGTATCATCAAAATATCAGACTGGGCAATTTAGTTAATTCTGCTCCCTGTAGTTAATTCCTTAGAAGGTTTGCATTTTATTAGACTGTTCAGCCATTGAAATGCAGCCAATGTTCCTTGCTTACTAACCTTTTGAGATACAGCCTTGCTCTCCCCGAGACAAAAGTACCACAGACTTATTAACCTCGCCATCTTTTCAGTGGTGCTTTTTGCCATGCAAGTCGATGGGGGAACTGAATTTCCCGAAGAGGGTGCAAATCAGTTGCTGCTTCACACAGCCAAAGCAATCCCACTGGCATTCCTGTAGAACTATACTGCTGTAAATGGCCACCGCGTCGCCTCCTTAAACTGATTAAACGGTCATCGGAGTAAGATTTCTGCAAAGCAACAACCTGGAATCCATCTGGGGCATTTAAACTCCTCATTAAGCGAATGGCTGCATCTGCCACAGTGGCCTAGCAGCTGCTTGCTTTTCCTGGAGCGGAATGCTTTCATTCATATACATATATATATTTATTTGGCGTGTAAACTACACACTGATCTCACTCTCTTACTAAGAGCGGAACGGAAGCAAGTTGCCCAGCAACTTCATCTATATTCACATAACTGGTGTATACTGGAAGTTCAAGCAGCACTTCTTAAGCCGGACCTCTTTTTCTTCTTCTGCATTTTCTCCTTAGCCGCTGACTTCAGCTTTGGAACCTGTTTCTTTTGGGCTCTGGTTAACCGGGAGCCTTTTTTCTTTGGCGGGGAGGTCGTCACCGTCGCTTTCGAGACCCGTGGAAGCCTCGCCTTTTGCGCCGTTCTGTCCGACTTCCTCTTGGATCCCTGGGCCTTGGGGGTTTGGGTCATTTGCTGCTTTCTGCCAGACCTGGAAGCCTTCGCTCCCTTACGTTTAGTAGGGTCTTTGTGGGAGACAGGCTTCTTGGACCTTTGAGTGGAAGAATTTGGGGGCGGTTCAGTAGCATTGAAGGCTGTTTTGGGGGGACGGGTTGTAAGACGCTCTTTAAGCAGTTCAAGGACGGTTTCTGTGAAAAGACATTTTAAGAGGTTACCATCCTTGTTTCAACAGGTTGAATTACGATACGATACGATAATCTTTATTGTCATTGTGCCATACAGAACAACAAAATTGGGGGGGGGGGGAATCTACATAAGACCTTTAAAACCAACAAGCCTGCTATCTCAGCTATCCCAACCTGGTTAGCCCCCTAAAAACTCTGATACTCCTTTTTTAAAATACAATATACTCCCATAGAGACTCCTTACACTGCATTTAAAACCAAAATCGCATTTGGATACAAACTGTTTCTCAGGCAGCTAGTCCTAGTCTTTATAACCCTGTACCTTCTCTTCTAGAAGGCAGAAGCTGAAAGAGATCATTTCCGGGGTGTGCACTATCATGCGCTATCTCTGCAGCTTTCTTATGGCACCTGGAAACATAGATTGGATCCAAGGTGGGAAGAGTGCACCCAGTTATTCTCTCCGCAGTCTTTACAACCCTGGACAGCATTGTTTTTCCCTGACCATGCAGCTCCCAAACCACACACACAGACCATAAGTTAATACACTCTCAACAGTACAATGGTAAAATGCCATCAACAGGTCCTTTGAGAGATTGTTTTTCCAGAGGATTCTCAGAAAATATAACCTGCTGCGCTCTCTTCATCAGGTCTTTGCTGTTTTCTCCCCAGGTTAGGGGAGCAGCGATACAGAGCAACTTAAGATGGTGGGTGGGAAAGGAACAGAAAAGATTATTTATATATGTGACAACAGCAACGCGGACACTACTAGTCCAGAGATGGAAAGAAGAAATAGTCCCTACCAGAGAGGAATGGCAAACCAAGCTGTTAGACTACGCCAAAATGGCAAAACTGACCGGAAAGCTCAGGGACCAAAAAGACAAAAACTTCAAGAAAGAGTGGAAAAAATTATAATTTATTGAGGAGACCGCTGTAAGCAGATGGAAACATTAGCAGGATTTTAATCTCGCTTGTAATGTAACAAATACTATGGACAATATGGATAGATATAAAATATAGATTATGAAATAATATGCAGTTGAGAAGGTTGACAATAGGACCCATGGAGGGGAAGTCTTGAGATTCAGAGATCTCTCTTTATATGGATATGTTATTTGGTATTGTTATAAATCTATATTTGTAATATCAAAAACGATTTTTTAAGAATGGTGGGTGGGGTGTCATTATCACAGAACTTTGCAACATTGCCTGAACCCCTCAGCCACCCTTAACAATAGCACCCCTGCCTTGAGTCAGTCTATCCCTCAGCCTCACCTACCTCACAGGTTTGTGGTAAGGATAAAATGGAAAGGGGGGGGGGACTTGGGAAATATTCTGAGCTGTTAGGAAGCGATTTGCTGGCTTGTGTAATCCACCCTAAGCTTCAAACATTTAGTTTTGGGGTGAGGAGCCATTGACCAGTGCAGAGTTTCCCAAACTTGGGTCTCCAGCTGCTTTTGGACTACAATCCCCATCATCCTTGACCACTGGTCCTGCTAGCTAGGGATGATGGGGGTTGTAGTCCAAAAAACAGCTAGAGACCCAAGTTTGGGAAGCCTTGGACCAGTGAGCCAAAGTTGGGATTTTGATTAGGCCCACAGGGCCAACCCTTGAAAACCACGCCCACCTGCCCCCCCACCTGATGTCATCAAGTGTGGAGCAGGTACCCATGTAGCCACATGGGACTACAACTCCCATCATAAAGAAATGATCGAGAGCTTAAAGTGAGCTCCAAATTGCTCTTCTGCAGGAGCAAGACTTGTCCCCCCTGTTCATCAGCTGACGGAGAGCAGGAACATGCCAAACACCAAGTGGTTTGCACTCAAGCCGCTTTGAAAATGGAAGAGAAAAGGTTCATTTTAGCCGGCACAGACCCGCCTAGTATCCCTATTTTCCAGGGACATCCCTGATTTAGAGAAGCCATCCTGGTTTCTGATTTGATCCCAGAATGTCCTCCTTTTCCTTAGGATGTCCCTATTTTCCTTAGAGAAATGTTGGCGCGTATGGCATTATCCCGACCCCCGAGCCGTCTGAAGGCAATCCTGTATAGGGCAGGTTTTTTAAGTGTTTAATGTTTTATTTTGTTCTTATATAGTGGTACCTCGGGTTAAGTACTTAATTCGTTCCGGAGGTCCGTTCTTAACCTGAAACTGTTCTTAACCTGAAGCACCACTTTAGCTAATGGGGCCTCCTGCTGCTGCCGTGCCACCGGAGCACGATTTCTGTTCTCATCCTGAAGCAAAATTCTTAACCCGAGGTACTATTTCTGGGTTAGCGGAGTCTGTAACCTAAAGCATATGTAACCTGAAGCGTATGTAACCCGAGGTACCACTGTATATGTTGGAAGCTGCCCAGAGTGGCTGGAGCAACCCAGTAAGATGTGTGGGGTATAAATAGTAAAATTATCATTATGGAATGGGACCTCCCTATTTTCATCGGTGAAATGTGGAGGGTGTGGGCGGTTTCAGTGACAACTTGGACTGGTATCCAATCCACCTTTCGACGGGGGTGGGGACAGATAAGGGTCTGGTCCCCCCAGGCTCAAAAGTTCACCTCTGATTCAGACAGATAGAACAGAATATATACATTCAGACTGGAGGGTTTTGTTGTTTTTTCGTATTCTGAAACAAGTCAGTGATACAGTACTATTGCATTAATGATGGTGGATTTACATTGGAGTGTCCACACATCACATGACTTTTTTTGTTGTTCTGCAATGCTTCCCCAGCGATACGGTATTAGTGTCGCCTAGAAGGACACTGGTGGACTACAGCACAACAAAAGCAAGCCAATTCCTGCCTCCCCACCCCCCAAAAAAACCCCACAAATCCTAGAACATTTGTTGCGCCAGTTGGAAACCTGGCAGTATGTCCATTGCAAAAGCGATTGCAGGTGCAAACGGTGTCAAAACGTGATTGTGTATAACCACCCCAATACCATCATGAGCAAAATAATCACAAGTGTACAATAAAGAGGGGGGGTAACTAAATTGATAATTGATTGATTGTAGTATTTACTTAGTTGGAAGCCTTTAATGGTTGGCGCATACATCAACAGTTCCTTTCAATGTGTCTTAGCTTTTGTGCTACATAGCAAACAAAACAGAAAAACGCCACATATCCTTGTTGACTTACTTGCACGGGGAATGAATGGGATTCGCTTACTCTTTGTTTTCACTGGAATAGGCTTCTGTTTACATTTCCCTGGTGGAGCTCTCCTAAAAAACAAACAGATTCGGTCACAAAAATTATGTGTGGACATCTTGAGAATGGATAAGGAAGCCTGTGTTTGTGGTGGTTTTCTAGAGGCAGATAGCCAACTTCAGTCTTTCTGTTAAATCATGAGCTTGCCAGCGAAAGACCTTGAAAGCACTCTGATGCTAACAGAACAAAAGCTACCGGTATATCCTGCCCGAATCCTTCCATTAGTTTCTCTCGTTGTGAAGAAGTGGATTTTCAGTTAAGGAAAATGTCAGGCATTTTGTACTTGAAAAGAACTCTCTTCCTGATTTAGGTTTCCTGTGGATGATATTTGCCTACTACCGGTATATCTTTGGTTTTAAGTCTTTCCACTGCTCTGCTAAATTAATTGCAACTGTGATACAGTTATCATTCCCAACGGGTCACATGCGTGCCATACTTTTAAAATACATGCCCTCCCAAAGAATTCTGGGAACTGTAGTTTGCCCCTCCTAGAGCTACAGTTCGTAGCATTCTTTTTTTTTTTAATAATTAATTTTATTAGTATTTTCCACACAACAACAACACAAAAGCTATCAAAAAATAACAATACACAACACACAAAAATCAACATTCGAAAACTTAAAAACCAAAACAAAAAAACCAAATCCATATCTTACAAGTTAATATTATAAACACTAAAACAAAGACAACAAGACATTGACTTCCACCAATCCCACAGCACCTCCTTTATCTCTCATTGTGTCTTCCTGTTTTCCTGTTTTCTTTATCCACTCTATCCTAACATCTAGATATAAATCCTTCTTTCATATCCTTTCACTTCACAAGGTTATTCCAGACTCAGCCAGATTTCTGCTCTCGAACCTTGACTTTTGAGGTATTCATTTAGGCACTCCCATTCTTTTTTTACTTCACTTTTTGGTTTTTGTCTTATTATATCTGTCAATTTAGCTAATTCTAAGTATTCTGAGAGCTTACATAGCCACTCTCCCCTAGTGGGTAACTGATTCCTTTTCCAGTACTTAGACACCAGGATTCTTGCTGCAGACGTTGCGTATAAGAAAAAATTAGTTTTGTCTTTTGGGATATCGTCATTTAAAATTCCTAAAAGGAATGCCTCTGGCCTTTTACTACATGATATTCTTAATATTTTCTTTATTTCTTTGTGGATCATGCTCCAAAATTTCCCAATTTCAGGGCATGTCCACCACATATGGTAGAAGGTTCCTTTTTGTCTCTTGCATCTCCAGCACTTATTATTATATGTTTTATTCATTTTTGCAAGCCTTTCTGGTGCCAGGTACCACCTGTGATACATTTTCATATAGTTCTCTCTTATTAAGTAACGTGCTGTAAAATTCATATTTTTTGTCCATAGTCTTTCCCATTCATTATATTCCATTGGGTGGCCCAGATCTTGTTCCCATTTTTAATAGCCTCTCCTTTTTCCTCCTTTTCTACTTTACCATTTTGTAACAGTTTATATATTTTTGAGAGAGTCTGTTCGTTGTTGTATAAAATTTCCTTTTCCCATACCAAGATTTTTTTATCAAACCCCTTAAGCTTACTATCCTTCTCAAATATTGTTTTTAATTGGAAATAGTCTAACCAATTCACCCCCCCTCTTTTAATTCTTCAAATTTCTTTACTGTTGGGCGATCTTTTATCTCTTCTATGAGTTCCCTATATGTTAGCCAGCTATCTTTCATATTGCTTCTATGCAAGGCTGATGACTCTATAGGTAATAGCCACCAGGGAGTTTTGGCTGTTACCATTGTTTTATTTCTTTCCCAGACTTCGAATAGGGCCTTTCTCACCAAATGATTAGTGAATCCTCTATGTGCTTTTATTTTATCGTGAGCTAGGTAGCCATGCCACCCGAAAGCATTCATAAACAAACTACATTTCCCAGGATTCTTTGAAAGAAGCAAGTTCTCTGGAATCTCAGTATTTTGTGGGAGCAATTCATTTGTAGTAAAAGAAACAACTTCAAGGGTAAATATGAGCAAGTGAGTGATTTTCCACAGGAAACTCACATGGTGCCCTGTAATGGTTCTAGGGGTTGCTTGTGCGTAAGCCGGTGCAAACACCTGGCTGGATTGCCTGAGTGAACCTTTTCTGTCCGGACAGCCACTCACCCGTGGCTGTCTCAATCGCTGGCAGAATCCGTCAGTGGGCGTTTCTTAAACTTCTTCCAGCAAAGAAGCTCTTTGACGCCTAGTCTCCTCCTACTCTCTCTGCGCGAAAGCCTTCTGCGCAAGGAGGGCGTAGGCAGCGGAGGACCTCTACTCTCCCCGCTGGTCCCCGGCAAGGAGTCATGGGACCGCCTCACCGCTTCCCCCATCTGCCCCCCTTCTCCACTGGTGCTACGCTGATTCTCTTCCCCAGAAGATGGGCTGCCTCTCCGAATCCCGGGACGCTCTCCAGAATCCCTCTGGATTTTGCTCTCTCCCTCCAGCACTGATGGCAGTTCCCTGACATGCCCCAATCCAGATTGGACCCTATAGCTACATTTTATTTTATTTTATAAAACAGGCCTGTTTAACCACACTTTTTAAAAAAAGTGTTAAACAATATAACATGTCGTTTGGCTTTGATGAGTTTGAGTTCTCACATTTCTCCCTTGAAAACTCCATGGCCTTTTAATGCTACAGAAGTTGAGACAGTTCTCACTGTCTCTCTTGAGTGTAATTCACAAACATGGGGAAATGAATGGGGAATATAGACTTCTAAAAACCTGCAGAAAGGTCCACTGATCTTCCTGGAAATTCTTGTTGGACACTTTTTCCACCGAAGGTGAAGTAATACCCATTCTCAGATAGCATGAACAACAGGTTGGTAAGTTTTGTTGTTTTTTTGTTGTGTGTGTGTGGTGTTTAAAGCCTTACATTCTCCTCCTCCCCCCACAAAAAAAAGAGATTAAATGGGAGGGAAATAGATGCTGGTGGTTTGATGCCAATGCCATCATGTGGATGCTGCAAAAAAAACCCAATAACAAAACCAAACCTGCATGCATAAGAAGCATCCATCCCACAATAAATGCACATCTGAAAGCACCCATAGGCTCAGAAAAATAAAAATAAAATCTGGAAAGTGTGTATCAAAGAGATTAAAGCTTCCCAGAACTGCTTGACATTCTCATAACAAGGTGAAAAGAACATGAAAATTACTATCCGCCCAGAAAAGCATCCCAAATGTTGATAGGCCTGGATGTCTTCCCTGCTTGGGAGCAAAAGCGATGCTTACTTGGTACATTAATCTTTTGGATATCCTTTGGATAAAAGGAGATAGACAAACAGTGAATATTTATTACTGTTGTTGATGTGCCCTGCCATTCCTTGGACGGAAGCTCTGTCAACAACTCTCATGTTTTTCTAGACTAGTTCCTGAGTCTCAGACGAATTCTATGGTTGGTCTCAACTTCAAAATAAATACAAGCTACAAAGAGATGTGTTTTTGTCTGCTTTCTATGCTGCGGGTTGCCTGCAGGCCAGCTCTCCTTGAGCACAAATGGGGACAGAGTTCCCTACAGTAGGGGTGAAAACAGACACAATATAAAACGAGTAACTGAACTGAGATGTGCGCAACAGCAGACTGAACACTGGCCAGGCCTCGCTCCAGATTTCTTTCCAATTTTTCCTATTTGGTAAACAGGTCTCATGCTATGCTGCTGTTTCAATTATTACTAATAAAACATCCACCTCTTCATTTTGGGTGTGCTTATTTTAGTTAAGCCTTGGTTCTAAACCAATTCCTTGGACTCTCGAGTTACAACTGCTGTAATCTGGCTTCTTTTGCCTGAGGCCTCAGAAGCAGAGAGCAGTAATTTAGCTCTTGCTCCTTGGGGTCTTGGGGACAGCTAGTGTGGCTTTACACACAGAAGAAAAAATACTATAAATAAGTCAGAAATTAAATCGTTATAACCAAGGGGTGGGGAACCCCTATGTAAAAACGCTAGGGAAAAGTTTTGTGCTCTCTGGCACCATCTGGTGTTGCATGTTTATAACACGTTCAAATCACTGGGTTGTTTTGTTTACTACTGTAGCTGAGTCCCTAGAGTACAGCCTGAGATCTCCTGCGCAAGTTGGGTGAACAAAGCAGGAGTGGTGGTAGCTCTTCTACCTAACATGGTTGGTTTTTTACTCCTTGAGAGTTGGCACCATCTGAACCACCAGGGGAAGAATGACCTAGGGTTTTGGGTCAGGTTTCTTGATATCAAGTGTAGTAGCTTATGCGATATTTAATTCCTGTTACTGATGGAACATGCTCCCATGCTTCACAGTATTTTGTTATTATGTGCACTGCACACACACACACGAAATACCTTCATGAGACATTCTTCCCTCAAAGAATCCTGGGGACCCTTACAGAGTTACCACTCCCAGTAACTTTTAACAAACTACAGTGCCCAGAATTCTCTGAAGGAAAGAGGGTCGGGGAAAACAATTGTGGGGCTTTCAGGGCTCTTGGTTTCCTAACCCTCAAGTCCCTTAAAAGTAGTTTAAGCCTGTGGGCTCCCACTGATTTAACTGGAGCCCAATTGCTTTAAATCAATGTACTTCATTTTAATTAAATTAGTCGATTGGCCTGCAAGTGCCAGAGCAGGAAACTGTGGCTTCCCAGGAACATAGTTGTTCTGCAGGTTTAATGCATGAAACTGAAATCCAGTCATGTGAATGGAGTGTTTCTGTTGTATCTGTTAAGTTGTGGGTGAACATATCAGACGACACAGCGATTCTTCAGACAGCTCTTGTTTATTTACAGGCCAGAACAGAACTGAGCTGAAGGGTTCAGCCAGCCTGCTTATATAGAGCTCCACTAGAACACAACAGTAACCATTTTCTGTAACTATCCAATCACTGAACGTCACTTTCAATCCCTTATTTGCATATGTGGACCTGAGTGAAAACTATCTACAGTATCCCCCTGCTGGCCCAGGATGAGAACTTCAGTACATAACAGTATCTATCGCCCTGGAAGAAAACTGACGAATGTTTGTGTGTGTGTGTTGCCGATGCTGTTCAGAAAATCAGCGGGACACAGGGACATTCAAGGACTTGAAAAAGTACCCACCTTGCAGGATCCACAACTTTGTATATCGATCCATGTGGTGCAAAGGCACTGGGGTAGGACGTAGCCATAAAATAGAGCTCAGCTGGAGATAACAGGAAGAGAGGAGAAAGCTAGGAATGTGAAATTCATCAAAGTTGCAACAGGTTGATAATAGTGCAATTTTTCCTCTCTATGTAAGCCAGGCCTGCGCAAGCTGTAACCTACCACCAGCCTAAAGAAACCATGTGGCCTTCCAGGTTCCTGACTATTCCAGGGTTGCCATATTTCGAAAAGAAAACCAGGACACCCCAAAAGTTGTTGAGCAACTCAGAGTTGGTGGCCTCCCAAAAACATGATTTTCTAAGAAAACAGACACAGCAACCAACATTACCTGCTTCATCCTCAGCGAAAGAAATGATGTATTTGCTGTAAGAGCTGACCATCCCTGGAAAGGCACAGGCTTTAGCGCTACCAATACAAATGTCTTGCTTCTTCCATTTATTTGCTCTCTCATCTTCTTGCAAAGCCATAAGCCGACTGGATGAAAAAACAAAAGCATATGTTTTATGGTTTCACAGTTCCACTGTAGCTTAGAAAAACTCTTTCTGGTATATCCCAAAATAGACCCAAGGCTTTCTCTTGGGCCGTAAATACTTTTTGCTACTCCCCGTTGCCATGAACTGTTTGAGCCCATGACTAGGGATGAACCAAAAACCAATATTCTGAGATGGTCTATAGGAAACCTACCTACTGTACTGAAAAGTCAATGGAAAGAAGTTTGTTCCTTACCCGTTCATAAAATCACCAAATATGTATAGGCCGTTCAGGTTTGGAGACTCACATCCTCTATACACATAACCTCCAGTGACTGATTTTCCCACTGAATGGCTGTAGGCAAATATTGGAAGTATATCATCTGTTAAAAACAGAGAAAATGCACTTTAGTCAATTAAAACTGTTTGATTATCTTAAAAGGAAATAGTCATCCTTCTTCAATGCAAGAGCATTTTTTTTTCTAAAACAAACTGGGCATTTAAAGTAAAATTAGTGTAGTTTATAGCCGTGTTGTCCAACCTTTTTCCGCCTGTGGCCCCCATCTGACCTAGTTTCCTTCCTGTTGCCCCTCCCATGGGCATAGGCACAGGAGACAACTGCCCCCCAAATAAGTGAAAATCAATACAAATCAGAGGCACTGCCCCCCCAAAGAAACCTGCCCCCCTAACAAAAATCCTGGCTACACCTATCCGTGGCAAAAAAATAAGGGAGAGAGAGAGAGCACTAGGTCTTGGTGGCCCGCCCCCCTACCCACTTGTGATTGGCCAAGCAGATAGATAGCCAATCAGGATTTCCCCCTTCACTTCTCATTTCCCTCTGTGGCCCCCTAGCCTCGTGCTGTGGTTCCCCCATTTACGCATTGTTCACTGTGATCCCCTTGGGATATCTTGGTTTATATGGAAACACTGGTTTATAGGACCACCATGCATTCACCTTTGCAACTGACAGACCTCTGTTTGAAGGCATCCTCTGGTTGAATGGCTGATGGGCCCAAGACTGGTTTAAAAATAACTAACCATAAAAATGGAGAGAAGGGGTGTTGAAATTACACATATTCAGAGACCTCCAGCAGTGGAGGTCGATCATCACTACCACGACTAGTGGCCATGAATAGCCTTTTCTGCCATGTATTTGTCAAATCTTCTTTTAAAGCCAGTCATGTTGTTGGCCATAACTATTTCCTACGGGAGCAAATTCCATAGTTCATGTGCGCTGTGTGAAGTACTTTCTTTTGTCTGCCCTGAATCTTCCACAGTTCAACTTCACTGAATGCCCCCAGGCTCTATGAGAAATGGAGAGAGAAAATGTTTCTCTACTCATTTTCCCCACCTCGTGTGATTTTAAACGCCTCTATCGTGTCTCCTTGTACAGTGGTACCTCTGGTTGCGAATGGGATCTGTTCTGGAGGCCCGTTCGCAACCTGAAAAGAACACAACCCGCGTCTGCGCATCCGCGCACACGCGGATCGCAATTCACCACTTCTGCGCATGTGTGCGACATCATTTCGCGTGTCTGCGCATGCACGAGTGGCGAAACCCAGAAGTAACCCTTTCCGGTACTTCCGGGTCGCCATGGGACGCAACCTGAAAATGCGCAACCTGCCTGAAGCAAACGTAACATGAGGTATGACTGTACTTGCCTTTTCCTGAAGCTAAAGCACTCTAAATGTTGTAACTTTGCCCCCAAGGATCTTATCCTTAATGAAGTGTGTGTGCACTTCCTATCCCTTCACAAAGGAATGACAAAAATGATAGCTGCAGAATTAACAGTTAAACCAAATACAGGTAAGATAAGGCCTTCCCACGAACACACTAAAAATGACAGGTAACATTCTTTACCTAAGGAGGAATTTTGACAAAGCTTGATGTCATAGCACTCAAAGCCTTCCTTGGCTCTCCAGCCGTAGTTCCCGCCTTTAACAATTATGTCCACTTCTTCAAACTTGTTCTGGCCGACATCTCCGCAGAAAATTCTCCCCCTTCCTTGACGACTGAGCGGGTCACCTCTATCCACAGAGCAACGCCACATGTTCCTCACCCCATAGGCATAGACTTCTGGGAGAGCTTGAGGGTCAGAGGCAAAAGGATTGTCAGAGGGGATGCGGTAAGGCTTCCCGTCAGAACTTCTTCCATCCACATCGATCCGCAAAACCTTTCCTAGTAAACTACTCCTGAGAGGAAATCAAGGCATAAAACAAGGATTAACGAACGTGACAAAGAAACAGAAGGGAGACTGTTGTAGCAGTTTCCATATATGCTGGCTGGCTGCTTGACTAGATGGAATATCAGCACCTTCTGTCAAATGATACACAAGGGAACTTACATGAAATATTTTTTTTTAAAGCGATAAATGATAAAATAATCTTTAAAAAGCACCCTTGAACAGAAAAGCAGCATTATTTTTAAAAGTATAATTTGCCTTTAAAGGCGAACTAAGCTGTCTCATATGCAATCAGCACTTATTGAAGATGGACCTTACCTGTTCTGAGCATTCCCAAATTTACCAAAAGGGTCCCCGGCTTTCCCTCCATCCCCTGTAAACAGGTACATGTAGCCATCCAGGCCGAAGAGGATCTGTCCCCCATTATGGTTTGCGGCTGGTTCTTCGATTTCTAAGAGACTCCTGAAGGGGGGGAGAGAGAAACACAGAGATCAGAAACTAGGAAAAAGAGCAAGGGAGGAAGGCTGGTTAACATTCAGGGCCTTACTAAGTTCAAAGACGTATTTTAGTTATTCAGTCACTAAGCAGAACATCTTATCTGCATAGCGCTCAATCTTTCCCTTTTCCTAGACAAAGCAAAAAAGGACCTTAAAATTCCTGGGATAATTCTATCCTTCTGATGAAATCTGTCTGCTGGATAGAGCCGTCTTAAGTGCACATCTGGCACTCCCACTTGCCCTCCCAGGAGAGAAGCTGGGTCAGAATGTGTTGCATCCATCAGCATGCATACATCAATGCTTATGGAAAGGAAGTCAATTAATGGCTTTGTTTTGATCTATGATAACTCTTATGCCAATAGGCAATCACCCGTGGTGGACTGCACAACACGCTGAAGGTCTAAGCCGTAGTCAAAGCAGGAAATCCTGACGGCAGATCAGCACCGCTCCTGGTTGCAGGAGCGGTGCTATTTTTCCAGAAAGAGAGGTGCCAGAGCTCACCATGAATTTCTCCCTTGTCCTCTTAGAATGGCAATGGCGCCCACCTGACAGCTGCCGGAGCTGAGCACCAGTGAACTCTACCTGGAAAAAAAAAGCCCTGCGCAAGAGTGTTAACTGTGCAAGGTCTTTCTGCATCCAGCCATTCCTATTTGGCAATATACTTCTCGATACATCGATCCTGCTTCCAGGCACATCTTGAGGTGGCAGCAATTGAACGTGGGTGGAAAAATATTCAAAACTATGACCCTCAATAAACTAGGAGACACTGTGGTCTGGTAGATGATAGGTTGGGTTGGGTTCTGCGCTGGACATTAGGCCCTGCACAGCAACTGGAAAAGTCACCAAATTCCCCAAAGAGCCAATGTTTGGATGCAGAGGGTGTTCCCGATTCTTCCTTTGAATGACCACCTTCAGTTCAAGCCGACAACACAAAGGAGCATTTTTCCTCTGTTAACATGGATCAAGTCATATCTACAAAGGGGGGGGGAGGGATTCCTTTTCATCACTGGCTTCAATTATGATTGAAAAGTGGGTAGCCCTTCCCTACAATGTCAAGAGAGCTCAGGATCCAGCCTGTCAGAATCTGGGTCCTGTTCTCTGTCTCTGCTCTAGAGCATTGGCTGATGCAACTGATGGGTCAGGAACCCAAAACTGGCCATGCCATGGTCTAAGATAGGGAGTAAAACACTCACCTAGAAGACTACAGTTTGTCATATATAGGTGGAAAAATAGAGCCAATGAACCTGGCAGTGATCTCCACTGAAGACAGTGGAATCAGGCTGCACAAGTAACCCCCATGTTACAGGCTGAAACTGAAACTACTTTCCAGGTTGAAGATTTGTCTAGATTATTTCCAAAGTACTGAGCATAGGGCTGGCAAAACCTCCTTTCTCCCCTCCCTATCACATTTTGCAAGCATCAGCTGCAAGTCAGAGCAGTCTCTCTTATAGCCTGTGGCTACAAAGGAAAGCACACACCTTTGCTTTGCCCGCAGACACCTGTTGCCTGCTAGGAACAGGCCCACGCAACCAATGAACAATGTGGACTTCGCCCATCAGTTGATATCATGAGTGACATCAGCTGATTGACAGGAGGATGTGGTTGGGCCTCATGGATCAAACTGGAACCTCTGTTGGCCAGCATTAGTCTGTGAGCTGAAGGTTACCCACCCTTACTAGCGACCTGGGTTCAAATCCCACATCTGAATGCATTCTTTTATCTTGGATAGCACAGTAGTGCTTAGCACCTGAGTCCACCTCCACCCACATACCTATAAAATTGTCCTTTTGCTTGGCCAGGGAAAATAAATCACAGAGCACAGAATTCATTGTTTCTTGAAGCCCAGTTGGGATTTGGGATTTGCTTTAGCACAGAGTCGATATGAGGACTAAAGGCAACAACTTCACCCTAAGTCCTTGGGAGGAAGCAGAGATCCCAAGAAGATGGAAGAAGGAAGGAAGCTTGGGGAAAACATTACCTTTCTGTGCTTGCATCAGCCTTGTTGACATCTGACACAGAAACTCTTAATTCACTGATCCTGATTTTCTCCACCTTTTCCTTGTCCTGGTAGGAGTAATAAATGTAGAATTTCCCATTGTCCTTGTATTTGGGGTGGAAGGCCATCCCGAGGAAACCTCTTTCATCTCCTAACCAGGGGGTGGTCAGCACCATGTTCTTAATATCCAGAAAAGGCTCTTCCAGGCGACTTACGTCTGGAAGAAAGACCCAGATGATGCCCACTTGTTCAGCCACAAACATGCGATGGGTGTTGTCGTTCGCGTGCGCCATCAGCACAGGATTCCTCAGCCCGTTGGCCACCTCTTTTAGGCACAGCTGAAGGCAGCCTTTCTTGTCCTCCACCACAGAGCCCAGGTTACGGTTCAGGTCTGTGTTTTTTAGCACGTCGGGGAAGCAATAGTCTTCATCCTGGATGTTAAGCAGGTTGCAGAAGCGGGTCTTGTTCCTCTCGCAGCATTCCTGGATGTGTTTGTCATCAGTAAGCAACGTGATGGCAGAACGGCAGTAGAGGTGGAACTCCGAACAGTAGTCTGAGCAAAGGCCAGGCAGGTTCCGCAGGGGCGTCTGAGGATTCTCGGCATCGTAAAGATGAGCTGCGTAGGGTGAGCATTCCTGTTAAAGGGCAAAAAGCATTCTGAAAGTGCTGTGCAACGGACTCGATCTGTGTGGCTGCTGCTGTAGCACGGTCATGCCTGCTCAGTCTGCACATTTATGTATTACAAAGACACCTCAAATAGGAGGCCTGGATAGCTCAGCTGGTTGGAGCATGCTACTGATAATACCAAGGTTGCAGGTTCGATCCCCACATAGGACAACTGCATATTCCTACGTTGCAGGGAGTTCGACTTGATGGTCCTCAGGATCCCTTCCAACTCTACAATTTTATGATTCTATAATTCTAAGTGTGCAATGCTTCCTGATTTTAAGAAACGTAACAGCCCCATTGGATCAGACCAAAGGGCTATTGAATCCAGGGGGACCTTTGGCCCTCTGGATACTGTTGGACTGCAATTCCCATCAGCCCCAACCAGCAAGGCCGATGGTTGGAGATGATGGGAGACATAGTCCAACAACATCTGGAAAGCCAAAGGTACCCCACCCCAGACCTAATCCAACATCTTGTTTCTCACAACAGCCGTCCAGAAGCCTATGGAGAGCTCACATGCAGGACATGAGGAAATAGCCTTTTCCACTGTTATTACCCAACAACCAGTATTCGGAGCATGGTGCCTCTGATGCCGAAGGTGGCATATAACCCATACCCTCTCACATGCCCCAGCGGAAAACCAGGATGTGCGGCTTTTGGGGCCGTGCTCCTGTGAGAGTCACGTGGCTCGCATGAGAGCAAGGCCCTGAAAGATGCAATATGGCTAGAATTGTTTAAAAGTACTTTTCCAAAATACCAAAGTCCTTTTTGTTGGGGATAATTCAGACGGATATTCCCAGGTATCAAAAAGGGTTATTTATGTACGCCACTACTGTGGCCTGTGTTTTGTTAGCCCCAAAATGGAAAACAAGCGAGGTCCCAATTAAAGAAGAATAGCAACTTAAGCTGATGGAATATGCGCAGCTCACGGACTTAACATATAGAATAAGAGAACAAGAAGAACCTATGTTTAAAGAAGAATGGAAAATGTTTATTGAATCTAAGGGGGGAAATTGTGTACATTTGAAAACGTTGGCAGCATTAAGATAAATTCAACAGTGTAAATACGTTTTGATGGATGTAATAATGGAATACTGAATGGTTTATTTTATGTAAAATATGCAGGGATTTATGATATGCAAAATGAACCATGGAAAGAGAAGAAGGAAGGTCATTGATATTTTAAGGATGTTTAAATGAGTATTCTAAATTGTAAAACAGAAAATTGTGTGTGTGTGTGTGTGTGTGAGAGAGAGAGAGAGAGAGAGAGAGAGAGAGAGATGTGATCTCGCATGAAAGCACCTCAAAAATGGGGTGTTCCCATTTTATTGGGGCAGTTGGGTATGATAACCATTGTTATTAGCAGCCAGTGATAGCCATATCTTCCATATTCTCCCTTTAAAAGCTATCTATGTTGTGATGGCACTTGACTGCCACAACCACATCTTGTGGAGACAGATTCCATAGCTATGTCCAAAGAAGTGTGCCATTCTCGCCATCACACAATAGCATTTCTCCATCTTCTCCACACAGAGAACCTACTACTACTACTTGCTTGCTCTTCTTCTTGCTTACATAGCTTTTTGTTATTCCAGTCCAAAACTAACCTGTTAAATCCAAAGCTCTTGTTTGACTATTGACTATACAGTTGTACCTTGGAAGCCAAAAGGAATCCGTTCCAGAAGTCCGTTTGACTTCCAAAACGTTCGACTTCCAAGATGCAGCTTCCGTTTGGCTGCCAGACGTTCGGCTTCCAAAAGAACATTCACAAACTGAAACACTCACTTCCGAGTTTGTGGCGTTTGGGAGTTTGACTGCTAAGGCGTTCATCAACCAAGATACGACTGTAACTGGGAATCTCAAAGTGGTTTAGCGATCAATCCTTCTTTGCAGAGAGCTCTGGGAATGGTAGCTTTGTGAAGGGAATAAGAGTATCTGAACAAGTATCAGCATCCTTGACAAACTGCAGTTCCCATAATTCTTTGAGAGATGCTATGATGACTGTTTAAAGTGGTGTGATGCTGCTTTAAATGTAAAGGGCAGATGGGGCCTAAATCTTCAGAGCTCAGTATAGTATGCTGAAGTGCAGTTCAACAAAATGCCCCCTCTGACAAGCCTTTGTCCCACCATTTGCTTTGGATCCGACAGTGTCTCCTTGTCTCAAGTCCAAACTTTGCCCCTGCAGGGGCTGTCTTTCAGAGAATGCAAGCAACCCCCATTTGCGGCTAAAAATGTCTGAGGTCAAGACATTCCTAAGGGTCTACATAACAGTTGCTAGGATTAAGCCGCCTTGCCAGTAAAAGGCTGGCCCATCTGTTCCTTTTTCCTCATCTATGTGAGAGGTTGCAAATGGTGTTCTGCTCATTGTTCCACGCTCTATCTCAGAGGGGCTGATGAAATATTAAGTCTTTAGGTCCCTCTGTGACTACTGTGTCTGCCGTTTTATAAGGATTTCCTCTCCCTGTCTCCCTGCCTGAAAAGTTGTTTCCACATAATAGTAAGTGGAGCTATGCAGAATTAACCATTGTCCCAGTTGTCAAGGTTTGGTGGGAACCGTAACTGTGAGAGATAAATTAGAGACACTAGGATTTTTTTTGAGGTGTGGAAAACCTGCTTCAAAAATGCTTTAAAGGCACAGTGTGTTAAATGTGTTTTTCTGCATTTAATGAGCAGGGGTTTTGAAGTGAAACTTTTTGCATCAGCTTGGGTGGTGGAACTGATAATTAACAGGAGAGAGAGTTTAACCCTTCACCCCCTGCTGCAGTCCAAAAGGAAATCCCTTCTCTGGACCTAGTATTTGCATAGGCAGGAATTCCCTGCCCTCTCTGGCACCACTGCATTTTAAAAGATCTGCATATTGGGTGCAAAGACATATTTGAGGTCACCTTCCTCTTTGGCCCTAAGACTGACATTAATTAATTAATTAATCAATCAATCAATCAGTGTCAGGAACCGTCACATTTATCCACTATTTCCAGCAGTGGTGCCATCACAGCAAGATTTGGGGGCAGAGGTCTGAGGGGCCCATTCAGCAAAAGGAGCAGAAGGGCTCACCTTTGCTGACAGACCAAAATACATTTCAGATTAAGCGGGGCAACAAACACATTGCTATCTGAAGAGGGGCAAAATCTTTAAGTCCTAAGTAAACTGAACCACTGGCTTCATTTTCCATCCAGGTTGTCTTTGCTTTACTTTAGACCAATTCCATCCCTGCCCCTGACACACACAAAGTGCCCCACACTGGGAAAAATATGGGTTCCTGTGGCTATGGAATTATTTTTAAAAATAAGCAGCTTCCTTTTGACTTCACAATCTGAGCAGTGTTGCCCCTTGAAGAGAGCGCATTCAGTGCATGCAGATAATATTTTAGCGCTGAGGAAGCTTAGATGGAAGAGTGCTAAGTGTTTGCCTGGTGTGTGTTTTGGCTCCTTTGTGCTGGCAAGGAGTGAATCATTGACCTCCATGACTCACTTTAAAAGGGGAACCCTTTCTGCTCATAAATCACTGGATAGGCAGGATGCCAATGGGAGCTGCACCCTTTGCTCATTGTTCTCCTGCTACACACACACTGGCCGGCTTCTGCTTTCAGCCAGATGGGCAGCCTTCACTAGAAAGCAGGGGGAGCAGGAACCAAGCAACTGAGACTGGAGGGAACCCTTTCCAAAAAGGCATGGGTGCCAGCTGTTTGATCTGAGGCTGCTTTCAGAACTGCAGCTTTCCAGGGCACCAGGCAGGAGCACAATCTAAACACATCGCTTCATGGCATCTGGGAATCAAAACACCAAGGTCCACTTTGCTCAGCCCTGCATAAGCCTCCGAGCGCTGCCCAGTCTCGGTCTGCATTTATTTGCAAAGCAAATGGAAGAAACACTTATCTTTTTGTTCCGAACCCCAGACACAAAATGATTAGCTTTGCCACCTTTCCAGCAACGGAGAGCACCACTGCTGCTTCATTTGATCTAGAATATTAACTTGAAAGTGTGTTTTGTAGCCCAAAAACCCCCTGCTTCACAGCTCGCCTTGAGCCTCACAACAACTTTGCGAGAAAGCTTAAGTGGCCTGCCAAAGGGAGGCCAAGAAGAAGACAGCAGTCCAAAGAGATTTTGCTTCTCGGGGTGTGCATTCGTATTTCTTTTGTCGCACTTTTGCCACCGTTCAAACAGGTTTGGCAGGTTTCTGATATGAAATCCACAAAATCTGTTTAGCAGGGGTTAAAGTAGCATGAGTGAACAAGTTGCAAGCTGTGATTGCTCTTCCAAGCTATCTTCAAATTTCTGGGGGGGGAGACAATCATTCCTTGCTCTCCAGCCTTCATGTGAGAGTGAGGATGTGAGATTTTCACCACTGTGTCATATTGGTTTGAAACATTTAAAAAAAACAACCCACACCCTAAGATTATATAGCTTAATACCTGTATGCTAAGCAGATATGTAGAATGAATCAATTGAATATTATCCTCATCCTCCCCCTGAACAATATTACTTTATCTTTTTACATATATAACAATTTGTAAGCAGGAAAGATGTGACTTATATATATTCCCCTGTAGCTGCTAAAGATGCTGCTAAACATATATATATTCTACACACACACACACACACACACACACACATAGCTGCTTAGTTTTATTTAATTTCTGTTCTCTGTCTTCCCTCCTTAAAAAAATAAATAAACCAACAGTAGAATTTGCAATCAAGTGTATATCAGTGACGCATAATGAAGGTTACAACCCACCCATTGCCTTACCTGGCATAAAATATCTTTAATATATCCTCCACACAATTTGTGAGCCTGCGGATCGATATAATCCATCACCTCCCAGTATTTGGCTGCAATCATATTGTCTTTGTCCTGATCACAACAACCAAAAGTTTCATAGGCAGAGCAGAACTCCAGGTGGAAGGGAGGCTGGAAAGGAGGACCATAATCGAGGCACTGTGGGTGTCCCAGGAGTAGCCCACTTTGGCCCAAGAGCATAAAGAAGACTCCGGTGAGAAAATTTAAAGAATGGCAGGAAATCCCGACTCTGTTGCTCTTGTAGGAGCTCACAGTAGCTTTCCTCACAGAAGTTTTCCTGTTGCTAGATGTCTCCAAGATGTGGCCACCTTGAAGATTAGGGTTATTCATCTTCTGAGCTTTAAAGCATCCCAACCAGCAGAGAGCTCAGTGTTTGCTCAAGTTTGCTTACACACCCCCTCTCTCTGTCTCCCATTAAGTTTACTATTGGTGTGCTGAGAAGCAAAGCCTTCAGACCGCCTCTTGGCAACTCCACACCTCACACTGCAGAATACTTCCCTCCTTCCTTTTTTTGCAATATTCTCTGACCCCTCTGATAGGAGGCAGATGCCACACAGTAACATACACTGTGTGTGTGTGTGTGTGTGTGTGTGTGTGTGTGTGTGTGTGTGTGAGAGAGAGAGAGAGAGAGAGAGAGAGAGAGAGAGAGGGAGAGGGAGGGAGGGAGGGAGGGAGGGAGGGATCTTAAAGCATAAATTACAGCTGCTGCAAGCATTCTATACTATCTGGTCGACAGTTATAGAAAATAATCATTTTTTCCTATTCACAAAGCTCAGGAATCCAAAGCTCAGCAAATACTGTAGTAGCTGGGAAAGAAGATGAATCATTTCTGTCCATTACATTCCCACTCTCATTTACTTGAAATTAATCAAACTGAGATCACATTCTAAAGAAATTATATAGGATTTCCCCTTTACCAAATTACAAGCATGTGGATTTCTTAAAAAAAGGGTTTTGTTAATCGATCGTTAATATGCTTCCCACCACAAAAGCCTTGGGTTGTTTAATACGTTCATCCTGCCAATAATATTTTTCAATGACAATATTACCATAGACATCCTTTTTACAAACTGGAAACGAGCATATAAAGTGATTTATTAGATGCTACTTAGTAAATCCTATATTTTGACTTATTTTTTGCCACCTTGGCACATATGTATACACACTACAGAGAGAGAGAGAGAGAGAGAGGATTTTTGTACCCTCCCAAAGCACTACTTGTTACCCTAATTACATTCAGTATTCAGAAATGAATTCATAGACGCATAGAACTGTAGTGCTGGAAGGGACCATGAGGATCATCTAGTCCAACCCGCTGCAATGCAGGAATCTTTTTTGCCCAACGTGGGGTTCAAACCCACAACCCTGAGATTAAGATTCTCATGCTCTACCAACTGAGCTATCCCAGCTCATAGCCCCATATTGAACATGGGTTGGTCCTGTAAATACTTATGTCTAATTTGCTCTTACTGGTTTCGTTCCCTTTGACCGACAAGACTTTTAAGACTCTGAACATGAAGCTGCTGATAATAAAAAATGACCAGTTGCCAGAAAAACATGGCCAGGTTTGTTGCTTCAGGGGCAATTTAGCTTGAGTTGCTTCTATCCACCCTCCTTCCCTTCTTGACCTTTTTAAAAAAAAAGCTGTACATTTTAGGAGAACAGTGTTTGTGTTGGACTCCACTGTCAGATCTGAGCTCTGGCTCCTGGCTGTACCCCTTTACCTGCTCTGAGCCCCACCCAAAAGGCTAACCAAGGTGAGCATTGGCGTCCGTGCAGATGTAAGGGTTAATGCTGGAAAGCTCTAGTAAATATGAACAAAAGTAAAATTTGCTTCTCTGCTCAGAGGCGTTCAAATTTAAAACTAGTACTTTTGGTTACACTTCCACACACAGGTACAGCGCTTCCTTCATAGGTTGCTGGCATGCACCTTTAAGAATGCTTGCTTTGGCTGCCAAATTGCAAAAGGCCACCGTGACCCCTGCAAAAATGTGGTGAATGCTATTTCAAAAACAAAAAGCGTATCAACAGGTGGCAGACTTGCAAAAGATCTGAGATTAGTGAAAACTTCACCTAGGAACAACTTTTACAATGCGGGTTCATCCAGTGCTGCAGATGAGAAAATACTGTCTTTTATTCTACCCAAATGAACACAGGGTGCTGACTTATACCAGTTTTGTCCATCTGGTCTACTATATCTGACTGGCATCAGAATGGATCCCAAGGGTCATTTAGTCTAACCGCCTGCAATGTAGGAAATTAATCAAGTAAGCAAGGTCCATGACAGGTGGCTATCCAACCTCTGCTTAGAAACATCCAATGAATGAAAGTCCACCACCTTCTGAGGGAGTTCGTTCCACTGTTGAACAGATCTTACTGCCAGAAAGTTCTGGTGTTTAGGCAGAATCTCCTTTCTTGTAAAATGAATCCATTGGTTCAGGTCTTGCTCTCCAGAGCAGGAGAAAACAAGCTTGCTCCATCTTCCATGTGACAGCCTTTGAGATGTGGGTGGGTTTAACATCCCTTGTTTCCTGAGCACCTTTTAACATGAGATGCCAGGGATATATCTAGAACACAGAATGTTCCCTTATACCAACTCAGACCATTAGTCCATCTAGCTGAGTATTACCTATGTTGACCGACAGCAGATCTTCAGGGCTTCAGACAGTGGACATCCCCAGGGGTATCTGTAGTTTCTCCATCGCTGATTTAGATGGAGAATAGGATATGCACAAATGACAATAGTAGTATTATGTACCGTATTTTCCGGCGTATAAGACGACTGGGTGTACAAGACGACCCCCCAACTTTTCCAGTTAAAATATAGAGTTTGGGATATACTCGCCGTATGACTACCCCTCTTCCAACGCACACTAAATAAAAATTTTAAAAACCAGTCTCCAGTCCAGCTCAGAAATACGCTCCACTTCCCAGTGGCCGGGGGCTTCTGGACCAATTTTCAAGCATATTTCTGCTTCGTCTAGAGAGCTTGGTGTCCTCTGATTTAATTTGCTGCTGTTTTATCCCTGCTGTTTTATCCTGCAGGGAGTTGCTGCAGGAGCTGCTGCTGTAGCCGCCGTATAAAACGACCCCCGACTTTTGAGAAGATTTTCCTGGATTAAAAAGTAGTCTTATACGCCAGAAAATATAGTAATTCATTTCCCATTGTTGTAACTTGATGAAGTCAATAATATACTGCATTTGTCATTTAAGTGAAACCGTTTAAAAACACATTCCAGTTCCACACTGCTTCTTGGTTTTTTTAAAAAAATAATATTTATTAATAATTTCAGAATTACAGAAAAGAAAGAAAAAATAAAAAACAACACTACAATGCATAAAAAGAGGAAAAAACGCAAAACATAAGACCAATACAACAATACAGAAAAAAAAATAAAAAAGAAAAAGAAAAAAAACACAAATCCCACATTACATATCTTTAACTTCCATTTGCTTGTTTCGTTGACCTCCTCACACCTCCCTTTTTGTATTCTAGTTTAGTTAGTTATTTCAGCAAATTCTTTCCATCTTTCTCAATTATTATTAAATAATTTATCTTAACAATTTAACCTATTAATTAACTCGACAGATCCTTTCCATCTTTCCCCATATTCTGTTATTCAAATTACCTTGATTTATTTAACCTTATCTTACCATAAAATACCTTAAAGCTTGAAACTTAATACTCAGTTATACATAACTCCTGATATCATTTCTACTAGAGTCATATAGTTTCATTCCAACATTTTCCCTAATATTCATTAATTTTAGGCTAATTCCCTAAATAAAAAAATTTTCTTTATGAATTTTCTTCCAATCTTCATCCAACGTCTCTTCTTCCTGGTCTCGGGTCGTGTCAGTCCTTACTGTCCGTTCCATCTAGTCCATCAACCTGGAAGTCTTATGTCCGAGGCCCTTAAGTCTCTTCCATGTCCCTTCTGCAGATCTTCTTCTTCTTGTTTATACGTGCACTTTTCCTTGTCTTTTGTTGGTCTCTTTCTTAATTTCTTTCCTTTCTCATTGAGGAGTAGGTCTCTGGGGGGTTCCAACCCAAAATTATCTCCGTCTCCCTTCATCAAACCAGCCCATTCCCCACAGTCCCACTCCCCACAGTCATCAATATAATCCAAAAAATGTTTACGAGCATATTTCGAAGTCTCTCCAAAGTTAAGAGCCTCCTCAGCTCCAGACTCCCCCTGGCCCACTCCAACTTCAATCTTCAAAAACAGCGGCTTATGCTTCTGTAGGGCCTTGGGCCTCTCCATTTGTATTATTTGAGGTGCAGCCACAGCCTCCTCCATTATCTTCTGCACTTGCCCAATCAATACAGGTTCCTGGGTTGGACCCTGGATGGTTTCTATATCACTATTCACTATTTGTCCACAGTTATTGGCCACAACAGTCATCAAATCCATTTTTTCATTCATCAAATCCATCTTCTCGTGCATCTGTTCCAACAAAGCATTTGTCTTGCATAAAGCAAGCACCAAAACTTCCTTCCAGCTCATATTTAGTCAAGGTCAAAAGGACTAATCCCACGATCCTAATCTCACAGCTGTGGATTCCTCAAGTAGACTGCAGCAACAATTAGCAAGCTCCTCTAGAGGAGACAATTTCTATTTGTATCCATCTTTTTAAGGCAAGTCCAACAAAGGAAAATTACTTTCATTTTTCAGATATTTTGTTTCTTTAGAATGCAAAAGGCAACATTGGAATCAGTTTATTTCTCTTCTTTAGCTATCTGTCAAAGTATTCCATTCACAGTCAATGAACCTCTCAAACAATTTCTGTCTCTGACACCCCGTTCCCAGGTTAGAAGGGGTTTTCAGTAGTTATAAATGAAGGAAATTGAACCTCCTCCAATGCATGGTGTTGTTGCTGTATTCCACCAATACAAAATGTACTTTGCACCACTTGTAGTTCTCTCACTTATGTCCGCTCTTTATTAAACATTTGTTTTCATGTATTTGCAGGGAAGTTATACAAGGGACATTCACAGAACCATAACCACTGGGGGGGTGGGATGGCTGGCTGAGGTTTTGGCCCCGGGTGAAGCCTCCAGGGGGCGCCATTGAGGCTCCCAGCCTGTGTGTGTGTGTGTGTGTGTGTGTGTGTACACAAATGCACAAGGGGGGGTGTCAAACTGTGTCTTTGACCCAGATAAAATAAAGCCTAGTTTCACCCCTGGACATTCTTCCAGATTGGTTTGCACAGGAGTTATACATTGTTCTGTCAATTGTTCTTTATCCCATACTTGTATTTCCCTATCACTTTGCTAACCACAAAAAGTGTGTTTTTAAAGTGGATTTGTTGCACCAGAGCACTGTAATCCACTTTAAATGCACAAACCTGAATTTCCAGTTGAATCCTTCCTGCAAAGTAGTGGCAGTCTGAAGGCAACCAGAGTCTAGACATTCTCTGCAGGGTGCCTCCGCAAGCCACTCTCCCAAGTCAGACTTCTGATGAAGTCACAATTCAAGGCTGTGCCAAAGTGATGACCATGACCAGCAGGAAGGTGCGTGGGGGGAGATTAATTAATCCATTCACAAGCTCCATCCTAAAGAAAGCATTTCATATGTTTGAATGCCACAGTGCAGTACAAGCAAATAAATAGTTCTACTGGGTACAACATTCAGATTCCTGGGATTCTTGAGCTTTCTTTTCTTTTGAAAAAGAACATGTTTCTAACCCTTATGGTATGAACTTTTGGACTGAAAGGATGCCTCGGATACCTCCGAGAAGCTGCTGGTCTCGCCGAATGCAATGTCTAGTAGGCAGATGGCAATGCATTGGATTACCCAAGTCAATTGTGTGTATTTGCTAAATGTTCATAATGTACACAAAAGTTGCTAAATGAAGAATTTCTTGGGGTTGCTCTGGGTTTCCCTGCTTTGCCTAATGTACTCAACCATGCATACTGACTTCAGGTCTGAACATCTTGCTACCTACCGAGTTACCAGACACACGCTGCAGTGTACCAGCTGCTGTCTCCATTTTTGTTACCCAAGGAGGGCAAAAGTGCCTGCAAGTCAATTAGCACCAGAAAGCCTCTACCTCTCTCAAAAATATGTTTAAATGTGCAAAGTGCATGTGCACAGGTTCTTAAAGACATGTGTTAATAACAGTGCACAGAATGGGCTGGTGTGGGCCTCTTCTTTTAACTGCATGATGGGTGACTGGAAGAATTTCTAAGGGCAAACAATTCTACACTATTGTTATAGGATGCAAGGCAAGCTGTAGTCACAGCATGCCTATATTATATATTGTCTGCTACAGACACACACACACACACACACACACACACACACACACACAAGCACCATCAATTCAAGACCATATTTCAAAGGTTTTTATATGAAGACTTTGAAAGATAAATGATAAAATGTGTTTCCTGTGAAGTTTTATTTTAGCAATGACTCAAAGTAGAATTCCTTTGGAAACATTTATTATAAAACTGGAACTTCATTTTTAAAAAATGGTTGTCAATTATCTACAAGGTTTTTTCATTGCAGGGGAGATCTGTATGCAGACCAAAACATGTACAATCGGGGGGTGGGGGGTGGGATATAGTTCCAAAAAGAAAAGAAAAGGAATTTTGCCTCTAAAAGCAATCAAATATCAGACGATCTTCAAACTGACCCAGCTGTGTTTTTTCACAAATGTTTTCAACGGTTTGAACTTTTTCTTATTGGCTTCACAACCTTGTCGCATGACGTATCTAAAATATTTGCAATCTAGACACACAGAAAAGTGAAAATAGCATTAGAATGCATGAATGGGATAAGACTAACTGGACACAATCAGACCCTTAAGAACATGTTGTGATTATGACATGGAGCTTCTGAAAGGATAGAGAGGGGGAAGAATAAAAAAATCCCACTGAGCATCCTCAAACCTCAGTACACCACAAGTGTCAAAATCTCAATGTATAGAAAAGTTATGGGTAAATTATCTCCAGTATCGTTATAATGTGGAGCAAATAATCCAGCGACGTTAGCCTACATCTGGAAGTCACTTTGCTTAATGACAAGGTCCCAATGCAGAAGCCTGATGAGGTTTGACCATTTTCTTAAAAAAATTATCTAGACCATTATTACAAGAGCTTTGAAGGTACTGTATAGAGTGTAAGATACTGACAAACAGCACTATTAATCTACAGACCATGTGCTCATCTCTCATGTTAGATGTTTCCATTAGGGGGTCTGATGGGTGCTGGGTTTTGTACATGCAAAAGAAAATGCATCATCTTGCTTTGTTTGGACTCAACTAATGCTGTAATGAGTAACCAGCAGTATGCATGGTATTCCGCCCTGTGGAACGCCCTCCCACCAGATGTGAAAGAGAACAACAACTACCAGACTTTTAGAAGACATCGGAAGGCAGCCCTGTTTAGGGAAGCTTTTAACGTTTGATGCATTACTGTATTTTAATATTTTGTTGAAAGCCACCCAGAGTGGCTGGGGAAGCCCAGCCAGATGGGTGGGGCATAAATAATAAATTAATTATTATTATTATTATTATTCCCATCAGCAGCTAGAACTGCCTCTCCTCTCCATTGAAGGCCATGAAAATAACACACGTAAGAAGTAATATGAGGTTCATTAACTTCCCACATTTTGTATGGTCTCTCAGCACCTCAAATTTCCTTCCTACAAAAGGGAGGAAGGAAATCCCATTGTAATAACTGATGCTTCAACTGGGCTAAAGGTGGAATGCTCTCTCAGGGCATCTACAGAGTTCCACCTCTCTTTCTTTCTTCGCATCGCTCCTCAAAACTGATCTCTTCTTTCAAGCTTTTGGCTTAACTCCACAGCCCAAGCTGAAAGAAAGCCTAAGAGCAACAGTTGCCTCTTCCTTTTGTCGTTTCCGCTTGCCGCTCTGGTGAACTTTAGATGCTAACTGCCTTGGTGCAAAAACCAATCACTTTTGCTTATGTTACTTGATACAGTTCTATGCACCAAATGGCAGTGTGGAGCAATAGATTTAGTGTTAGACTAGAAGCTGGGAGACCAGAGTTCGAATCCTCCCTTGGCCATGAAGCTCAGTGGGCAACCTTGGGCCAGCCATATTTCTCAGTCTGACCCATCTCACAGGGCTGGTGCAAGGATAAAGGTGGTTGCAGTTGAGAGAAAGGGCAAGATAAAGCTTTATGCAATATACGCTTTGCCAGGATTCTAATTATTGCATGTATACAAGAGACAGAACCTATATTGGGGGGGAGGCAGTTACCTTTTCCCATCAGCATTCCAGCCACCAGTACTTTTTCACAAGCGAGACATTCATCTTCCTGCCAGTTTCTTTTTGCCAAATAAAGGCTGAAATGCAAGGCTGGCCACCAGTCCTTTCGAGATGCCCACTTGTTTTTGAGCCAGTGAAGCTGTCTGTCAGAGCTGGGGGTGGGGAGAGGGAGGGGGAGAGAGGGAGAGAGAAGAGGGTGTAACTCAGTTAGAGCCATGCTGAATGCTGATAGATTTCTGTATTACACCAGAACACAACTAAGCTAGGCTAAGATGTGTGTATTACTTATGCTTGTCTACCAAGCTCTGTGCACAGGCAATCTCATCATGGTCCAAACTTCCCTTTTTCGTTTGGAGTTTTAGGCTATAAGTAGCCAACGTACAGTGGTGCCTCGCAAGACGAAATTAATCCGTTCCGCGAGTCTCTTCGTCTTGTGGTTTTTTCGTCTTGCGAAGCACGGCTATTAGCGGCTTAGCGGCTACAGGTATAAACTCGTTCCCGCAACTGCAAGCCTCGACCCCTAGGGAGCATCTGGCCATTGCATAAGCCTCGTCCGGCCTCTTAAGCAGTCCCTCCTGACGCGCTTACATAACACAAGCCCCGACCGCCGCCATCCCAGCGACCCCGGAAGATAAGATCTGCAGCAAGCACCCTGCACCTCCAATCCCGGGGCGCGCTCAGCCAAAGCGTCCCCGGACACCTGTCCCGCCGCGCCTTTGCGCAGCGCTCTGCAGAGCGGAGCAATGAGCCCGGCCGATCGCAGGCAGGGCAAGCGGCGGCGAAGGCGGAGAGAGCGAGGCCCAGAGGGAGGAGTCTCCGGCAACGCCATCGACGGCCCCGCCGCAGCTCCGGGTCCTGGAGCCCTCCGGCTGCCGACTGCCTTTATTTTGCTGCAGGAGCCTCCTCTGCACCGGGATCCTCGCGCGCTCCCTCCGTCTCTCCATGCCTTTTAGGTGAGTGGCGTGCTCGGGCTGACTTTGGACGACCCACAGCGGGGCTTCCCTCGGCCGCGCGACCGGAGCTCGCCTTTGCGGTCACTTTGACAGGCGATGGCGCCACCCTCAGCCTCGGTTCGGGGGCACCGGCTGCTGGCAAATGGGTGCCCCCTTCTTCCCTTGACAGGGATCATCTCCCCCCCGCTTCCTCGGAGATGGGCAGGCAAAACTTTTCATGCCCCCCCGCCCAGTCTGCCGTCCTCGGGATCTAGCGGTCGCCGCGCGCGCTAAGAGCGCAGACGGGGAAATCCCACCCCGAGCCGGGTGTCGCCGCCAGGTCCCCTCCCAGTTCTAAGGCTGAAGCCTAGGAACTTTTCGAAGCGGCGCGGGGCAGCATCACCACCGGCTGTGTTCCCGGACGCTAATAATGTATCGATTGCTATTACTATTAGATTCCCCGCTGCCGCATAGATAGATTGGCGGTGAAAGCGGTTTGCGCGCGGCACGGATCAAGCCCTTCGTCTTGCGAAGCAAGCCCATAGGGAAAATCGTCTTGCGAAGCGACGCAAAAACCGAAAAACCCTTTCGTCTTGCGCGTTTTTCGTTTTGCGAGGCATTCGTCTTGCGGGGCACCACTGTAGTACTCTCCAGATGTTGTGGACGGCTGCTCCCACTGTCTCTGACTACTATAGTCTGTCACATTGGCTACCCCTATTTCAGGGGCATGGAAGATTACTTATGGTTATTTAACTCAGTAATTTAAAAGGGTGCATTACTAATATTAAAATGCAACCTCTTGTTTTTGGCTGAGCCCTTGCAGTGAAAACATGTTCAGTTTCCAGTTAATGTCCTAAATTCAAGAAGAAAAACATGCAACCTGCTCTGCACATTTTTGATATAAATTGGTGCCGCATGGAGTAAAAAAAAAAGATAGGCTACATTTTGTAGGCTAGCATCTTTCATGAATGCAGGGCTGTATAATAAATCATTATTATTATTATTATTACTATTATTACTATTATTATTATTTGTATTCCGCCCTCCCCTGCCGGAGCTGGGCTCAGAGTGGCTAACATCATATAAAACACAATATACATAAAAATAAACAAACGAACAATTAAAATGCATCCCAAAATTAATTCAAATAAATTAAAATTAGACTGGACAAATGGCCATCTTCAAGTTAAAATTGAAAGTGGTTAATACTCACCAGGACCAATTATTTCCACTGATATTATAAGGACCTATGAGTGGGTTGGGAAACCTCCTTCGTACTTGTTCATACAAAGAGAAAATGAGTCAGACTGAACCCTGGCCAAAGGCCTGGCGGAACAGTTCTGTCTTGCAAGCCCTGCGAAAATATGTCAAATCTTGCAGGGCCCTAGTCTCTTGTGAGAGAGCGTTCCACCAGGCCGGGGCCACAGCCGAAAAGGCCCTGGCTCTGGTCGAGGCCAGTCTAATCTCCCTGGGGCTCAGGATATTCAGGTTTTTGTTATTTGTACACCGTAAGGTCCTCCGTGGGGCATACCAGGAGAGGCGATCCCGTAGGTACGAGGGTCCTAGACCCTATAGGGCTTTAAAGGTTAAAACCAGCACCTTAAACCTGATCCTGTACTCCACCTGGAGCCAGTGCAGCTGGTATAGCACTGGATGAATGCAATCCCGCAGTGAGGACCCCATAAGGAGTCTCGCTGCGGCATTCTGTATCCGCTGGAGTTTCTGGGTCAGTTCCAAGGGCAGCCCCATGTAGAGTGAGTTACAATAATCAAGCCTGGTGGTTACCATCACATGGATCACAGTGGTGAGGTCAGGACGAGAGAGATAAGGGGCCAACTGCTTAGCTCAGCGAAGATGAAAAAATGCCGCCTTTGTTGTAGCTTTAACCTGCGCCTCCATAGAAAGGGAGGCTTCAAAGATTACACCCAAACGCTTGACGGAAGGCGCTGCCACCAGTTGCACCACCGCAAGGGATGGGAGTTGGCCCCCCAACCCCATATCGTCTTGACCGAGCCAAAGGGCCTCTGTCTTTGAAGGACTTAATTTTAACTGGCTCCCACATAGCCATCCAGCCACGGCTTCCAGACATCTGAACAGTGTGTCTGGGGCCGAGTCAGGGTGGCCTTCCATCAACAGATAAAGCTGGGTGTCATCAGCATACTGATGGCAGCCCAAACCATCTCAGTCCCATGACCAGAGAGAAAACCGGACTGGAATGGATTCAAAACTGATGTTTCATCCAGAAATCCGCCAAGATGAATGAACTAAATGAACTAAAAGGTATTATGAAATGAAAACAGCTTTAAAAATTAACCAATTATTCCATTGGAAAACTGGTGCAGTTTTGAATACAGGTAAAAGTGTCTAAAACCTTCCCCTGACATATTTTCAAATATGTTGAGATGTTTTTGAATGAGGGGGCAGTCAAATATCCTCAGTGCACCATCTGCAGAGGTGCAGTCAAGCAAGAGATACATCACATGGGGCAGCTGATTTCACCATTCACCCACTTCTGCAATATTTCTACAATCTCCTTCGCCAAGCAGCTCCAGGCTTTGACATTCTCCTTCCACCCAGCAGAGTCCAAAGCTGCAAAAATAACTTCCAGCCGTAGCTTCTGGTTTTTCCTTTTTTCTGAAATTAAGAGCGAATCGTGTTAAGGGGGGAGGGCAGGGAGGCAACCTGATCCTAATTCTGTGTATCTTCAAGCACAATAATTAAAACGCCTTACTTGACTTTTTCAGCATGGCGTAATATTCCAGCATCAGTTCGTGAGAAGGGACAAGCTCGTGCAAGATCTAAAAAGAAACAGACAAGACACTAAACATCCATCTTGAGACAAAGTTATGCACTTCCCTATCCCACCAGTTTCAATGGACAAATTATGAGCAGAGGCTTGTGTCGAAGTTCACTATAGCAGGGGACTGGATTGGTCCAATAATTTCACTTTATAGCTTAAGTATACACAGGGACAAATAATTTCTTCTGCAATTCTGCAACATCAAGTCTGAGGGGGTGTGAAAATTGAATTTACAGCGTGCTTACAGGAAAACAAATCTCCATGTATGTGTGTATAATAAATAATGAAAATAATAATAATTAACAACAACAACATTGTTCATAGGCTTTCCGGACATAGTGTACCTCAACCTCATGTCATAGTGAACCACAGTTAATGGATTACTGTGACATTTTAAAATTTTATCACTTTTATATCTCACTTTTCCTCCAAGAGCTCAAGGCGGCGTACAGGGTTTTCCACCTCTACAATTTCTCCTCACAACAATCCCTGTGAGGAGGGCTGGATTGAGAGACAGTGACTGGCTAAAGGTCACTCAGTGAGCTTCATGGCTGAGCAGGAAATTGAACTCTGGTCTCTCAACTCCTAGTCCGACAGTCTAACTGCTACACAATTAAATGGTGACCATTAAATAAGGCCTGAATATAATACCTGGAGTGCAGACATCTGAGTTTTCCTCGATTCACCCCTTCTCTTTAGGAACTGATATAGGAAGACATGTGCATTAGGGTTTGGAGGAAATTTGGAATTATATGCATATTCGCTCAACACTTCTCTTGCTTCTTCATACTCCTCATAATGCTCCAGCATCTGAGGAAAAACACAAATGTACAGCTGATTATTAAAGTTAGGGACCACATTTTCACCTTGAGGTACCCCCAAAAGTGTTTTGCAACAAAGAAAAAAAATTTGAAAGAAAAATCTTCTCACGTGAACACAATATAGTCAATGATCAGGTGACTGAAATGATTTTTTTTCAAACAAAATTTGTATACCATTTGATTGTCAAAAAACCAAAAAACACCTCTAAGCAGTTTACCAAAAAAAACAACCCATTTAAATTATTGATAAAAAAACAGTTAAAATGAGGTATTTAAAAATATTCAAAGGATTTAAAATCAACAGCAAGCGGCTAAAAAGAAATAAAGCATGTTTAACTTTAACGTGTCTGGATAGTCTTACCTAAACAAAAATGTTTTAAGCTGACACTAGAAAGATTACAATGAAGGTGCCTGCCTGATGTCAATACACAAGGAGTTCCAAAGTTCCACACGGAACTATCCATTTCTTACAAGTGTGGAATGAGTATTTTGTGGCAACTGTAACAGTACCAGTTCCACAGACTGAAGAGGCTAAGTGGGTATACAGTGGGTATACTTAGTTGCCGAATGTTTTGGCTCCCAAATGATCAAAAACCGGAAGTTATTGTTCCAGTTTTAGAACGTTCTTTTGGCAGCCGAACGTCCAACAGGACTTCCGAGGCTTCCGATTGGCTGCAGGAACTTCCTGCAGCCAATTGGAAGCCACACCTTGGAAGTCAAATGTTTTGGAAGTCGAACGGATTCTGGAACGGATTCCGTTCGACTTCCAAGGTACATCTGTTATAGGGGTAGGGTGATCCTGCAAATAAACTGGTCCCAAGCTGTTAAGGGCTTCATATACTAATTGTAACCTCTTGAACTTGGCCTGGCAGCTGGGTGCAGACCTCTGAGCAGAGGCGTTATATGCAGGCAAGGTCTCACTCCTATCAGCAACTGGGCTGCAGCGTTCTGCAGCTTCTGGGTCAAGCACAAGGGAAGCCCCACATAGAATACACTGCAATAATCCAGTTTAATGGATCAGAAATAAGAGCTTTAGAATAAAAAGCAAAATCCAGGTGAGAACTTATGGCTGGATAATATATACAAATCACTAAATGTGATTGGTTTGGTGCACACAGAGAGAGGAGAGGGAGAGGGAGAGGGAGAGAATAATTTGCATCAAATTGCCAAACCATGGTTCGGTCATTGGGTTCAAAACTTGGGGCTGACAGGCTTTCTCCTCCTACAATTACCTCGCTTCCTGATCCAAGCAAACTCCAGTTAGCCATTACATTTGAATTGGCAAACTATCTAGTATTTTTTAAAAGCCACATTTTTTTAAGCCAATGAACATCACCATATGTTATGACAGAAAATTCCCAAGACTCCCCAATGCTTTCTAGACACTTTTTCAGAGTCTTATTTTACTAATTGCTATGAAAGACGTTTTTCGAGTATTCCCCGAGCTACAAAAACTTGGAACAGCCAGCAATTACTTAGATCAAGATTTGGGGGGGGGGGGGAGTAAGATGGTTGTGAATCATGCTCTTACATCCACATAACACGTCACAAAAGGATCCCAAACTCCAGGAATTTTAATGATCTCCTTGAGGCTGACTTTAGCCTGCCGGTACAAGATGCGCATTTCCTGCTGAATAGAAGACACTGCGTAGCTGTCCTCATCTGCGAAAGACAAGGCATGATATAACCTCTTATATTAAGCACGGTGATCTGCAACTCAGGTAAATCATGACACTAATCTCACTTTCCAAGCACCCTAAAAATAAAAATAAAAAGCTTTCTGAAAGAGAAGAACCAACGAAATTCACAACGTATCTTTCTGGTCCCAAAAGAGTCAAACAGAGGACTATTAAGCAGGGAACCTCTTTCAAGCAGAGGCCACATTGGCAGGTGAGCAACCCCACCCACCTGTTCAGGCAACAAATGATGATTAAGCTTTATGTTTACTGCAAGCCAATGAATCTGATTAAACTTAATGGCAAAGAAGACTGAAACAAAAGCATCAGTCAAGTCTGCTTTACCGAGGCCACTCAGTTTGAGTTCCTGTGGTACAGATGCAATGATGATAAGAGCAAAAAACTCTCAACAACCTGTTCAAAAAAACTAACCTTCACCTGATGAGGCAGGCAGACTTAACAAAGCAATCCTAAGCATGTTTGTTCATAAGTTCCGTCGAGTTCACTGGACTTACTCCCTAACAATTGCTTAATGCTGAAATCCTAAACACACATGACTTCTGATTTAACTGTGACCTCAGGACAGTTTAGTAGTCCAAATACCACTGGCTGCTGCACTGTACAGTGTTATTTTGTGTGTTGTTCTTAATTATTGTTTCATACTGACTATTCCTTTATTCATTCATCCTTGCCATGGGTGGGATACAAAACAGACAGACAATAAAAACATAATTAGGACTTAGGGATGCGGGTGGCACTGTGGGTTAAACCACAGAGCCTAGGACTTGCCAATCAGAAGATTGGCAGTTCAAATCCCCGCAACAGGGTGAGCTCCCGTTGCCCGGTCCCAGCTCCTGCCAACCTAGCAGTTTGAAAGCACGTCAAAGTGCAAGTAGATCAATAGGTACCACTCCGGCGGGAAGGTAAACGGCGTTTCTGTGCGCTGCTCTGGTTCGCCAGAAGCGGCTTAGTCATGCTGGCCACATGACCTGGAAGCTGTACCCCGGCTCCCTGGGCCAATAAAGCGCCGCAACCCCAGAGTCGGTCACAACTGGACCTAATGGTCAGGGGTCCCTTTACCTTTAGGACTTAGGTGCATATTCAAAGTCCAGCATTAGAGTCTCATTCTATGCTTCCAATTTCAAGAGCTGAGCATAATAATCATGGCCATCTATGTCCTGCACCGATTTTCCCTAAGGCGCATACTCACCAAGCCCCAACATGTCCGCCTTCTTTTTCAACCACTTAGAATAGTCCAGCAGCCCCCTGTAACCTTGAATGAGTTTCAGTTCTTTGTTCTGAATGACTGTTTGTTCTCCGTACTTCCAGCTTTCTGCCAGGACCAGGTTCTGATAAGCCTCGTCCTCAAACCCGTTGCACAGGAGGTGAAAGACGTGCTCTAAAGAAACCTACAACAATTTCAACCTAGCTTACAATCCTCAGAAGCGGCAGCGGCTCTGAATAAAATGCTACAATGCAAACCCAATGGGCTCAGAGACCTCCTACATCTGGAGGTTTCCCCACTACTTTCAGTGAAAAATTTAGCAGCTTTGCAAGAGCAACAGAAACATGCCGTTTGAATGATGCTGGACCTGGAAATAAATGGGGGACCACTGTCAAACTGGCGATGCAATTAACATCAGCATACGGCATTCAAATCTTGGCAAATGCACTAACGCTCATTGGATCCCAGTCAAGGTTCAAACTGGCTCAGTAGCAACCCAGTGGAACACCTACTAAAGCTTCTGCACACCAAGAAAGAAAGAAAAAGAACTAGACTTCTGAATGTAAACCAAAATGGAATTTCTGCATTTACTGATATACAAAGCTTAACATATTTTTAAAAAATATATGCAAATGATATGAAATAGAATTATAAATGAGTGGAAAACTGAATATAAAGGAATTGATACAAAATCAGGGGAAATTTTTAGAGACTCCTAGTTTGAACTGTAAAAGTATACAAATGGTACACTTTTTGCATGTACATGGGGCCAATTTACTGCAGATCAAGGTGCAGAACTGTGCATACACACACACACACACACACACACACAAATAATAATATCCAGTTCAAAGGGTTGCATCCAGTGCGTCAGTGCCATGTGCGCTAGAGACTTCCTTGTGCACAATGGAACTTCCCCTTCCTCTCCTGCCATCTGCTGTGCCCCCTGTTCTGTGATTCAGATGGTTGGAGGACCAGATTTAGGCAAAGTGTGGGAGGAGGAGAGGAAGCGGAAATCACACATTCCAAGAGCATCGGATACAACCCAAAGTCGCATGAACTACATCAGCATTCATTGCTCTATATTATATTTATTATTATTATTATTAGATTTATATACTGCCCTTCAGCAAGAGATCTCAGGGCGGTTCACAGAATAAAATGCAGGATAAAAACAACTAAATAATTAAAAGAAAACAGCAAAACAACCACTCTATTCTGTAATTAAGGATATGTTTTACCAAAGAAACTTCTACTAGGAGTAATGGACATTGCTACAAATCCCCGCAACAAGAAATAGAAAGGGTGAGGAACCTCCGGCTCATGGGCCTAATCCTGCAGAGGTCCTAATTATGTTTGTGAGACCATCTCCCTCAAACCATGCCCACCCGCTACACCCCTAAAGTCACATGAGATATCGGGCGAGAGGAAGGCAAAAGCACAGCCTGCACACGAGAGCCAGTGTGGTGTAGTGGTTAAGAGCTGTAGTCTCGTAATCTGGTGAACCGGGTTCGCGTCTCCGCTCCTCCACATGCAGCTGCTGGGTGACCTTGAGCTAGTCACACTTCTCTGAAGTCTCTCAGCCCCACTCACCTCACAGAGTGTTTGTTGTGGAGGAGGAAGGGAAAGGAGAATGTTAGCTGCTTTGAGACTCCTTAAAGGGAGTGAAAGGCGGGATATCAAATCCAAACTCTTCTTCTTCTTCTGAATTACGTTAAAAATAAACCACTTTGAAACACACTTCAAAGGAGTTGCCACCCAAAATCGCTATGGTGAGCTAAAAAGTTCCCCATCCCTGCTATACGTGGGAGAATGAGCAGCAATACAGTAATAGCAATAATAATGTTAATAATGTTTTATATGAAAAATAAGTATTATGATCTTAAGGATCCTTTGGAACTCTCCTCACCTTTAAATATCCTTTTACTCCTAAATTTTTCATCTGATCTGCAAAGTGGTTGGTCTCGTGAATATTGCTCCGTGGATGCCGCTGCAAGATCTCAGTTCCTATTCTCCAGATCTCCTAGCATGGAGAACACACATTCAGAACACAGAAGCAAACAACAGCTACAAGAAGTGAACATAAGCATAGCTTTGAAGTATATGGTCACTTACAACAGGCACAAAGAGCACTTCTAATTCCATAATGCAAAAATTTGCAGCCATCGTGACACAGAATTAAATGCACAACAAAACAGCCTAAATTGGGGATAGGCAACCTGTGGCCTTGGTCTAATTTCATGTGGCCCTCAACACTGTTTCAAAAGCCTTCTGCAAGCAATCAGGTTATATCTCTGGCAAGCGCAATCTATCCCTATCCCAGCAGCCCACTGGCTGGAGAGGGAAAGACGGACAGGAGGAGCATAGCTCAGTCTGATAAGCTCAGTTGGTAGAGCATGAGACTCTTTACCTCATGGTTGTGGGTTTGAGCCCCATGTTGGGCGAAAGATTCCTACATTGCAGGGGGCTGAACCCCAACTCTCAATAACTTTCGATAACCATCGACCATGGTATCCTTCTGGAGCAACCTACTTGGCTGGTCGTTCCCAGAGGCAGTGTTCTTTGGCCCCACAGAACCTTCAATGTGGGATTCCTGAGGGTTCAATGTTATCCCTTATGCTGTTTAACATCTACATGAAACTACTGAGTGGGGTCATCCAGTGTTTTGGAGCACGTGGTCGGCAATATGCTGATGACAAACAGCCCTACTTCTCTTTTACATCTGCAGGTGAGGCAAAGAAAGTTCTGGACCGTTGTCTTGCCTCATTAATGGATTAGATGAGAGCCAACAGGCTGAAACTCAATCAACATTCATCTTCAGTCAGGTGTTTGGCTGATGGCTTTTAAAATGTGTTTGTGGGAGGGGCTTTTTCAGCTTGTTTTTGTTTTTATTATTATTATTTTCCTGTTGGGAACTGCCCTGGGATCTTCGGAAGAAGGGCAGTATACAAAACAAACAAACAAACAAACAAACAATAAATGACCCTCGTGGTCTGTTCTAACTCTACAATTCTATAATTGCAGTTTAATGTTGGGAACCGCCCTCAGATCTATGGATATAAGGCAGTATATAAATTTAATAATTTTAATTTTAATAATTCTATGAGATGGCAGAAAGGAGAAACCACTTTAGGTTTTGTCCTTTCCACCACTAGTATGTACTTCAACAACAGGCTATATCCAAGAGAATAGAGCCATCAATAGAAGAAAGGCGGCCCACCCTTGGTCCAAAAATTGCTCTACCCTTTTCCTAAACATATTACATGATGGAAGCATAGGACACAGGAATCACAGAGATCCTTTTCCACCTTTCCTGCGCAGAATCAGGGGATTAGCTCGTCTACTTACTTCAGGAGCAGCCCGCAGTTTGTCTTTACTGTAATGCTCCAACATTTCTATGTAGCTTATGATTAATTCTGCAGCCCTCTGCAACTGGCCTTGCAAAAGGGAATCCTGGATGCAGTTTAAACAACCTTCTTTTGCCTTCTGAAATTCCGAGTGCATTCCGACCCTAGATGCTGTAACACAAGAATAATTTTGGTAACAGACATGAGAATAATTCTGATGTGTTTCTAATGCGGTTATAGACTTAAATTGCAATTCAGAGGAAAACACAAAAGCCCATACATTCTTGGTTGCATCTGGCAAGTAAATACAGGAATCAATCCTGTATTTCATCTTTGGAACATAAAATCCAATACCATACTACTAAACTGTCTAACTTCCTTCATAGCTTCATGCAAACATAACTTCATGCAAAAAAAATGTGCTGCTGCCACCTACTGTAGGCTGATGAGGGCATAAATGAGGAAAAGGTTTCCCACCATTTTTGCTTCTTGCTTCCAGTGTTGATAGTCCTATCATACCATGCAAAGCAATAAGGAATCTTACCAACTAGCAATCAAGAACTTACTTGTGTAGTGAAAATATCTTGGGAGTAAAGGTAAATAAATTCCTGGGATGGGAGCTGTCGTTGTTGTGGCTGCATGCGCATCCTGTGTTTCTCCTTCCAAATTTACCTGCCCTCTTTTTCTTCTCAGTTCTTCAACAACAGTATCCATTTCTGTAAAAGGAAGATGGGGAAATATTTATGCTTGCAGGTCAGGCAAATCAAAATAAGAAATGAAGCAGAGGGAAAGAGACACTTTCAATGTCTTTAAAAACAGCTGTACAAGGAAGCATAAATTTAGTTTTTTATTACTATTTCCAATTAAATATTGCCCCTTTACAGACATGAAATGGAAGCAGGGTGCCTGATACAAGTAGGGAATAGAGCACCTTGCTGAAATTTCAGTCAACATTGCCGTAGCTACAGTGATGTGAAGGTTAAAGTGTGCATCTTAGAAGAAGGTGGAGGGAGAGGCAGACAGACGGACAGACAGACAAAGCAGGGCACTGCAGGGCTGGAAAAGCCTTCAGCATTGCTCCCCACACCATTTTTATTCCTTGCCTTGTGCAGAATCAGAATTGGAAAGGATGATATATCACCCATCGGGGGGCCAACTTGAATAAAATATTGTGGGAGCCCTTGTAAGCTCCGTCCCACATAATCAATCACATGGCACAGTGCACACACACCATGTGAATGGGAATGCCCATCAACTTTGTGGGGGGCCAGCCCCCTCAAATGTTTTATTGTGGAGCCAAAGCCCCCATAGCCCCTAGGAGTTGGCTCCTATGTCACCCATTTTTCAGAAGTGGGGCATGACAACAACTCAACATAGTCATGGTCCTCTCAGTGTTTCAAATTGGTTTTAACCTTGGAGTTGCGCTTTATTCTTGCATTCATGTTGCTTTTCATTTTATGTTTTCGGCTGTATTAAAGTTACTTTCATACTTATTTACTGTAAGCAGCTGAGAGAACATTACAGCATGGGCCAGCATGAAAGCGTCACAAATAAATATTACACTGCACTGTAGAAGAGCAGGGGACTCATTTTTAATTAATTTGTTAATTAATTTGTTAACCCCACATATTAATTAAGTTATTAGCCTGTAATGTAACACACACTTAGATGGGAGTGAGTTCCATTGAACTCAATGGGCCTTGGTTTGGAATAAACATACACAGACTCACACCATGGCAACGTAGTCAGCCAACTCCTGGTAAGGGCACTTAACCTAGTCCCTGGAGTGTTCTGTCGCCCCACAGCCCCTGCGGAGGAGGCACCAGCACCCCATTCTACAGCATCCCCTGGAGCAGTGGTTCTCAACCTGTGAGTCCCTAGATGTTGTTGGACTACAACTCCCATTATCCCTGAGCTCTGGCCTTGCTAGCTAGGAATGATGGGAGTTGTAGTTCAACAACATCTGGCGACCCACAGGTTGAGAAAGGCAGCCTGGAGTGGATTGCAACTTTCGTGTCATTTCTTTCTAATGGGCCAATGCAGTGATCTCTTGAGTTTTCTATACTCCATAAAAACCACTAGATGGCATCAGATAACTTACGTTTCCCTAACACGGAAGTCCTGGTCTGCAAAAGTAACAGTGGCATAAACTTTTAACAATTAGACAAAAAGCCCAAATTATAGGTTGACGCTAAACGCTCCCCACTTTTTTCTTCCTTTCCCTTCCTATTCATCAGAAGTGAGAAATCCAATATTTTAGTGCACCTGTGGCAAAATATAATCAGCAGGCTTCCAGACTGTCACTACTTTTCAGTTGGGATACAATCATATACTGGCAAATTCAGGGTGGACAGTTAAAACTGCTTTGGAACTCTTGCTCAACAAACCAATGTCCCACCTGAAGTTTGGGCTTTCTGCAATGAGGAAAGTGACAAGAAAATGCACTGGGAAATACAGTTAATGCTTGTTTTGACGTGATGCCCCCTAGCATCTCTTTCTAACAAATCAGGATGAATGTTCAACAAACAAGTGGCCTTTCCAAATAAATATTTTTTTTTAATGAAGAGGAAAAAAACAAGTGGCCTGGAAGTGCTCAGAGTTACTAAAGCTACGAACTGCTTTCTATTACTTTTTGTTCCAGGACGAAAGTGCTGCTTCCTAATCATAGCTACACTCAAATTCCCAGTTCCTCCACTGCTTACTATGGTCAGCCCTCATCCGCAGAACTCCAAAAGGACCCAAGCGCAATCTAGTCCAACCTGCGTGACTCCTCAAAAGGAGCCAGGAAACTCTAAACTCCAACTGCATCTGATTCCGTAGCCCACGAAAGCTTATGCCGTAATGAACATATTAAGCGTCACAGGTGCCTTCGCTGTTTTTCCTGCAACAAAGAGACTGCCAGAATTCTCTTCCTTAACTTCAGAAAAGTGAGGTGCCAATCTAACCTTTTCCTATCTCTATAGATATCGGTTGGCTACCACGTGTTGTCTCCCACGGGAATCTATTGGCTCCCTGATACAAGCGCCGTGAGCTCCGAGAGAAGCCTTCGCCGGCCAACCTACCTGGATGCGGAGCTTCCTTCTGTCTCTCGGTAACCTCTCCTGACAGGGCCCGGTCTCGCGCTTAACGAGGGTATGGAATGTCTACGAGGGTACTACGGGTACTACGAGGGTATGGAATGTCTAAAAGGCCATTTTGAGTTCCTTCCAGCACGCCGACGCGGTCCTCGCCGCCATCTTTGACCATGGCATAACCCGACTTCCTGTTCGTACTACGTAACAACCGGTTTTCTTTCTTTTTTTTAGTTAGGGGCGGGGCTGGAGGCCGTAAAGGACTTTGCAGTTATATGCGCGTGCGCAAAAACTTTTGAGGCTTTGTGGTTGTTGCCGCGCAGAGTGGACGCTCCTTGTGCTTGCGAGGTGTCTGAACCTTGCCGGTCATCTCTAATGAAGAACGGGATATAATTTAAAAGATAAAGAACGTATTCGTTTTTCGAAGCTTAATTTTAGGTGGCTAAAATTATGCACAGAAGTTCCCAAACCCCTGAGAGCGAACAAAAACTTGTCCCGTGTGGTGTAGTGCTTAAGAGCAGTAGACTTGTAATCTGGTGAACCAGGTTCACTTCCCTGCTCCTCCACATGCAGCTGCTGGGTGACCTTGGGCCAGTCACACTTCTTTGAAGTCTCTCAGCCCCACTCACCTCACATAGTCTTTGCTGTGGGGGAGGAAGGGAAAGGAGAATGTTAGCCGCTTTGAGACTCCTTCGGGTAGTGATAAAGCGGGATATCAAATCCAAACTCTTCTTCCTCTGAGCCCCACCAGGAAAAAAGCCACACAATTTCAACCAGAATGTCAAGTGCTGTTTATAGGACTGTAGGGAAATATCCCTACAGATGGTGAAAGCAGTCACGAAATTAAAAGACGACTGCTCCTTGGGAGAAAGGCGATGGCAAAACTAGACAGCATCTTAAAAACAGAGACATCACCTTGCCAACAAAGGTCCATATAGTTAAAGCCATGGTTTTCCCAGTAGTGATGTATGGAAGTGAGAGCTGGACCATATAGAAGGCTGATCGCCAAAGAATTGATGCTTTTGAATTATAGTGCTGGAGGAGACTCTTGAGAGTCCCATGGACTGCAAGAAGATCAAACGTATCCATTCTTAAGGAAATCAGCCCTGAGTGCTCACTGGAAGGACAGATTGTGAAGATGAGGCTCCAATACTTTGGCCACCTCATGAGAAGAGAAGACTCCCTGGAAAAGACCCTGATGTTGGGAAAGATGGAGGGCACAAGGAGAAGGGGACGACAGAGGACGAGATGGTTGGACAGTGTTCTCGAAGCTACAAACATGAGTCTGACCAAACTGTGGGAGGCAGTGGAAGACAGGAGTGCCTGGCGTGCTCTGGTCCATGGGGTCATGAAGAGTTGGACACGACTAAACGAATAAACAACAACAACAACAGGGAAATCTCCAGTACTCCCCCCCCTTTTTTAGCAAGTACCAGCACACTTCTCTCTTTCTTTCTTTCTTCCTTCCTTCCTTCCTTCCTTTGCTGCCACTGGTAGCTGTTTTGTGCTGGCACCCATGGCAATTTTCTCAAGATACAGGTACTGGCACCTCATCTCTTTACCGTATAAAGCCCTGGGAATCTCTATTTGGAAGTAAAGCTTTCTTATAGTAGTGATTATGCCATAGGAAATACTTACTGCTCACTGTCATAGCCTTCTATTTGACCTACAGTACAAAAAAAGCAATTACAATCCTACATGCTGACTTGGAATTAAGACCCACTTAAACCAGTGATCCATACATAGGGCCAAGCTAAATCCCAACAGCTGCATTTCTGCAAGGAAGCAGGTAACCACCATGGCACTTGGCTCTGAGTAAACATGCTTTGGATTGCGTTGCAGCAGCATTGCTGCAAATCCTAAATATTCATACCCAGAGCTAAACCGTTGGCTTACTAGGGTCTATTTTTCCTAAATGCACAAATAGTTGCAAGTTTGTTTTTTATTTCATTTTACATATTTCAGTCATGAGTCTACTCCACATGTGCTCTGTTTGGATGAGTATGTCTCATCCCTGCAACAAAGGCAGCACCTGGATCTTGGCAACAGGACTATATCCTCCCCCTCTGCCTCCACCACCACCACCACCTCCTATTCATTCCTCCCCTGCATTGGAGGGACAGAGGAGAGAGAGAGCAGATCTGCTTCCCCTATCTTTCATTTAGAATCATTAGGGGAGGACCTCCCTTCTCCATCTCAGGGTGCTATTTAGCACTAAATAGAATAGCACTGAGAAGAAGGCACTTGGCTGATGTTAGTAGGCAGAGAGTGTAAGTGCTGCCACACTGAGCGATTGGCAGGTAGTGCAAATCTCCGTGCAGAGGAGTTATATGCTAACAGGGCCTCGCTCCTGTCAGCAAATGTGCTGCAGCATTCTGCACAAGCTATGGTTTCTGGATCAAGCACAAGGAAAGCCACTGAAGCTACCTGGGGCTCTAGTCACAAAGCTGGATACAGAATCACTCCCAGAATGTATACTTGTTCCTTTGGGGGTAGTGCAACCAATTTTCAGGGCATGCAACTGACCAATTTTTTGGACATGGAAACCACTCAATCACAATGTCTCCATCTTGTCAGAATTCAGGCTCAGCTTATTTTTCCTCATCCAGCCCAGGCATCTGTCCAGGCCTCATCCCAGGGCCGCGTGGCCCTCCTGAATAACATATCATGGAGAAATAGAGCCAAATGTCAGCAGTTTACTGGTGGCACCTTGCTGTAAAACTCATAATGACCACTACCAGTGGCTTCATATAGATAGTATAGTAGATAGTTTTGCGGATAAAATAGCATAGCTTCCAGGGGGCCCAAAAAAATACCCTCCCAATGCTACTCTTTGCACTCATAGGTAGGACCCAAACCACTGTAACACAGTGCCTCCAATTCCAGTTAAATGCCAGTGCAGGAAGATACCATGGTCAATGGTACCAAAAGCTGCGGAGTTATTGAGAAGCAGGTGCAAAGTCACACTCATCTTGTCCGACTCTCTGTAAAGGTCATCCATCAGGATGACCAAGGGTGACTCAAGTCCTGTAGCCAGGACTGAACCCAGACTGGAATAGATCTAAATAATCCATGTCATCCAAGACTGTAGCTGACCTGTCATCCAAGAACGCAAGCAACTGCAGTTTGGAGGAGAGAGTCAGAGGTTTTATCATCTCTTGACATTAAGTGTGCAAAAAAACCCCTGCTGATTAAAGCACTAGAACTCTGCTCATGGCATCCATTCCATTTAAATTGGTTTGTTCTCTTTTTTTTTTTTTTACTTTGCTACTGGGATTGTACTCAGGGTGAGATCTGGAGCAAATTTAGGATTTGCATGTTCCTGTTTCCCCTTACTGTGGGTAGTAAAGGTACTGTAAAGGAGACCCTGCTATCTATGGGACAGGTAACAAACAACCAGGTCATACATCTCAAAATGATGAAAGTTGGGCAGGTCTTAGTCATAAAAACGTTTGTGGAAATAAGCTGATTGTAACAAAAGTTACTTTCACATTTAGAAGTGAAAATTTGGGAGCAAGTATCAGTGTGTGTATGTGTTTGTTTGTTTTTTTAAAAAGGCTTTCATGTTAACATACTTTTAAATTCCTCTGACTGGGTGAAGAAGAACAGTAGAACAGTTCTGTTTTCCAGCAGCCAGGCAATAGTCACTGATTATTTGGCTCAAAGTGAGATAGTACACAAGAGAATAGTATGCAATGAAAATCAATAATTTTGAGTATATGATAAGAACATCGGCTTCACTTCTGATGTAATTAGTGGCAAAGATTACTGTTAGCAATTTCAGATATCAAAGTAGCAATAACTGGAAGAGCACAACAGACTGCTACTTATGTAGTCACTCAGCAAGCCAACTAGTTCATCATTATTATTCTCTCTGTGCTGCTTGCGACAAGGGACACTGTGTGCTTTACATATTTTAATTATCGTAAAAGGCCACTTCTGCATACTGCCAAATGTGCAGAGATGAAAGCATTTACATTGCAATCATTATCCTATTCTGTTATGTTCTCTTCATATTAAGATACAAGTTAAGTTCTAGCAAACCTTGGCTTCTTTTTGTTAGAATCCTGGATGAACATACATTTTCCTGTATAGCATGCTTGTTTCACATTGAACCAGTCAACTGGTGCAATGTAATCTAAGCACAAATGCAAAGCGAATGTATAAACCAGCAATAACCTTAATGCAAACAAACTGAAAACATAGAGGAATGTTCAATACTACCACACTGTATCTATGTCTTAGCCAAAAAAGCTGACATAGCAACTCTTTGTATCATCTGAATGTTCTTTACCAGATGCCCTGGCCCAGTCAAATGTCATGCAGCTGCACTGAGAGCCAGTGTGGTGTAGTGGTTAAGAGCGATAGACTCGTAATCTGGGGAACCGGGTTCGCCTCTCTGCTCCTCCACATGCAGCTGCCGGGTGACCTTGGGCCAGTCACACTTCTTGAAGTCTCTCAGCCCCACTCACCTCTCAGAGTGTTTGTTGTGGGGGAGGAAGGGAAAGGAGAATGTGAGCCGCTTTGAGACTCCTTCGGGTAGTGATAAAGCGGGGTATCAAATCCAAACTCTTCTTCTATATATCTGCAGTGATGACTGGCACTGGTGTCAGATACTGCACATAACTCAGCCAAACACATGCATGGTTGTTGGGTTGAAATCACGACAGACGAGTCTTCACATGGTAAGGGGTTTTTGAACATTTTCCAAGCCATGTAGATTGCCGCACATGGATAAAATATAGGAGTACCAATTTTAAATTAGTTCCCTATAGATAATATGGGAATAACAGCAACAGAAGGTGCTTCCAGACTACCTGTTTATTGAACATTCATCCTGATTTGTTCGCATGGAGATTAGGCAATGTTGCCTCCGTACTGAGTTTTCATTCTGATTTCTTTGAGAGGTGGTTAGATGGTGTTGCATCAAAACAAATGTTAATCTATGCTTTCCAATGCATTTCCCCATCACCTTACTTATTGCAAAAAGTCTGGTATTTTGGGCAAGTGGGTTTGTTGCACAAGATCCCTTATCAGCTATAGTTGTGCAACCTGAATTTGCTGGTATCTTTGGGATAAATAAGAAACATTTAAGAAATAAAATTAATCTGGTAATAGACATAGTGCCTCTGTTCCTGGAGGCAGCAAATAGCCATCATTAATAGTGACCACTGATAGTCTTATCATTCATGAATTTGTCTCATCCTCTTTTGAAGTCATCCAAGTTGGTAGCCATCACCACATCTTATGGAAGTGAACTATACACTGTGTGAAGAAGCACACTCTGTACTTAATCTCCCACCATTTACCTTCATCGAATGACCCTGTGTGATTTTTCATGTGAAATGCACAAGGAAGCCATTCAGATTCCACATCAGGGTGAAGTGGAACAGTCCATGTGACTTGCTGAAAGAATGAGGTGCTAGACGAAGTTTCGGGCAAAACTACACATCCTTTAATCTCTGGCCATTGCCTATACTTGCTTACTTCAGCAACATCTGGGGGGCCAAAAGTTTTCCACCAGTTCTAGATTATCCTACACCCTTATGTGCTAGATATCTACTTGCAGGGAGGTTTTTGTACATAGGGAGGAATTTTGTGAGATGCATGGAGCCAACTTGAATAAAATATTGGGCAGGCCCAGGTAAGCCCCACCCTGCATAATCAATTTACAAGATGCAGCACACATGCACCATTTGAGTGGCAATGCCTATTAACTTGGGGGGGGGGCACTCAAATATTTTATTTTGGGGGTACCAAAGGGACCTCGGCCCCTAGGAGTTGGCTCCTATGGTTAGATGTGATTTTATCCTCCTGCAGTCCGAAATGACACTTCCTGTTCTACCACCTCAGGACCATGGACATAGCCAAGATTTATACTGGGGGGGGGGGGGACCTCAGTTAAATATGTTTATTGATTTACTTGATCTTGGGGGGCAAGTGCCCCCCCCGGCTACGCCCACACTCAGGATTCGCCATATCCCCGTACCCCCTTTCTTCAATTTAAATTTTCCTGCGCCTTTAAAACTGCAACCCTAATGACCCTTACTACGGAGTGAGGGCGCGCTGGGGGTGCGGGGAAGAGTAAACAAATCCCAACTATTTATATCGCGCGCAGGAGACGAGCGCCTCTGCCGCAAAAGCGTCAAAACCCCGCGGACTACAACTCCCGTCGGCCCCTCGGGCGGGCCACCGTGCGGGCGGACAGGGCCCGACGGGAGCTCTCTCGCTCCACGCGCCCACCGTGCTCTAGTGAAAACATACGGGGCGGCTTGGCGAGCCGCTGAAGGAAGGCCGGAAGCGAAGTTGTGTTTCCCCACTGACAGGGGAAGGTCCCCCAAGCCCGACCTGTTGTTGTCAGTGCTGCCAGATACAGAACCGGGGTGCAAAGTGAACACACACATACACACAAAAATACAGTCGGGGGGTGGAGGGAGAGGCGAGCAAAGGGAGAGAGAGAGCGCCTGAGGTGCATTTGCCTCAGGAGTGGGGCGCGCGCGCCTATTCTTGGTCCTCCTCCTCCCTGTGGACAAGCACCGCCGCGCAGGGTGTGGTTCCCCTCCATCCTTTCCTCCTCCTCCTCCTCCTGCTGCTGCTCCTTTGGGGCAGCGGGCGAGTCTCCTCCTCCTCTTCTTCTTCCTCCTCCCCATATCCTTCTCCAGCCGGGCTCTGCTTGCTGCTGCTGACGTGTCTTGCTCCAGCTTCCCCCCGCCCGGCCGCCCCACGCGCCGCTTCTTTTTTTTTCGGCGCCAGCCCGGCAGCCTCGCGAATTCCCAACATGGCTGCTGCGGCGCGGCGGCGGCCCCTCGCCCTGCCGCCTTGGCGGATGCTGCTGCTGCCGCCGCTGCTGCTGCTCTTGCTGTGCGCCCAGCTGCCCCCCTGCGCCCAGTCCGGCGGGGCCCCGGACCGCCGTTTCGCCGAATGGAAGCGGTGCGCCGACCCCGAGTGCAGCAGTAAGTGGCGGGGAGGGAAGAGGCAGGCGACCGGGTATCCGCCGGGTCCCTGCGACTGTCTGCCCTTGCAAAGGCGGTGGCGGCGGCGGCATCTCCGAGGCCGCGTCAGAGAAGAGGCTCTGGATGGGGGCCGCCTCCTGCCTCGCAGGGTGGGGTGGGTTGGGGGGGGGAGAGCCGCGAGGGTGCTTCTGCCCCACCGCTCATCCCACGTCCCTGGAGGGACGGCGGGGATCTCCATCTCTCCCCGTGTCATTTTACACCCTTGTCATTTTAAATATCCGTCCACGTTGCCTTGGGCCCGCTGCTCCTGGCAGGGTGGCCCCCGCTTGCCACGGTTTAGCTTGTGCCAGAGCGAAACTTGCAACAACAACAAACAAACAAAAAAAACACCACCCGAGCTTAATTGAGCACAGTGGGATTTATTTTTGAGGGGGAGGGGTTTTGGGTGTGAATGAGGTGTTTAGGATCGGAGCTAAAACTGGGAAGTGTTGCCTCAGTCTCTCACCCCCCCCCCGCCGTCAAATGCGCTCTTGCAGGTTGCTACCTGTCTTCTACTTTGTAAAGTAGCGCGTGCTTTATTCCTTCCCTATGTGGAGACGGCGATAATTATCATTCCGATCACCATTATTACTCTTTCTTATACATTGCTGACTTTAACTGGAAGCCGGGGGGGGGGGCGATCCTTTTACATTTTATCCCTCCCACCCACCGAAACAGCTCCACCACGCAGTCTGAGATGTCCCACGGTGTCGAAGGGTCTTAGGCTGCATCTCTTACGTTGCCCATGACTTTGGTGGTTGTCACCCTAAAAAATTGTTGCCCCAAATGATTTCATGGGCTGTTTTTGTTTGTTTGGGCTAACCCAGAGGAGGTTCTGATTCATCACCCAGTAAAAACTTATTGCTGGACCTGTTTCTCTTACTGCTGTCTCTGTACTACTATTGTTGTCACCAGGAAGATTTGCTTTTAATAAGCATCAAGTACAGTGGTGCCTCGCAAGACGAAATTAATTCGTTCCGCGAGTTTTGTCGTCTTGCGATTTTTTTCGTCTTGCGAAGCACGGTGTCGGAAAAGTTTTGGAAAAGCTTCAAAAATCACCAAAGTCTTCAAAAACCTCAAAAAAGGCTACCACACCGCGTGCTATGAGTTGCTCCTCGAAGTCAAGTCGCAACTGTATTAACGGTGTTAAGAAAAAGGAAACAAACTTGCAAGACGTTTCCGTCTTGCGAAGCAAGCCCATAGGGAAAATTGTCTTGCGAAGCAGCTCAAAAAACAAAAAACCCTTTCGTTTTGCGAGTTTTCCGTCTTGCGAGGCATTAGTCTTGCGAGGTACCACTGTATTTGTCTTCCTTTCTGCTTGTAAACAAACCTGCATCCTTTAGAAGCTGTTTTTTAGGAGAAGCAAATTCTCGACCTCATTCTCCTCTTCTTCTCATTTTATTGTCCTGTATCAAATTACTCAAAGAAATCTGATATATGAAATTCATTTTCTTGGAAATATTCATCTATTTGAGTGGTTCTTAGCTAATTAGATGACTGCATTTGTTTGTTTAAAATGTATTGTTCTGATCCAGAACTCATTGTAAGAATATCTCAGACGTTTCAAATTTGTGGGTTCAGATTCAGTCCGTTTAATTTTTGTTACTGACAGCCCACTCCTCAACTTGTTTAACTGCAAGGATGACTTCCTTATGTCCTGTTAAATGTGCATAGGGATTGCACCTGTACCTATGCAGGCTTACTTGGTAGTTAGTCCCACTGTGTTCAATGGTGTGACATTTGAGTATAGGATTGCAGCTATAAACTGTGATCCTATCCCCCATTAAACTTAGTGACACTTATTTTCAAGTAAGCATGCATACATTTGTGCTGTTGGTTTGACATTCCTAGACTAAAAATGTAGACTTTACTATTCAGTTAAACTAACTATACAGTTGTGTGTGCTCATGCATGTGTAGAAGGACTCTCTAGCTACATCACCTTTCAAAGATAAGCTTTTGTGAATAATAAAATAGAATTTGGAACCCTTTCCATTGATTTTGTTTATTTATTAAAATATACTTGTTCTGCCTTTCTTTCCCAAATAAATTAATTTAACTTAAATTGAAACAAATGTACAATATTAAGGTTTTATTTTTTTAACAAAATCAACCCAGTTCAGCATGCTCTTCACAGGGCAACACACTTAGCATTCTCATTGTCAATGTTTAGGAAACACTCAGTTTTTGTGGTTAAATTAACATCTAGTGTTGTGCTCATATTTTAGTGGAGTGACTGGTATAGGACTTGTTCCTCTTATTGTATTACTGGATGAACTTTTTAGGAACTTTGTATTGTATTTTGTTTTAAGCTTAGTTTTAAATTGATTTTATGTTTATTTTGTTGGTTTGAGATTTCTTTTTTGCATAAAGGAAATAACAAACATATTTAATAAATAAACAAATAGCACCCTGGTGCATAATGCATATGACTACATGCATTTGGGACATAGTGAAGGATTGTGATACTGGGATATATTCATGGAGTCTATTACGTTTTTCCAGGAGAAACGTCTTCAATAAAATGTACATTGAAACCTCATTATGTCCTTTCATTGCCTTAACAAACATTTTAAGACACAAAGTAACTTCGATACCAGATTTTCACCAGCCATAACTTCTCATTCCCGGGCTACATTGTTTCATACACATGGACTGCAAGTTATAGACATGTTTCCTTTTCTGTTGAGAAAACGGCTCTTTATTTACTTTGCCATTTTTTTCTCATTTTCTTTCAACAGTGCTAATGTGTCGAGGGAAAGCAGTGAAGGATTTTAAAGGCCCAGATTGTCGTTTTGTAGATTTTAAAGAAGGTGAATCGGTGTACGTGTATTATAAATTAACCGGGAGAACACATGAGCTTTGGGCTGGAAGTGTAAGTTTTTAAGTACTTTATATGGTTTAACACAAATTGGAAAAAGCAGTATGGGTGGTATTCAATGAAGCTTTACTCAGAGAAGGTGCATTGAAATTAATGAACATGACTAAGTTAGGTCCATTAATTTCAGTGGGTCTACAGTACTCTGAATAAAACTTATTAGAAGTGACATGGGGTGGTATTCAACTAACATTTTAATTTTTCTTTCTTTCTTTCGCTGCCTCCCCCAGAGATGTTCACAGGTATTTTCACATTGTGCTACAGTATGTTATCTTACATATTCATTAAATAATCCCCACTTTGCCAAGAAGTCAAGGGATACTGCTACAGCCTTTTAGTTTCCTCTGCATGAGAGAGCATAAGAGACTTGTTAACTTTGAATTCTACAAGCAAAGCCTATTGGAAGTAAATGAATGCTTACAAAGAGGCAATACAATCACCAAGCTGCTTCCAATCCAGCTAAACTCACCACCTCTGCAGTTTTGTTTTGGTTTTTTTTTTGCACTAGAAATAGCACACCATCAGCTTCTAATGCAGAAGAGATTCTGCCTCAACTCAGAAAACTTTGAGTAAATGCAAATCTACCAGATCACCCAAGCGAGACAGCAGATTCCTGTTACTTATAATAGAATTGTAGAGCTGCATGTTTGAGAGTGTGATTAAGTTCCCTGGAAAGGTGGTTTTGGTTGAGAACTTCACAAACCCTTGAACAGATGAGGTGGTGTTTTTGTTGTTGTTGTTGTTTTGCTTCAACTTGACTTAAAATTCTGTTTGATATTTAAATGTCAGCACCTATGATTGAAAAGTCCAGTAACTCATATTTTCCACTGGGTATTTGGAACCATTTTTGCATGATGTGGGCCTTCACTGCTTTGGAATCCACACATATGACTCTTCTCAGTCCCAGAGATTTCCCTGGAACGGTCTATCTCTACTCATGCCTCCAAGTTTTATTTTAAATATTTCTCCTTTGTTCAGAAGGTAAATAGTCAGGGGGTTAATGGTAACTGTTAAATTCAGGAATCTCAGCTAAAGCATCCATGACAGATGGCCATCCAACCTTTGCTTAAAAATCTCCAAGGAAGGAGAGTCCATTGGTAAACTATCATTTGCAATTAAAAAATGCTTCTTTTGTGGCATGTATTACCACATTTTCAAGGGGTTTTTTTGTGTTTAATGGTAGCATTTATTTTGAAAATGGCTTGAGCCACTAAGTATATATTGCCCACAATTGCATGTTACTTTTACCTGTTTCTGCCATCAACTTTTGCTGAAAAGCATTGTGTACTGCTTAACCCTCTCCTACTCTGCCATTTGTCCATTCAGAATTGTGTCTCCATGGGAGGAAAAGATTTTGGGACCCTGTAATTTCTCCCCTACCCCATGATCGGGAAATGGAGAGCAGTTTGGGGTGACTCTTACAACTACAAAATCTGCAATTTGGTCCTGAAAAATTTGGAAGGATATACCGCAAAGGCAGTATTGCACAAGAAAAATATTTTAATTGCATTCTGGAGCCTGATAAAGGATCTCATCTGTTTCATATTGGGAGCATAAATTGTGCTTTCTAAAAATGTGGTACACTGACAACACAAAAGAACTAACAATGGCTTGGATACAGAGACATGCACACTTGAATCCTATTTAAGGGCGCTAGCTCAATGGCAGAGCAACTGTTTTGAATGCCAGAGAGCCCAGGTTCAACCCCCACCATCTCCACATCTAACACAAATGGGAAAAAACTGTATGGGTGGCATTCAACTAAGATTTGTTCACAAATAGGCCCACTGAGATTAATGAACATTACTAAGATAGGTCCATTATTTTCAGGGGGTCTACTCTGAGTAAAACTTACCAGAAGAGCTATGTGGTGGTATTCAACTAACATTTTAATTACTCTTTCTTTCTTTCACTGCTTCCTGCAGAGACGTTTAAAGGTATTTTCATTGACATTGCTCTGTGCATTTTAAAACATATTCATTAAGTACTCCACACTTTGCTGAGAATTCAAAGGGTACTCCTACAGCCTAAGTTTCCTCTGCATGAGAGAGCATCAGAGACTTGTTATTTTTTAATTCTACAAGCAAAGCCTATTGGAAGCAAGTGAGGCAACAAAACTACAGTGGTACCTCGGGTTAAGTACTTAATTCGTTCCAGAGGTCCATTCTTAACCTGAAACTCTTCTTAACCTGAAGCACCACTTTAGCTAATGGGGCCTCCCACTGCCACCGCGCCGCCGGAGCACAATTTCTGTTCTCATCCTGAAGCAAAGTTCTTAACCCAAGGTACTATCTCTGGGTTAGCGGAGTCTGTAACCTGTAGCGTATGTAACCTGAGGTACCACTGTACTTGCATTAGATTCCTAGATAGCAACAGTGTAGACACATACCACAATCACCAAGCTGCTTCCAGTTCAGCTAAACTCACAACTCTCTCTGTGTTCCCAATTTAGTAAGTGCTAGTTACTTTCTTTCCTACTCCTATACCATGAGGAGCACTGGTCTTGAATCCAATTCTTGTGGGTAAATTTCCCTTTCAGAAGAACATTTAATGTCAGTAGCTTCCATTGAGGAACGTTTTGTTTTGTTTTTGCATTACTCGGTATAAGGCTGCTTCCTAGGTTTCTACTGAAATGAATGGGACAAGTTAACAGCAACTAACATAACCAATGGATCTTAAGTACTACTCACTAGATTGAGGCCTCTGTTAAGGTGATGGTGGCTTTCAGTAAACATGATAGACCTTACTTCAAATCTTACTTCCTCTTTGCAATGAGATGTCAGAGAGGTAAGATAGACTTATAGATACCTACTAGGCTATAATTTGTCACTGCTAAATAACAAATGAACAGTCCCTTAAAGTTGGGTATTCTGACTGCAGGCCTGTGCAGAGCTTGTCAGAGGCCTAGGATGTTGGCAGGACAGTGTAAGTCCAGGGCCCTGGTGGGCTTCTGCAGGCGACAGCCCTTCGAGGCCAAGGAAAAGTGTACCTGGCTGTCCCCTGCCCCTTACACAGACTTGTCTGGTTGAACGAATTCCTTGTAGCATGCTGAGCATATTATTTTTTTTCCTTTGTAAAGGAAAGTCTGCCACTATGAGCCATTACAACACCATTACAACTGCTTTCACTGGAATACACAAGTGGGTTTATGGCACAACAGACTCTCAGCCAGCAATAGAGTCCAATTAAAGTTGCACAGTTGAAACAGGAAAAGCACTGCATGCAGTGAAAGTGGCAGAATGGAATCATTGTGTTCTTCCAGTAATTCCCCTCTGACATTACTGTGCCACAAATAACCTGGATAATTAGGAGGCATCTGTTTCCAGGCTTGCCAGCGCTTTATAAACACAAAATATGAAGACTTGAGAGAGCCGGCTCTGAAACAAAAGGCTGGATAATTAGAGCCTGAAGTTTTTAAACAAAAGAAATAATTAGAAAGTTCACACCCACATTAGCCAAATTAATGTGCATACAAACAGCTGTATACAATAATAAGTTTAAGGTAACTCAGCAAAGGTCAAGGTGAGAGTACAGTACAATATCTTAAATCCTTTGTAACTGATTACAAAGTTAATACAGGAAAATTGTCCATTCCTGCTACAAAAAAGATGCAGTCCATGTCAAGAACACCTATTGTGCAACCTTGACTTTGGATGTTACTAGTTTGCACCAATATTTAAGAATAAATATTGAACAAAGGGAATAACACATCCAGCTAGCATTCTGTTTGTTCATAGAAGAGTATTATATACTAGACAGATGTTCATTTTACTGTACCATCCTATAAGCCAGATAAATCCCTGGTTTAATTGCATACAAAAGTGATGCTGATGCTTGGCATTGTTTTTCCATCTCTTCGTAGGCCTGGCATCTAAGAGTTTGATGCAGACTCCTTAATAATACAGTGGTACCTCGAGTTACATACGCTTCAGGTTACAGACTCTGCTAACCCAGAAATATTACCTTGGGTTAAGAACTTTGCTTCAGGATAAGAACAGAAATCGTGTAGCGGCAGCACAGCAGCAGCGGGAGGCCCCATTAGCTAAAGTGGTACTGAAGGTTAAGAACAGTTTCAGGTTAAGAAGGGACCTCCAGAACGAATTAAGTTCTTAACACGAGGTACCACTGTAATAATAAAAACATATGAATCTGGCATCGAGAAATTGGAAATATATTTCTCAAGCCCTATGAAAAGACATCTGAATCACCTGCTCTCAACTTTTACTAACTTATTTGAAGCCAGGAAATGGTCCATTTAATTATTAGTAAATATCTGGGATGTTTTCCTGGCAATAAAACCACCAGGATATTTAGGAAAGGGGCAACACTCATGGAGTGCATTCTAACTGAGCACATTATCTTTAGCGTTTGTTTACTTAATGTGTTCTGCCAGTTTCTAAATGCCTCAGTTATCTAATCTCTGTAGCAATTCTCGGCTGTTAATAGTGGCTTCCTGATAACAGTTGTAAGAACTGAATGAGAGCAGAAGTGTGAATCTTTTCTAGAAAGCAGTAAGCAGGGATAAAATCAGAAAGTGCATGCCTATGCATGTTTACTCAGAAATAAGCACCTCTGTGTTCAGTCTGACTTACTCTCTAGTCACCACGTTTAGGATGAGAGATTTTGCTTCCTTCCATAGTTTGCATTTTACTAGAGTAGCATCTTGCCTCTTGTGTGGAATTAATGATTCTTACTGAAATACACGTTGACAAAAGAAGGGTGGTCTTGCATTGATGTTGAGTGTGAATAATTTAAACAATAGCAAGGAGTCAAATAGACTTTAAAATACTGGGAAATGTTTGCAGAGTGGTGGTGGAGTATTTGAAAATAAGAGAATATCACAAGGGCATCTTGAATGTGATGTTGGCCTACAAACCATAACTTATTCTGCAAATATGCTATTTGTTAGAAAGTAACTTATCTCATGCTAGGTTTAAGAACAATGAAAACATCTCATTGTTGTTATATTCAATGGTAGAAAAATGGATTTCGAGGAGAGCAAAGTAGGATGGGAGGGAAAAACCTGCTTTGTTTACGCAAAATTCATATTTTCTCTTGCTTGTATAGAAGCTGGAAATTCCAGCCATGCTCTCCCAGTTTTAGACAACGTAAGAATGGCTTCTACCTCTGAGCCCTGTCTCTCAGAACCAAATTAGAGCTTTCCTGCCAGTGTAAATTGCAGCTTCAGAGGAGCAGAAGACTGCAGCACGGGAAGGAAGATTTAACCCCGCTCTCCACCTGTGATTGTGATCCCAATTATTTTCCATTGGCTGCTATCAAATGTAAAAATGCAAAGATGCTTTAAACATCACACCTAGTTTTATCCTAAGTACCACAATGCCTGTTGGTTTTTACATTTAATTTCTGAAGAGTATGGTGCTGAATATACACTGTTAAATACAGAATAATCAAGTACAAGAAAAAAAGACAAACATCAGCTTTTGAGCCAGGCAAAAAGAATGCAATCTAGATGAAGTTGGGCACACCTATGCCCACAGTATGCTTCAAATGTGGATCAAAGGTCCCAGTAAATTCCGTAAGTTGAAAGCAAGTTCCATTAAAGGAACCTCCAAATAAATATGCACTAGTGAGAGTGCCACTCCCATATTTCAGCAAGACTTAGAACTGTTTTTTTCTGGAGTTTGACTAATAATCTAATACAGTGGTACCTTGGTTTAAGAACAGCTTAGTTTATGAACAACTTGGATTAAGAACGCTGCAAACCCCGAAGTAGGTGTTTGGGTTTGTGAACTTTGTCTTGGAAGCAGAACATGTTCCGCTTCCTGTTGAGTGTAAGTTGAATCCCCCACTGCTATGGGAAAGCACACCTTGGTTTAAGAACGCTTTGGTTTAAGAACGGACTTCCGGAACCGATTAAGCTCGTAAACCAAGGTACCACTGTATACCTTTCTGCAGTGCTCTAAGCTGAAGTGGCGAAATTCTGCATCTAGGCATTGATGTTTCACTGCTTTGCTAACTTTCCATATATTTCCTTTACATTCTCAGTGAAGCTGAGGCAAAGTATTTGCATATAACAGATGCCTCAAACTGTTATTGACCCCTAATGCTTGATGGTTTCAGTCTTTAGGGTATGTGGCCTTTGACTGTGCCTATTTGGATGAATTTCAAATAGTGCCTTTTTAATGGCAGCTGCCATTTAAACTTACTGTATTATTTCAAATACATAAAAACTTGTTTTATTCTGTATTCCTGACCCCCATTATTCTTAAAAGGGTTTGCAGGGGTCAGCAAACTTTTTCAGCAGGGGGCCGATCCACTGTCCCTCAGACCTTGTGGCGGCGGGCCAGACTATATTTGGGGGGGGGGGGAGATGAACAAATTCCTATGCCCCACAAATAACCCAGAGATGCATTTTAAATAGGACACATTCTACTCATATAAAAACACGCTGATACCGGGGCTGTCCGTGGGCTGGATTGAGAAGGCGATTGGGCTGGATCCAGCCCCCGGGCCTTAGTTTGCCTACCCATGGTTTAAGGGGGCCAAAAATTGTACTAAATAGGAAATTGACATGCCAAGTATCATGACCAGTTCTTCTGATGCACTGCAAGTGCCACTCCTATGCATTCGTAGCAAAGTTGCCTCTAAACAGGCAGAAATACTTAAAACAAAACCATTTCTCATACTGACCCTTCTATTTCCTTGTTTTCCTCTCAGGTTGGAAATGAATTTGGATATTTTCCAAAGGATTTACTTGAGATAAATCACATTTATACCTATGAAGAATTAGAATTGCCAACAGATGTAAGTTATTTGCGAGTTTCTTTTGAACTACACACTATTCAATTCTCAAGGCTCAGGAATATGCATGGATAAATCCATGTCTTTTAAAGGGCTCATTTTAAAAACAGACCATATAAATGAAGCCAGGAGAAGAAGGGGAAAGAGCAGATTGAGATGGAAAAAGAAGAAAAGCTGTTATTTTAAAGAAATATTTTAATTTTCTCCAGCAACAAAATTCTCTGTATTTTAGACCAATAAATTCCTCTGTTTGAGATCCAGGATCACCCCAGCACAAGCGACAAAACTTCTTCCCCCTTCCCCTCTGCAGCTTCCCACACACTAAAACAACAGCAGCAGCAACAACAACCCTGCTGTGGAGGGCCCCCAGTCTTCTGGAGCAGATTTTGTGGGAGGCTGCGGGGTGGGGAGCCGAGGAAGGGGAAATCCTGTTTGCATAAGCAAAATCCATTGGGCAATTGGTACATCACAATTTATCAGGGTTTCTGTTCTGTATAACCTGATCCTATGCCTGTGTCTATAAAGCCTTATTTCCAAAGAAGCAGGCACAGGATTCTGGCACTAAACTTGTTCAAAATCTAAAGGAGCTCTTACTATCCATTTTAAATAGATGACTTCCTTGTGGATCTTAGTGGGAACAATTAAAATCTAAATTTCAGCTAGGTTAAAGCAAGATGCCAACATAGTAGTAAATTTTAGAAGAGAAATTATTTCCTTAAGTAACTAAGATTATTTATTTTCTTTCAGGAAACAGACTTTGTTTGCTTTAATGGAGGCAAGGATGATTTTGACAATTATAACGCAGAAGAGCTTTTAAAACTATCAGAGGACATGGTGGCTAGTGATGCTGAAGCTCAGCTAGAAACTGAAAAGGAAGAGGAAACGGAAGATGCTGAGCATACAGAGTCAGTAGAACCAGAGATTGATGGTTCTGAAGTGGGCTCGGAAGTCGACAGTGAAGACCATGCGAAAATGGGTCAAAAAGACAATTTTATTTTTGAAAATAACGAGAATGTAGAGGGAGCTCTTGATTCCAAGAGCAAGGACCTCACTGTAAATAGTAACACAGACAATCCTCAGGGAGACCAAAGTGCACATCAGCCTTCAGAAGAAATGCTGCAAGAAACATTAAAAGTGCCAAAATATGAAAGTGCCAAAAACTCTAGTGTATCTCAGGGCAAAGCTAAACAATCAGATAATGGAGGCGAAGATGATGGCACTGACACACATCTACGCCAACACGAAGTATTGGAAGACTTGAAAACAACACTTGGCTCAACTGCAGATGCCCTTGTGTCTGATGATGAGACGACTAGCCTTGTTACACCTCTAGATGATGATTTCAGCGAAGATCTGGGCATTGACTCTTACGATACAGAGAAGCTTGAAGAACCTGAGGAGCAGTCAGAAGAAATCCCTTTGCTGTCTTTTACAAAAGAAACAAAATCATCAGAAGACCCAGAAGCTGAAGAGAAGCCATCTGATGGGGTTTTTGAATCAGAAACTAGTGACCTTGACGATGGCATTGCGGAAGCTGCAGGAAGATTTGTGCATGAGAAAAAAGATGACTCTAGTTTACTAACAAATTTAGGCGATAAATTTTTTGCAATTGTCAGTGGAGGTGAAAGAACAGTTGATGAAACTGATGGGGACAAGGAGGAGGAGGAGGAGGAGGAAGATGATGAAGATAATGAAGAAGTGGTCCTAATCAGCAAGAAGGAAAATACAGATGTGTTAGCTGATTCAAAATCTTCAGCAGAAGATGATAGCATCACACCAGAAAATGATCTGATTACAAAGAAGATACATAATGTAGATGTTGGGGACCCTAAGGGGGAAAAACATGAAACTCAGGACTACGAAGAAGAGTATTCAAAAGCTGAAGTTGAACCCACCATAGAAGAACTGCAAAGCACTTCTACACATGATTTTGGTGCCTTTTCTAATTATGGAGGTGGCCGGCAGCCTAAAGCATCCATGGGAGCTAAGGAAAAACATTTAAAACCACCCCTAGGTGATATCAAAGATGACCCAGAAGGGCTTTCTCTTCATAAAATAATAAAAGAAAAGGAAACAAGAGATGGTCACATTGAAGATAGCTTAGAAAACGATACAAAACACAAAACTTTATGGGAAAAAATAGGCAAAAAAGATGGCGATGGTAAACAGCCAATGAACATTGTACCACACTTGGTAGAAGAGCTAACAAATGAATCTCAACCTGAACTGGGCGCTTCTGACCTTTTGGAAGGCAAAACAAAGCAAGACGGAGAAGATCTTGAACTTGGGAAGGTGCTCAGTAATACAAAGCAGTCAAATGACTCTGCTATGGAAAGCCTTCCCACAGAGGAAGATACTGAAGTGCCTGGTATCCAATCTGAACAAGCGACTGTAACCCAGGATTTAAAAAAGGAGGAAGAAGAGAAGAAATTGATTATAGAAAAATCCACGCAGGTTACACAACATAGAAACCTTACTCAGCAAAACACGGAAGAACTTAAGCCTGTGGAGTTAGATGCTGAAGAAGATGATTTCCTTGAAGTACTAGAAGAGGAGTTACTACAGGATGAAAACGCAGTGAGCGCAAAACTGTCTAAAGAGAGACTTGCAGATGAACAAAGTTTCACGTTAGGGGCTGAAAGTGGTACTACTCAGTTGCAAATGCCAAATGGTGCTATTTCAAGAGCTGCTAATCCTGTTGATGCAATAGGAGAAGATGCAATAACAACACTTGAGCAGGCCAAGAAAGATGGCATGGAAGATTGGAACGAGGCACAGGAAGGAATACAAATAAATAAAGATTCTCAGCTGAGCGAGAAGGAAATCAAAGAGGAAAATCAGGAGGAAGTGGCGCCTCAAGTGAAAAATTCTCTGCTTCAGGAAAAAACCCAGTATATACATGATAAAATAATGTCAAATAAAATAAATACTTCTGAGTTAGAAAACAAGAATGACTTTCATGAAGAGTTACAGACCTCAACAGAGCACCAGTATTCCAGTGATGACTTTGGGCCTCAAGAGGTCTCAGAAAAAACAAATGAAGCTGCAGAGCCAGAGTACAGTGAGTCTGTGAGGCAGCTCAATATAATGAAAGAATTTCTTGATGAAAAACGTATTGCACGTATCCAAAAGTATCTTGGACCGCAACATATCTTCAGGATAGAATCTTTGTTTCATGACCTGGAGTTGGAGCTGATGTTTGCTCAGAAACACACTGATAACCATGCAGATACTGAAGAGGCATTGGACCGGATCCTTGAATCTTCAGAGTCTAATATTCTGGATGTTCTGAACAAAGTTTTAGATTCCAGGGAGGAAGAAAATAAAGAAGAAGTGATCAAGGAAATTGATTTGTTTGATGACGAAGCTGCCTTAATGGATGACATCCAGGAACTAATGTATTCATTAAGGCAAAAATACTCTCCAGTTAGTGAGAGTGCTCCACTTGCCTCCCTTCCGGAATCTGGGATGGACTCTAGTGAATCCATTACAGGCAAGTCTTGAGTCTGCAGTCCTGTGCATTCCTAGGAATAAGACCCACTGGACTTGGTGGAACTTACTTCTGAGAAGATTTGTGTAGGATTGTGCTATATTTTGAGTTATTGACAGGGCTACAAAATATGCCAGAAACCCTTGACGCATAGGCACCTGCAAACTTGATGCTGAACTTATTTAAAGTGTTTCTCGAACCCTTGTCTAGGATAATTGCTGAGGAAACTTTTTAAGACAGCTGATGAACTCTGAATCAAAATGATTAATTGATCAGTGAATTTAACAAATTAACTATTTTCAGATTTAAATCATGGCATTTTATTCAGAATGGAATTGAATGTGCTTCATGTTGAAAGCCTTGATGGAAATACCCTGTGTACCTCTGCAGAGGGAGCTTATTTTACATTCAAATGTGACACCCCACCTGCAGTCTGAAGGGATACAGAATAGTATGCAACTGAGCTTTACTTAGAGAAGACCCACTGAAATTAATGAACATGACAAAGTTAGGTCTATTAATTTTAATTAGTCTACTCTGAGCAAAACTTTAGCTGAATACCACTCACAAGGACTTTAGTGTGACAAGTGGGACATAAAAAAATAAATAAAAATACCAAACCAAGAACTAGCCTGTTTTTTGTTTTGGCTTGAGGCTTGTGAAGGCCAAGTGTGAGAACTTCATTTTTACTTAGAAAGTCTCTAATGGGATAAGCCAGCTTGTCATATTAGCAATGAGGTCGTTCTGTTTCCCAGACAGTGATCTGGGGCCTGCATGCATATTTTGCCACACAAATTGACCACCTTTACGGTTGCTCAGCTGGCACTATCTGGCAGTAAGAACTTCATAATTATAGAACATATGTTCTTAAAATGTTTGATTATTATATATTTACTACATTTAAAATGAACATGAGAGATGAAGCATTAATTTGTGGAATATCATGATTTATTAAAATTTCAAACTCTTAAGAATGAACTTGATGACAAAAAGTTTTACCATATATTTGTTTCACCACTAGTTTACCAACCTTGGGATAGACAATCGTAATTTGTATTCTGTGCTACTAAGACAATAAAACAAAGACTGAAAGTTTGATCAGTATTGAAAGCCCCACTGAAAATGGACTGCATTTCCAGCTTCATATAATCTGCATATCCATGTTGAAGTTTTGGTTGCTAATCCATAACCATTGGAAATGTTTCACTTGTTCCTTTTGAGGAACAAATGTTAAACAGCAGAAATATTTTGAGTTGGCAAGTCCTGACAATGGCCTGTAAAAATCCTGAGGCTGAATATATGCTGGTTGTTTGTTGGTCAGTTCTTAAACTTTTAAGCTTATCTCTCTAGTTGGAAATTTATTTATTTAAAACGGAAGCTAGAATTATTCAAAGTGGTCAATCTGAAACAACAATATGCAGCAATGTTGCTGAAGCTAAGCTGGTCAGTTGGCCTGCACAGAAGAAAGTGTATATGTCCCTTGAGTTCTATGATGTAAGAAAGGCAGGATAAAAAACAGAATAAATTAACAAAAGTTCACAAGTCCTGCAGGGGATAGTGGCCATTCCTACGAAAAAAAAGTGTTTCATATTACTAATATTTGTATTCTGAAAAAATGTTTATAGAAATCCCTAATTCAGAGTTACTGAAATGAAAGTAATGTATTTACAAACAAAGAAAAATGTGAAATTTAATTTAAGAAGTAGGCAAGGTGCTGGCAGGTGTATAACCTAACTAAACTATATACTTCTGATCACTGTAGCTAATGCAAAGGAAACCGAGCATGACAGACCTTCTATAGAAAGCCCTGTAGAGAACCCTGATCAAGAGTTACCACGAGATTTGGAACAGATGTCAACAGCAAAGGAAGACATTATTCACCCAGATGAACCGAAAGAACATAGGAATATTTTGGAAAAGACTGGAACTTCGGATGAAACAGAAATCAAGGGTGTCATTGACAGTGATAAAATATTGCCAATTGCGGATATGACTCTTACATCAATTGATTCAGGAATGGAGACGGACGTCGTTCCAGGTAACCTTTTTGATAACTGTTGTTATTTAACTTCTTTCTTTTAACAAAAAGCAATGTAGTTTTTAAAGGAAGCATACCAAATGATGTCTATAAAGTAGGCATACAGTGGTACCTCAGGTTACATACGCTTCAGGTTACATACTCCGCTAACCCAGAAATAGTGCTTCAGGTTAAGAACTTTGCTTCAGGTTGAGAACAGAAATTGTGCTCCAGCAGTGCAGCAGCAGCAGGAGGCCCCATTAGCTAAAGTGGTGCTTCAGGTTAAGAACAGTTTCAGGTTAAGTACCGACCTCCGGAACGAATTAAGTACTTAACCCGAGGTACCACTGTATTTATATTCAAAATGGTATATTTTGCTGGTGACATTATTGTATAGGTTTTTAAAGATTTCCAATGCCCAGAGGCATATTTACAAAGAAAAATATAAAAACTTCTCATAGAATTGTAGAGTTGAAAAGGGACCACAAGGGTCATCTGGTCCAACCCACTGCAATGCAAGAATATTTTGTCCAACATGGGGCTTGAACCTGCAACCCTGAGATTAAGAGTCTCATGTTCTTCCGACTCAGCCATGAATGAAATTACTTATGACATTAAAGTCAACACCTTAATTAAGCAACTTACTATGATTGCAGAGCTTCTGGTGCATGTGGAGTTCTCCCATCCAGATGAGCTCTAGCTCATTTCTGTAGAAATGACAGATGCCTCTGTACATATGGCGTTTTCTCCATTTAAACGAGAGATGCACAGAGGGCTCAGAATTTGAACCTGTGTTATAGAAATCCTACCTTGATATGCTAGTGTAAGATAATCAATGGTGATTTTTTCACCATTTTCAATTCAGCAGACAAGATCTTCTAAAATTATGGTCATCAACAGAGAAAATGTATCTGCATATAAGTAAGGTTCTACAGACAAATCTCTTTAGATTTAGAAAGTTTTTCTCTAAATTGTGGTATGATGACGGTATTGCATTATGAGTGAATCAGTAGTATATTTGAACTGACTTAACCCACTAGGGTGAAATTCTAAAGACATTTACTGGGACATAAGAATTACTAATTAGTGAACATGCTTAGAATCATGCTGTTAGGTTGCAATAGTATGTGCACTTACAGCACAAGCCAGCACATATTTACTCAAAAGTAAGTCCCATGGATTTCAAGACTTACTCAGATTGACTAATGAGTAAACAAGTTGCAATATTGAGATGTACAGGTCTGGGGCTTGATCTAGACACATTGAAAAAAATGTTTCAGGAAAATGCGTTGTAAACCTCATAGCGGGAAATCATGTTGGCGAAAGACGGGACTCCACAGTGCCATCTGGTGTCACAGTGTTATAACGCATATAAAATGCTTTTTCTTCGCTAATGTAGCTGTGTCCTGGGATACACTTAAATTAAGACTTAAGTAGGGCCTCTGAACAAATATACAGTAATTGATAAATTTTGATTGCCTCTTCCTGCATATTTTTGGACTAGAGCCTACTTGCATGAAGTGTCTTCCTCAATGTGTAATGCACACAAAATGTAGAAGAAATGTAAACAGTGAGGGCGTATCCTTGTGAAATACAAGAAACTAGTCTGAATTTTGACCAGTTTTTATTGCTTTTATTTATTTATGTATGTATTTATTTATTTATTTATTTCTTCTGAAGGGATGTGGGTGATGTACAACAGAAGAGAAATGTGTTAATAATTATGCCAAAAGTAATGTATGTCTTTAAGATGCCTTTTTTTTGCTGAAAACATTTAGTGAAAATAATATATGGAACTTTTTTTAACCTAAGGTATAATTAATGCTAAGGATGATGCCACAGAAGAGAGTAGTAATCCATCAGATGCAGACTCTACCGCTCCACATATTACTGCTGCCTTGGATAGTGCTATCTTATCAGCAAAGGAAAATATGCGCCCCTTCACAGAGCTTGTGAGTACCTACTTAATGGTGTATATAATCAGTGTGGTGTTAATGTCTAAATACATGTTTAATTTAAAATTTGTAAAGACGTTTAAGCAAATTGAAGGGTATGCAGCTGCCTGATCTTGTGCATATGTGAGTCCCACTGTGGTTCGGTTGAGATCCCTCCCATGTAGAAATACAAAGGATTGCAGCCTTATGCACCCAAGTGTGCTTGCAACAGAGTCCAAACCACGTTCACACAGAAGGATGTTCAAATACAGTGATACCTTGATTTTTGAATGTCTCCGTTGACAAACATTTCGGTTTTCAAACGCTGTAAACCCAGAAGTAAATGCTTCAGTTTTCAAACATGCCTCGGAAGTCAAACATGTCATGCAGCTTCCGTTTTGAGTATTCCGTATTGAGGGTTCAGCTTTCAAACGTTTCAGAACTCAAACGGTCTTCCGGAACAGATTACATTCGAAAACCGAGGTACCACTGTAATTTCAGTGACAGTTGACTGCTGTTCCAAGCATGTTTAACAGATTTCAGCAAACACACACCTGGAACCCTCTGCAAGAAAAGCAGCATGCATGGCGATGATTTTTAGTTGTTGAAAACCAGCAGTAGGAACACCCGTGCTGCTCTCCTGCTCAAAAAAAGAGCCTTCATTGCCTGTTCTTCCAGACTTCCCGTTATATACAAATTGGTGGTTCCCCCCCGCCCCTTTTGCACACACCTGAATGTAAAAGGTACGCGTTTGCTCTTGAAGCCAAACAATTTTGCCTCCAAAGTAACTTAAACCAGTGCCGTTTGAGGAGCTGAGGCCTGTGGTCGCCTCCAGCCGTGCTCTCGCTGTAACTCCCGCTCCCCGTATTAAGTGAACGGCTACAGCGCTTTCCTTCGGGAGTCAGAGTCCGCGGGAACGTGCTGCCACCCCATTGCCAAGCCAACAGCACCCGTCCCGGTCTGTCACCGCTGCTCCCGCCCTGCCCGCCCTCACCGACTTCCGGCAAGGACCCGGCGCGGCCACCTTCCCTTCCGGAATCTCCTTCCCCCTGACCTGCCGGCACGGGCCGATGACGTCACGGGGTCGCTCGAGGGTCAGCGCGAGGTGACGTGTCCCTGCGGGGAACACAGGCGCCGTATCAACGGTCGGGGAGAAAGGGGCCAAGTTCGCCGCCGCCGCCGCCGCCGCCGCCGCCGCCTCCTTCCCGTTCAGATAGTGGCAAGCGTCTCTCCCCGCCCACCTCTCCCCATATGGAGTCCGTCAGTCCTCCCGGCGCCCCCGGTGGCGGCGCGGCGCTTCTCCTGGGGCCGCTGTCCCGCGGCTACGCTTCCCTCACGGGCCGCCTTCTGGAGGTGAGCCGGGGGCTGGCGGCGAGGCAAGGGGCGAATCTCGGCGGGGTCCCAGGAGAGGGGGGGAGTTGTAGTCGCAGGGGTTCTTGTCGCCCCCTTCTCGCAGGGGGGCCGCCTTCCAGGGCTCTTCATATTTTAACGGCTCCGAGCGCCCGTTGGGGGCTTCCGTCGCACCTGGGGAAAGGACCGTGGCGGCGGCCGAGGGATGCGGGTGGGGGGTTGGGTGGAGGTGAAAGTAACCCGATGGGCCTTTAGAGACAGTGCGAGGAGAAACTAGGTGAAACTAGTGCTTAAGATGACACACGGAGAAGGGGAAACGTGGGTTTCCATACGACAGAGGAGGATTTGTTTACTCCTTGCCTCTCTCTGCACCCCCTTTTGCAGGGCAGATGTGATTCGGCAGAAACGCTAGTCCGGTGCTGCTGCTGGGGGTGGGGAATGTAATGCTGTTTTCAAAACGCGTACACAGCCCAAAAACAAGTTGTGCCCTGAAATGACTTTTGCAGAATACAGAGTTCCAGTGGGGATAAACCTGTTTAGATCAGCTTTCGTAGTTCTTGCAAGTTCGTGGGCTCACAGGAGCTAGGAGTGTAGAGGAGATCAGACAATTTTCGAGAGTTCAGTAAATGGCCCTGAAGTTGTATCTTGACTGCTTTCTCTAGTCCCAGCCCCCATTTTACAGTGAGTTGTTTGTAAATGTTTGTGGCTCTGAAACCTCATGCTCCTGTATCATGTAACCTCAGACTCTTCCGGGAAATAAATAAGGCATACTTCCCTTCCACTTTGCTCTAGAAAACATAAATTAGAATTATGCACATTTCAGTAAAGTTTTCATGTTTGTGTCTATATGTTTTGGGAAAGAGGTCACATAGATCCTGTATTGCTATATGTGTCATAAGTTTCAGTATGAGAAATACTTAATTCTTCTTGTGTGGAAAGTTCTATAGTGACATAGGAACCTGGAATAATTGTGTTTTGAGTTCTGTGTGAACAGAGTCCTAGTTTCTCCACTCCACCCCCTGTTTTCTGCGTATCAGTACACCTAGTGATGCAAAGGTTTCTGGGAATGAAACTGAAAGCTTGTGTAACTCTCAATAACAAGATGTTGTAAATGTGTGGTGTAATAGCAAGCTGTCAAGGATCCAACAGCTTTAATTCAACATACATACCTTTGATTCAACACACAACTTCAAAACTTAGTAAAGTATGGGTTCTAAAATGTACTTTCTGAATTTTTAAGTATATATATTTTGAAATTCTAATGAGGAATAATGTAAGAAAACGAACAACTTGAAAGTTATCAGGGATTTAGACTTAAGATTATGTTAGGTTTAACTTGGCTAAATTTAAATGTGTAGGATGTTGTTGTTGTTGAAGAAGAAGAAATCCAACAGTTAACAGTAACAGGGAATATTGATTTTGTTGTTGCTGGAAGAATTAAAAATTAGAATTTCTTTAAGCAAATTCAGAACAGAGGGAACTGCTTGTGAATTCCTTTCCCACAACCCAGCTCAAACTGCCTTATCTTTGGTGAGAGAACCCCTTAGATTTTGTCATACTTTACATTAAGTCCTTTCTGTTCTGGTCTGTGTGCATATGATTAGGCTATAGTTTTTGGTTGTAAGGATGAAGCTTGCCAGGCATATGAGACACAATTGGGAGTGGACCCCATTGAAATTAGTGGACATTCTTCTGTGTAAACTTTCCTACGAGTTTCTATGCATTTTCTAAATATGTACTCACTTGACAGCTTTTAAGAAAAATAAAATTTGCCAACTTTTTTCTTAGTTGGTTTCAACACTACCTGAAGACATGCAGCCTGGTCCTGACTTCCATGGACTTCCTTGGGAGCCCATTATTATTACTGCCTTTGTGGGATTTGCTACACTTGCCATTTTCTTGTGGAGAAGTTGTCTATCCGTAAGTATATTTTCAAGGTCAGATGTTTACTGTACTGATGTACAACTGTCAGATGTTACTGTACTGATGTACAACTGTCAGATGTACAAGGTCAGATGTTTACTGTACTGATGTACTGTCAGATGTACAACTATACTGATGTTTAGTTATCTGGCCGAACTTTGACAGTTATGATTATGAAGTCTTTCAAGCTTCAATATTTGGTGTCAAATATTTCTACCTTCAACAGTAAAGCACATAAATTTATTTTAAATACTTTTTAATGAAGTGTTTTAACAGAAAACAAGTCAGTGCTGAACATTTGTGTCAAAAGTGCCACATTGACACTTACTGGAAATGTACTGTTCTGCAGTTGCTAAATCCAATGTTAAAACTGAACAATAAATAGTAATGGCAAAGATGGATCCTTGCTAGACAGTTTCAGTACTGATAATATGGACAATGGTCTACATTCTCAAAATAAAGGGAGAAGTTTCTATAATATATATAATGTGTGGCAAGTTTATTATTGCCTCAAATTACAACATCATCAATGATAGAATGGCTTGATGAGCAAGCTTCAAACTGGTACTTTACTTGTTGCTCTTTTAGTTTCAAAATCAAATGTTTTTAATTGTACCCACACAGTACTTGCATAACCAGAACTTTGGCCTGACTTTGAAGCAGAACCTAAAAGCTTTTATTAGAAGCTTGCTTGCATAATGTAAATTGATACTTGCAATGGAAACCATGCTTGTGTTGATATTTCTTAAAGCGGTTATTGACAACCATTTACTTTTCATTGTTGATAGCATTAATAAAATGGCATAATCTTTCTCATAATGCTGTCTTTTATCCATTCCCTTTGTAGGTAAAGAGTAGAATGTATCAAGGTAGGAATATTTTGTCCTTGCGATATTGCAGATTGTATGGCAGGATTGCTTTATTGCTTAATATAACTTTGAGCACTTAGTATCAGAATTTATTATTTAATACCACGTGTGTAAAGAGCCATTTGGACACTTCAGTATTCTGGCTGCTCTTTACTCTGTTGGTCTGGGCAGATCAGGTTGTAATCCAAAGATTGCATGTACCTGTCCCTTAGGTGTTTACCTGGACTCATGGGAACTACCGCGTCTGTCTCTACATCTTTGTGCTGTGCTGGATTCTACTTAGGAGAATCTCCCAAGGGTGGTTTTGTTTTTGTTTTGAGAGGGTGGGGAAAGCAGTGAGAAAGGAAGGCCTGAGAAACTTTGGTGCATATACAGGCCTTTGAATCATGCCTGTTTCCCATAGCCCCCTTTGTACTGTCTGCCTAACTCTTTCCAGTGCATCTTGAATGTGTCTTTCCACACTACCTCACTGGAGCTTTGACATAATAGGTTTCAGTATGAAGAATATCTTCCCCTTGAGTTCCCAAGAAGGGTCATAATGCAGTGTGTCCATTAGCATAAAATGCAGGAGCTTCACACTGAAGCCTAATAGAAGATCTCCAGGGTGGGAAAAGAGCCCTTTTTTCCAGTGAACTGCATGCACACTGGAGTTGACAGCCCCAGTTCAGGGAAACTGAACCTAAGTTGAATGATAGATCCATTATATATTGTGATGTCTAAGCTCACCATTTTCAGCAGCTGACATCAGTGTTGTGGGGTGGGAGCCATGTTGGGGCATTTTTTGTTTGTAATTGTTGAGGTACATGTGATGTGTAAGGGTTAGCAGAGTAGCCCAGTTCTACAGAAAAATGCTCCACATTTGTCCCTAATTTTCTTTTTTCTAGTGACAGAAAAACAACTTGTAGAAAAAATTAAAACTCTCTTAAAAGAAAAGACAGAAATCTTAGAAAAGATGTCGGAATATGATCAAAAGGTAGTGTGCTGTCTGCATGTCTTTATTATTCTGAAGTTAAAAATTTAATATCAGTGTTTGGATAATCTAAAATGTGCGTGTCCTCTACTCTCTTTTAGTGGTATAATTGGGAATATAATTTGGGATATCAAAAATGAAATTAATGTTAAGTTTCTACATTCCATGTTTGTTTGTTTTCTTTTAAAAAGATAAAAGCAGCCAAAGAAGCTGTGAACGAGGCCCAGAAACAAAACACAAATCTCTCAGATGAGGCTACAGGGCTTAAGGTATGAAACAAGGATTTTATTCTTATGACAGTTGTTTAAAATATTTAAACAAAATAAACATATCTTTCCATTGCTGTTAACAGGACACAATCAGGGGGCTTAAAGAAACAAACCATCTGTTAGACGAGCGAGTGAAAAAATTGCACACCATGCTAGAAACTGAGAAAGAGCACTACTCAGAGAAGCAGAAACAAGTAAGCAAATTTTCCTACTTTGCTACTGGCTGTTGGCATGTTTGAGAGTGTGGTTAAGCTCCTTGGAAAGGTGGTGGTGGTTAAGAACTTCATGAACACTTGAAGAGGTGAACTTTTTTTACTTCAATTTGACATTAAATTCTGTAATCTGTTTAATATTTAAATGTCAGCACTTACAATTGAAAAGTCCAGTAACTCATATTTTCCATTGGGTTTTGGAAACCTGACCATTTTTGTGTGATGTGGGCCTTCACTGCTTTGGAATCCACACAAATGGCTCTCGTCAGTCACACATGCTTAGAATTTTCCCTGGAATGTTCTATCTACACTCATGCCTCCAAGCATTATTTTCAATAGAGTTAATGGTAACTTTTAAGTTAATAATCTTACAACATTTATAGAATTGTAGAGTTGGATGGGACCCCCAGGGTCATCTAGTTCAACCCCCTGCAATGTAGGAATCTCAGCTAAAGAATCTATGAGAGATAGCCATCCAAGCTCTGCTTAAAAACCTCCAAAGAAGGAAAGTCCACCACCTTCTGAAAAGTCCTTTACACTGTCAAACAGCTGTTACTGTCAGAATCTCCTTTCTTATAGCTTGAATCCATTGTTTGGGTCCTACCCTCTGGAGAAGGAGAAAACGAGCTTGCTCCATCTTCCATATGACAGCCCTTTAGACAGTGGCATAGTGTGCGTTTTGCGCCCACTACCCACCTTGTGGGCGTTGTGCGAGAGGCAGCAGGTGGCCTTCGCTGCACCCTTGCGGTGGCTGCTTCTTACAGAGGTTGCCTGCTGGTTACTCTGTTTGCCCTCTCAGCTCAGTGAGCTCCCAGTGGGAGCTGCGGCTGGCACTCCTTGGCAGACGTGGCAGCATCCCAGCAGTGCTGGAGCTGCAGCTGCAGCAGGCCTAGGAGGAGGGTGGCAGAGAGCAGGCCAAGCAGCCAAGCACAACCCTTCCCTGGCCACCTCTCCTTGGCCGCGCAGTGCAAGGGTGGGTGCTGGTGGACCCCAGGCGAGTGGGTGGCTCTCCTCTCTGCATTCCCACCTCAGGGCACGCGTCTTGCCCAAGGATACCCGCCAGGAGGGCGGCCCTAGGGAAGGACTGGTGTGGGCCGGGGGGAGGTGTCCCTTCCTTGGGACCTAAAGCAAACATTGTGGCTCTCCAAATGTTGCTGAACTACAATACCCATCATCTCTTATGGAGGCGGCTGAGGTTGATGGAAGTTGGAGTCCAACAACATGCCTGATCCCTGACCTTAATCATACTGGTAATGCTTATATTTATTTAGCACATTGCAGTATTCAGAGTACTTCATAGAGCTTATTTCAGTCCTTGCAACAGTGCTATAAAGTAGGCTAGTAGTATCCACATATGGTGTTGGTGAGACTGAGAAATAGTGACTTGTTTCCTAAGGCTATTTATGAATGTGCTCCTGACGCAATATGAGCCGGCATTCCAGCTCAATATGTAGTTACTATGCTATCTTTTCTTATTCTGAGACTAGTAAATGTGTTCCTCCTATCTTTGAGGGGATAAGGAACTTATTTCTCAACATTGGGTTTCATTACAGAACTTGAAATAAATTATATTAGGTTGCTGGTAACCTGATGGCCTGCTTAACTACCCAGTAGTTTACGTATTACACATCTCAGTAAATGTAATGTCAGTATAGCTCTTTCATTTTCAAGCCCAATATGTATGCCTTTTTTATTTCTATTCACAGCTCACAGAAGCGCAGAAGTCTTTGGAGAACTTCCAAGAAGTCATCACATTGCATTCTGTAGAGCTCTCTGAGGTAACACATCTGGATTTTGAATTCAAGTCAATCTTTGACCTGATATCAGCATCACTTTAAACCACAGTTAAAAACAAATTACTGTTCAATGTGAATGCACAATTTGCTGGTGCATGCTGCTGAAAAGTTCTCATTCTGCTCTTCGCACTCCTGCTGTGCTACCAGGACCAATTAAGTGTCTGGCTTGTCCTGATGTTCAAATAAACAAATCTATGAGCAATAAACAAATCTTGGTCTTGGCTTACTGCTTGCAGTTTGTTCAGGGTTAATACCATGAGCCTGGATTTGAACATCACGACAAGCGAGAATCTGTCATGTTTCAAGGTGGTGCAACAGAAGTGGAGGGAGGAATGCTGTAGGAATTTTTTAGCTGCATGCACATACAGCTTGTGCATTTGTATTAAACCATAATTTGTTTTTAACCATGGTTTAATGGGAGGTACGGTCTCCCAAGATAATAGAAGAATCTAAATTCTGAATGTTGCGGGTTATTAAATTATTCTGTGCTTTTTTTGGTGTAAGCTGGTATTTTTATGTGGTTTGCATATTAAACTTGAAATTATTGGAATTTTTAGGTGCAGATAGCTCTTAATGAAGCTAAACTAAGTGAAGAAAAAGTGAAGTCTGAATTGAGTCGTATTCAAGAAGAGAATACGAGGCTTAAGAAGAGTAAGGAGCAAGTGAGTGTGCCGTTTTTGTTAAACTGCTGTTCTTCATAAATTAGGCTTTGCTTTGTGTACATATCAGACCAAGTTAATTCTGCTTGAAAAGTTTGCTCATTTTAAAATATTGAGGGGCATGAGTAGTTGTTGATATCCATCTGTCTCAAAAGACAATGGAGTGCACCTCTGCAGGTGAAGTCTAAACGCTGTGTTATCAGCACCGAAGTGACCTCTCTGGGATGTGAGCCTGGGCAGTATATATGGAGGTCCTGGACGACCCTCCTCTCGGCCTCACTGATGTGGTCCAAAGGAAAGCAGAGCAATATGTTTGGCACCAGCTTGGCTGGAGTTGCCGGAAGGAGGCGTACAAGACGCAATCCAACCATCTTAGTGACTCTGCTCAGATTTTGTGTAGGCTTTATTCCTTAGCCTTTTCCTCTCCTGAAGATATCCCACACAAGGCAGCAGAAGTTTAGGCTTAGGGTTTCCCCTCTCCTAGATGGGCTACCTTCTCAGGTTAATAAGCCCCATCTGCCCCTTACTTCCCCCTACAGCATGTGTAGAAACCACCTTCTTGACTGTTGGACCCACTATTGGTCTCGTGCAGTCAGGGATTGGGCAGTACCTGGGCAGCACTGGGGAAGGAGACAAAGGACAATGAAGATAGCTAGGTGCTGCTGTGAGTGTGGCAAACTCTAGGGGAAACAGTTGACCCCTAGGAGCTAAAGCAGGGATGGGAAACCTTTTTTCTATTTGAGGGCTGCCTGACAGCAGTGGGCAAAACCAAAACCAATGGTGGCCAGGCCAGGCTTGTGTAACTCATTTCACGGGATGGTTCCTTATTTAGTAAAAGCCGTTTTTAATATTTTTCCTTGGAAAAGCAGTATTGGGAACATTTTTTGCCAGTTCTGTTGCCATCATAAAGGCATTGCTTAATACCTTCCTCCTTTAGCAGAACAATGTGGGAGGAATGCAAGAATAGGGAAGGAAAGGAACAAGAGTCTGATAACTCTGGGGCATAAAACTGGCTGAAGGTTTCATCCGGCCTCTGGAATACGCATTGTCCAACCCTAAGCTAATAGATTGTTGCAATCAGGGATGGTGAATTTCTTTGGAGATTCTCAGCAAAAGGAATACTTTATATCTGTAATGCAAGTGTCATGCTTATCCGTTAGCTGAGATGGTATTGTTTTGCGTCCCCATCTGTGCACAGAGGTTAAGGAGCAGCAGCAGTCTTTGTAGATGTATTTGACCCTAGATATATTTGACCAGTGCTTTTTTTCCTTGGGGGTACGCATACCCCTAAACATTTTGTGAATCTTTGTACTTTTGTCCATTTACTGTATTTATTTCCCCCCCGATTTGAACTATAAAATGGTGATTTTCTTGAGTCAAAATGAGAGTACCCCTAAACTTTTTTTTTTTAAGAAAAAAAGCACTTTATTTGACCATATCGAGCTTCACACTTTCTTTTATTAAATCCTTTGCTTATATCACAAGTACAGTTCTTTACAGTGAATATACTTGCTGTCCTGTTTAAAGCTGGTTATTGCAAAGACAGTTTGGAACCCTAATGCTAGGAGGCTGATTTCATTGATCTGTGAGAGAATGAAACCGGATGACGGTGTCTCTAGTTCCTGTGACTGGCAAGAACAGCTGCCCACCCCACCCCCACAGCCATGCTCAATGTTGTTCCTGTGCAGATTCTCAGTGTCCGGAAGGTCATTTCTGGCCATGCTCATCAGTGTCTTCCTAACTTAAAGTTACATCCATATGATGCCAGAACATAAGTGACAAGGGGAAAGCACATTGAACAAGAAATACATTTTGACCTTGAGAGAGAGAAAAGGAAAGCTGATGAGAAGTCCAGGTCAAACTTCCTTAGTTGATGATTCCTAGACTGTTGAAGAAATTACCATAGCTGTATCAGCTGTAGTTATCAGACCTTCTCTTCCAATGACTTCTGGCAACATGTTAACCTTTTGTTACATTGATGATATTGGAGCTAGAGAAGATGGAAGCTTGGTAGAAGTGAAACATGAATGCACAATTGTGGGGAAATAAGTGGTTAGGGACCCGGGTGGCGCTGTGGGTAAAAGCCTCAGCGCCTAGGACTTGCCGATCGAAAGGTCGGCGGTTCAAATCCCCGCGGTGGGGTGCGCTCCTGTCGCTCGGTCCCAGCGCCTGCCAACCTAGCAGTTCGAAAGCACCCCCGGGTGCAAGTAGATAAATAGGGACCGCTTACTAGCGGGAAGGTAAACGGCGTTCCGTGTGCTGCGCTGGCTCGCCAGATGCAGCTTGTCACGCTGGCCACGTGACCCGGAAGTGTCTGCAGACAGCGCTGGATCCCGGCCTCTAGAGTGAGATGAGCGCACAACCCTAGAGTCTGTCAAGACTGGCCCATACGGGCAGGGGTACCTTTACCTTTACCTTTAAGTGGTTAGGAAACTCCACCATAGGAGCTGCCAGCTACAATATTTACTTGTGTAGAATATCTACATCTTCATTTATATTCCTGAGAAGCTCTCAAGAGTAGCTTATAGAAAAAATTCTCACCCAAAATGATGTCCCCATCTGGTTTTGGGAACTCTCTGTGGTTCTCTGACACAGTGGAGTGGGGATGAACAGCTGGATCGTGCTCAGGTTATGATGAAGGCAAGTCTCCCCTTGCTGACAGTTGACACTGATGGGCAGCAGCTCCTACTGAGGTCATTTGAGGCAAGGGAATATACCGTATACAATACACTTACAATACACTTTCTCAGTATATTGATAAATTGGAGAAGGTGGAAATGTTCAACAATGAATTCTAAAGGAAATATTGATGGTTAGAGAGATGCTGAAGATGCATGTTATGGTTAGGTGAATCCTATCCTGGTTTCCTTTATGTATCGGGTGGGTGCCTTGTGGTAGCTTTAGAAATGTTATTGCTCCAGGGAGAACATTAAAATGCTGATCCTCTGTGCAATCCACCCACCCCTCCTGTTTTCTGGTTTTATTATAAGATGATATCTAAATATATCAGTTAAAGCTGTGCTTTCATTTTAAAGGATTTTCTGCATGGCTGCAGATGATCGTTCTTTTGCCTGTGCCTCCCCTCATTATGAGCCAGCATTATTTTTTAAGGGGTGGCATGTTCTTTTTTGTTTTGGCACAACTTTAACTTTGACATATCTAGCCATTCTGGTGTAGTTTTAAAACCTGATGGCCTGAGTTATATGATGTTTGTCATCCCAGTAATATTGTTAATATTGTACTTGTGTTCTTTCAGCTGCTGCAACAAGCAGAAGGCTGGAGTGAGAGGCACAGTGAGCTCAGTGAACAGATCAAGTTGTATCAGAAATCTCAGAATGATATGGAAGAAGCACTTGCCTATAAAGAAAATGAAATTGAAGTAAGCTCTCTTGAAGAACAACTTTCTTCTGTGTTCATGACTGTGATTGAACTACTACACCTAATGTTGTGGTCCTATAGTTTAAAATTTGGCTTTTTGCTGCTGCTTTAGGTTTTGACTAACTGCATTATGCAGCTGAAGCAGCTTGATGCAGAATCTGAGTCAGAAGGCAAGAGGGATGATGGAAATGATCTGGCCAATGGAGAGCTCTCAGGTACTAAAATCTTAGATAACCTGGTAGACCATTCAAGCAGCTAATCTTGAGGAAGCAGTAGCTGAAGACTCTTAGGGGCGATGGTACACAACAGTGAATAATTAACATCTGTTATGTGTCAAATAGGAACAGATACTCCTAATACAAAAGACCAGAAATTAAGATGATGTCCATCTAACATACTGGCTGTGTCACTGAGAAGTAAATTTCTCAACTCTGAATTATATCTATAATGTGAGCAATTCATCAGATAAATAACTGGATTGGATTGCCATCGTGATCTGCCCTTTCTTGAGTCAATTGTGAGCATCAGTAGCTTTTAATTCCTATAATTGAAATATTTTCCTGCTTCATGTTGAAATGTGTTGCTTTCATCTGTACACTTCTAGATATGGAGATTTCCTCTTGCCATGTTTTGAAAATTTTGCTTAAACAGACACAATGAAAATAATTTTTCTCCCTTCTAGATACCAGGAATGAAAAGATGAAGAATCAGATTAAACAGATGATGGATGTTTCAAGGGTATAACACAGATGCTTCCAATCTTTTGGGGGCAGTGGGCACATTTGGGATTCTTGAAGTGTCATAGCAGTTTCACAGAATTGCTGCCATGGGGGCATGTACCTTCATAAAATGGCTACTGTGTGGGCATGCCCAGGCACAAAACACCCATTTCATATAACACAAACTGGGTAGGCTGAAAGATAACTATCCCACGGATCTGAGTCTAAGCAGAGCCCCAAAATACAAAATGCTTTTGAGCCCATGTTAACACAGATCCCTTCCCCTTACCCACCATAGTGTAGAAGCTCACAAAAATCTGAAACGCCTTCAGTAATATTCCACTAGTTATAGCAGGCCTCAAAGGTGCTGTGAGAGAATCTGGGGGCAGTTTGGTACATGAAGTAACCCCATGAAAACATTGTTTTGGGTAATCAATATGGCCCAAGTTTGTATTCCAGGAGAGTGTTTCACTGGCCATTTGTTGCCTTTTTGCAGGTAAAAACAACATTATCTATCATTGAAGAAGAAAGAGATCACATGCGGTCCAAACTTAATGATGAAGTAGCAGCAAGGCATGAGTTGGAAGGTGTGTTCAGCAGATATATAATTTGGAATGACAAGTTATTTAAAAGAAACCACTGCAGTAACTCATCAGTTAAGGGGGTTCCCATTTCCATTCATTAATAGACTAGAAACCTTGGGGCACAAGAATGGTTGGTTAGTTCAAATCAGTCAATGAAATCCATCTGCTTTACCCTGCTTTTTGTCCCTAATACTTCCCTTGCCAGTGTGTAATGATGTGGTGACGATAAAGACTACAGTCAACCACTTAGATCTCTCACTGTCTCAGCTCTAGATCCAGCAACTGCATTCCCCATTGGCTGGCATTCATCAGCCTTCTAGATATTCTTTGTCTGCTCATTTCCTTCAGGCCAAGAGAACATAGGGCCTAGAAAAAGGGAACAGTTGTGCATACTCTACTTTTTCCACTCCCTGTTGTGTTTGCAGATTCCTGGTTTTTGGCTGCTGACTACTACTTCAAACTATCTTACTTCCCCTAGTGCTTACAGCATCTCCTTATCTTAAGCTCCGGGGAATTTCTTTACAGCCCTTTCTTTGATAGACTGCATTTTGCTTAATTCATGGTCTTATTTCTGCCTCTTTCCACCTACCCTTCTTTCAGCCTCCTTACTTCAGGGCTCCATCTTTCAGTCCTCCTCTTTATGTTGGGACCTCTTCCAAGTCACTGGCCTGTCTTATTTCCACCCAAATTTGCAGTTTTTCCTTCTGTCAAAGAGCCTGGAGTGAAAACTGTCTTGTTTCCTGAGCAATTGAATGTTCTGTGTCACCGTATCTTAGCTCTCACAAATGTTGTACTAAATAGGTTTGTCTTATTGCAGAGCAAATCAAGAAGCTGGAACATGATTCTTGTTCCTTGCAGAGAGCAAAATCTCAGCTAGAAAGTGAATGTAAAACTCTGCAACAGAAAGTGGAGATTCTCAATGAGCTTTATCAGCAGAAGGAAATGGCACTTCAGAAGTAAGTACTGGGCTTTTTAAAGATGATAAAAATACCCCAAAACATGGTATAAACCAGTTTACCCCAATCTGGCACCCTTCATATGTTTTGGATGACCTCTCATCAACCCAACCAGCATGGCCAATTGTCAAGAGATGATAGGAATTGTAGTCCAACAGTATTTGGAAGAAATAAGGTTCTGGAAAGCTTGTGTAAGCTATAACATCATTTTGCTCCTTTTCTGTTTACCTTTCATAGAATCTTGGAAGGGACCCAAGGGTCATCTAGTCCAACCCCCTGCAATGCAGGAATCTCAGCTAAAGCATCCATGACAGATGGCTATCCAACATCTGCTTAAAAAACTCCAAGGAAGGAGAGTTCACCACCTCTCATGGGAGTCTGTTGCACTGCTGAACAGCTCTTGCCATCAGAAAGTTTTTCCAAATGTTTAATCAGAATATCCTTTCTTGTAACTTGAAGCCATAGCCTTGAGTCTTAACCCTGAAGAGCAGGAGAAAACAAGCATGTTCCCTCCGCCGTGTGATAGCCCTTAAGATATCTGAAGATGGCTATCATATCTCCTCTCAGTCTCCTCTTTTCCAAGCTAAACATACCCAGCTTCTGTTTTTTCAGCCATTCCAATAGGGCTAAAATTGATCCCCATAGCTGCAAATAATTTTTTAAAAAAATTTTTTACCCCACCATTAAATCAAGGAGAGGCTGAAACGCCAATTGACAATTTGTCATGGTTGAGGACTACCTGAAACATGGAGTTGTGTAAGAGTGATACAAAAGCTTTAGAACTTTTTCCAATGCTGTCAGGTTGTGTCTGGCCACAGAGGGTTAATTATACCTAAATTTCTGCTGTAGGAAGTTGTCACAAGAAGAGTATGAGCGTCAAGAGAAGGATCAGAAGCTCTCTGCTGCAGATGAAAAAGCAGTCCTGGCAGTCGAAGACGTGAAAAAATACAAGTAAATAGATCGATTGATGAATGTAATGTCTCATATTTTCAGACAGTGAGCAGAAGTAATCTCTCAAATTCTTTGACAGAAAGAGAATTGATGAAATCGTTGAAGAACTGCAACAAACAGAGCGATCTTACAAGAATCAGGTGTGATGCTATCCCAATAAATCTTTCTGAAGCAGTAGATGTAGGATATAAGCCAATGTGCAGACCCAAATAAACTTTTCTTCCTTCCTTCCTTAATGTTTTAAGATTGACATCCATGAGAAGAAGGCCCATGAGAACTGGGTAAGGATTTTATTAAAGCATATAAAAAAACCTTTTCATTTAGTTGAGCAGGGCAGTTAATGCTTTTCGCAGAGCAGCAGCAATTAGCCTTTAATTAGCTATTTTCCTAGCAGAACGTGACTTTCACTATTTTTTTCTATTGCAGCTCATAGCACGTTCTGCCGAAAGGGCATTAGCTGAAGAAAAAAGGGAAAATTCCAACTTAAGGCTCAAGTAAGTATGTTCTCTACTTGGTAACTGCAAAAGGTGCTTGGTTTTATAGACTGCCACTAATACTAAGCTGGGACGCGGGTGGCGCTGTGGGTTAAACCACAGTGCCTAGGACTTGCCGATTGGAAGGTCGGCGGTTCGAATCCCCGCGACGGGGTGAGCTCCCGTTGTTCGGTCCCAGCTCCTGTCAACCTAGCAGTTCGAAAGCACCTCACAGTGCAAGTAGATAAATAGGGACCGCTCTCCGGCGTTTCCGTGTGCTGCACTGGTTCACCAGGAGCGGCTTAGTCACACTGGCCATGTGACCCGGAAAGCTGCGGACAAGCGCCGGCTCCCGGCCTCTTGAGCGAGATGAGCGCGCAACCCCAGAGTCGGTCACGACTGGACCTGATGGTCAGGGGTACCTTTACCTTTACCTTTTAATACTAAGCTATTCACATCTGCAGGTTTCTTGGTGAAAATGCATATTATTTAATGGCAAATTCCTTCAGCGACTTGCCGACTTTCCCCCCACATTGTGGGGGTGCATCATGTGATGTGTTATGTTACACATCATGTGACGTGTCCTGCCCCACCTAGCGCTCGTGCGCCACACCAAGACGCTCAAGCATCCTGCTGTTGCGATGCCAGCACTCCTGTGCCAGGTGGAGAATGGGAAGCGCAAAGCAGGGCTCCGTGCTCAAGCTCTTCCCCACACAACATCTGTGGGGCTACAGGATTTTGGGGGAGCCCAGCCCCCTCCTTGGAAAAATGTTGGGGGCTGAAGACCCCTCAGCCCCCAACCACATGGCACACCTGCTTCAGCACTATATCGTACAAGCATGAATGCACTTTGAGATTAATTTTGGATTTTTTCCCCTTTAACAGATTAATAGAGATGGATCAGAAAATAGCTGCGCTTCAGAGACCACTAATTGTGAAACCAACTGCAGGCCGACCAGACCATCAAGCCCCGCCTCGCAGAGGTAAATGCTCTGTTCACCTTTTGCTAGGGATCTGAAATGTCAAGCCTAACCTTTCAGAAAAGGAAATAAATAGTTGACACCAGTGACCATGCTTTATTACAGGTCCATTAAGTCGAGATGGATCCTTTGGGCCCTCACCTGTGAGCGGGGGAGCTCCTTCCCCACCGCTGATGATGGAACCCCTTGGGCGGCCCCTTTCTGCCAATCCAAGAGAAGGTTCAAGAGGTGAAGATGACAATAAATCAATCCTTTTTCTTTTTTCCTTAGGTTGTCTTGCTATAGAAGCCTTCTTTATTATCATTGATCACTTTATAAAAGTTTAAAGGGCCCGTTTTTTATTTTTAAAGGGCCCGTTTTTTATTTTTACGAAATTCTCTCACTTTTCCTTCTTTGGTTTAAGAATGAAAATAGTAAAAATAACAAAGCAGTCCTAAATTAGCCAGAATGGCACACTGTGTTTAAAGATGTTGGGTTATAATCCAGTTAATTTTAAGCCTTTTCTGTCCTGTTGACCTTAATAGGAAAATAAAGCACCTTATTTTTTGCTAGCATATGTGCACAGTTTGTAAATGGAGTAATCCTTAATGCCACAATGCTATGCTAATTTCTGCCCTTTCTCCAAGGAGTTCAGAATGGTGTGCAAGGTTTTCTCCCTCCCCCCTTTTATCCTCTCAAACCTGAGAGGTAGTTTAGGCTGAAAGTCATTGGCTAAGGTTGCTCAACGAGCTTCCTGGCTGAGTGAGTGTTTGAAACTGGGTCTCCCTGGTCCTAGTCCAATGCTCAAACCACTGTACGCGTTACTGTTCAGGGAGGAAGGGAGTGCATAGTCCAGGTCTCTAAACCAGAAGTAGGGAATATGTGCTCCTCGAGATGTTGCTGAGCTACAACTCCCATTCTGTCTGACAATTGGCTGTGCTGGCTGGTGCTTAGAAGCCATTAGGGCATGTAAGTGGTATATAAATTGAGAAATAATTTTTAACAAAATGTGCATACCACTTAGAAGAACAAAATATCTCTAAGTTGTAGACAAGCAACAAATGGGTGTCCACAGATTCCTCAGCATTGCTCCAAATAATGCTGCAGAAATAACTGCTCACCAAGCTATGATTTCCTGAAGACATTCTGAACTATCTAGAAGAATGTTCCAGGGAAGACCAGAGACTGCAGCTATACTGATGGCAGGTCAACTGAGAAAGTGCATTTCTTTTCAAAATGGTAAAAAATATGTGGTCTTTCTCTTTAGAGCTTGGCCCTGCTGTAGCATCCCTAATGACCTGTGGGCCAAGGACATCATCTCCTGCTGCAGTAGTGGATGGAATGGTAAGCAAGGGGCAGGGAGGTTTTAAAAAAAAATTCTGAGATGGCATTTTGGGAAGAACCATGTGTGTTACCCCACTGTACAGGTCTCATCACCTCTTACATATCATGTTCTTATTTTGTCTATCATCTTACTGTCTTTATGTTGCTGGGGGGGAAATAAAGCCAAACCCTCCTAAAGAGCCTGAAGCCCCCTGTGTTTCTACTGCTCCACCTACATCTGTTGAAGCAACTGCAGTGAGTACCAAGAGGCTGGGAATGGTGCTTTTGCTTTCCCTGGTTTGATGGAGAGGAGCATGATGCTTCATATCTTGGCATGGCAAAATGAGCCCCGTGAGACTCATTTTAGGTTACAACTCTTCTGGGGCTTCTTGACTTCCTAAGGTTGCATACATTGGTGAGGGCAGCTAACATATACTACATTTTTAAAAGCTATGCTTTGGTCCTGAGTTATTTTCTAGAAATCTAATATAGTAGATATTTGAGGCTTTTTTTTCCCTTGGGTACTTTTTGGATTTCTTTGTGTTTAAATTAACTGTTTGTTTGGGTTTGCTGGTGCTTTAAGAATTACTAACTACATGGATGATGGTTTTAGGTGGTTAAATATTCAGGATTGTCACTTAGTTGAAACACCTGTTTTTTGTTTAGCCAGAGTATTCAGGAAAAGGAAAATCCCCATAGCAGGGGTGGGGAACGTTTTTCAGTTCAGGAGCAGCATTTCCTTGTGCGGTCTGCATCCCAATCATGGGTGGAGCCAGAGGCAAAAGTAGGTTGGGCAGTGGATGAGAGTCTTGCCTTTGTACAGCAGGCTACATTCCACTCAAAATTTGAAGACTGCTACACACACAAGACTCTCCATTCTCCATTCAGGCAAGGAACAGGCATAGTCTTAACCAGGCAAAAGTACTTGATGGGCACTGAAAAGGCTGTGCAAGGAGGAGTTTAGTCTGAGGCTCATTTAGAGAGGTTTGGAGGGCTGCAACTGGTCCCCTGGCCTGAGATTCCTCACCCCTGTTTGGTAGTATGCAGTGAAAACGAGTTTGAAAATACATAGCTTTCAAACACTTAACATTTTTGGTGGAAGATCAGTTTTATATTTCGCTGGTGTATATAGTAGAAGACTAACTTTTCTGTCTTACACAGGTTAACATGGGTCCTAAAGGCCCACCACCTTACCCAGGGGCCCCCGTAATGGGACCGCCAGCAGCTGGACATTTGCCACCACCTCCAGTTCGTGTGGGACTTCCACCCCGGCTACCCTATGGACCTCGACCTCTTCCCTTAGGTATGCTTGTTTTTCCATTGTGCTTTTTTTTTTTTTTTTTTAAAAAAAAGATGTTTATTTGAATTGGCATTACAGGTTCAAGAATCTTTCTCACAACCTGTTGCAGAACAAAGTTATCTTTGCGGCAATGAGTGAGTGGGCAGGGGTGCCTCATGGTGAATTTGTGAGAGCTGAGCAATGTTAGCAATACTAATTTGAGAGCCATAACCTGCTTTGAATATTTGGCTGAAGTATTTCATCTGAATATTGCCTTGATAGATTTGGTGAGTCTATTGATAGCAAAGCACAGTTGTAACTATGTGGGAAAAGGACTGGAAGTGACAAGAGAGGCATGCAAAATACAGATGGTTCCTTTTCTGATAAATGGAACATTTTGTTGTCTGTTCACATATTATCTGCCAGGCATAAAGGCTTCAAATATGCTTCTTTAAAATGGAAGTTGGTAAACTTGGAATTCTGTGCCTGCTGTTTGGTTTCTGCCAAATTTCTGGGGTGAGATTGCATGTACTTCCTGCCAGTGAATAATTCACTGTGCTGCTTTTCCTTCCAGTACGTGGAGCCCCTCCACCACCTCTTCCAAGAGACTATCCACCTGTCCCTCCATTTGGAATGAGAGACTTTCCACATGGTCCACTACCACCTCCTGATCAGAGAGTATATCAGCGCGGACCTCCTCCTTTCCGGCCTTCATACCCAAGAGATTATCCTCCAGGCCCTCCACGGCTACCTCCGCAAGGATTAAGGGACTACCCCCCTCCTCCTGCCAGAGACTTGCCACCTTCAGGACCCAATGACTACCAAGGAGGTCCTTCTGGTCCCCCATCCCCAGCTAGCTCACGGGACTCTGCACATCATGCTGAAGAGAAACCATGACTTTGGATTTCTGGACTGATCTCCATCACGTTTCATGTGGGGAGGATTTCATTAGCTTCAGAACCAACTCTTCTTTCCTCCTCTGGACTTGGTTTCTATGTAGCTTTTTTCTTTCTTTCTCCTTTGCAGAAATAATTTCTCTAGCAACGCGCATTTGATCACCTTTAAATGAGGACTTGTTCATCCTCTTGGGATGCACATATAATTTTTCTGTGATGAACCTGAAGCCTGCTTCTACAGCTGTGGCTGACCTGCAGCTCTCAACGTGCAATATATGAAAGTACCTGTGTGGTTAGTTTTTAATTAATGTAGCCTATGTAATAAGTTGGTGAATGATTTCAAAATGATAATTTGAACATTTCCTGTGGAAATACCTTTGGTAAGAAATGCTACCCCTTCACATATAGCCTACAGTGACTGTAGACAAGTGGTTTACATAAGGATTCTAATGCAGATATTTTTAAACTACCTGGTATGAAAGACCAGAAACAAACTACTCTGTACTGGAAGGACAGATCTACTAATAAAGTGAGCAAGATCTCTTTCTCTTTTTTTGCTACATCTAGAAGAATGAATTTTGTACAAATCCATTTTCCTTTGCAGTAATGAATAGTACTAGTCACGAGACGGCTTAAGAGGAAAGAATAGAACAAACTCTTCCAGCTAGTGGGTGATATTCAGCTAAGTTTTAGACCCATTGCAATTAATAGGCCTAACTTAGTAAGAGTCATGGATTTTAGTCGGCATACGCTGAGTAAAACTTAGTTGATGACCACCCAGTGTCATGCCTCCATAAAGCACAAAAAAAATCACAATTTAGAGCCCTTGCACCCCAGGAAATTTCAGGTAAGGAGCAAATTTTCCATGTCAAGTGCAGATTCCTTAATCGCAGGCTCAAAAAATTATGAGTTGAAATAGTGCCATTTTACATCAAATCACTTGGTAATTGTTATAAAACAGCACATTTGAGTTGAATCTGAGGGGGACGTGAGCTGGTAGCTCCTTGCCTAGGACTCCTTCCATTACCCCACCCCAGCTGGCTTCATTGGAGTCATTTGACCCTCCTGAGCAGTATGGGCTGTGGGGCTGCAGTGGGGAAGGGGTCTTGGGCAGATGCAGCTTCCATGAGCCAGTACTGTTGAGGATTCTCTAGAGATGCTAGCACAGAGGGCTGCTGAAGAGGGACTCAGAAGCTCACCCTTCCCTTGTGCTCATTTTGATTCCTTTTTGCATGTCATTTTTGGCTCTGTAGTAGGCCAGATCTTGTTTCAAAACTACATCAGTCAAGAAGATAGCTCAGATAAGACTACCTTACAGCCCAGCCTTAAACATGTCTACTCAGAAGTGACTCCAGTGGGGCTTACTGCTGAATATGAAGATGTTTAGAACAGTAATCTCAATGTGTAATTGGTTTAAGAGTAAACAAAACTTAGTCCAGACTTGAAGCACATGGAAAGAGGCTTCTATAGGCTGCTGCTTCTATGCTAAAACAAATACAAACTTTCCTTCTTTGGAGTACAACACACAGCTTTCTATGGATGTGCTGGTATGTATGAAAGGGCATTTTTAGGAGAATTAGCCCCATCATTAAAAGTAGGCTTCAATGTTCTCTTATAATTTAATGTTGGTCTTTTGGAAGCTTTCTAAAGGATCAGAAAATGTAGAGAGACAATTCACAGTTCAAAGAACAGTTCCATTTGTGATAATCACTTAAGGCATTCTGGGGGCGAATAAATACTTTTGCTGGGTAGCATACAGTGGTACCTCTGGTTAAGAACTTAATTCGTTCCAGAGGTCCGTTCTTAACCTGAAACCGTTCTTAACCTGAGGGACCACTTTAGCTAATGGGGCCTCCCACTGCTGCACGATTTCTGTTCTCATCCGAAGGTAAAGTTCCTAACCCGAGGTACTACTTCCAGGTTAGCAGAGTCTAACCTGAAGCGTTTGTAACCCAAAGCATTTGTAACCTGAGGTACCAATGTAGTAGGAACTACTCGTCTTGACTAATAATATTTTCAGAATGGTTCTTGATGTTAAGACTTAATTCATGTGCCTGCCAACAAGAAGAACAATCCAGCTGTGGCTTTTCTTTTCCCCCTTCTTCTGAGTAAAACAAGTTTTACATTAGAAAGTAAACTAGCCGGCAGTAGCAGGATTGTTGGATATATAAGCAAGCTCTGGGTATGTGACATTGCCACCTCAAAGAAAGAACTGGTCCTTGCTTACCAAGGCTCTTGAGTAAACTTGCAAGAAAATGGTTCCTTTCCTCTTATGGATCAGTAACTAGTTAATGCGCAGCAAGTAATAGGTAAGTGAAAACACTTGGCTGGGAACAAACACTGAATTCAGTAGGATTTCCTTCAGAGTAGACATGGTTAGGACTGCTGTGACTCATGTGACCTAGTTTAGTGATGTATTGCTTTATATCTGCACTTTAAAAAAGCATTTTGTGCATTCTCATCTTTGATCTGTAATTAATCCAGAGAGGATTAGGCCTGCCAAATTATAAGTACAAGGGCTTTAAGGGAGGGGAAGTAAAGGGATACATTTTATTCCACAATCCAGCGGGGGGGGGGGGGTATTCTCTTTTACGTTAAGTGGTTGCTCATCTATTTTTTGTTGTTTTTTAAAAAAACCTTTGCACACTAACCCATCTCCAAAAGACCTTATAACATGAAGATGCCCAGAATGGTGCCTGTGGATTTCTGAAGAGCTCCCCGTTTGTTTCTGTTAAAGCAGAGCAATATAGTTCCTTTAAAAAAAAAAAGTAAATGAAGCTTTTAATTTAATGTTTTTTAAAAACCCTCTGCTGATCAAACAGTCCAGAGCTCTTCAGGCAACATTTGGACAGCCCTACTTCTTGCAGAGCCTAGGGCCCTAAGAAATGGAGATTATAAAGCATATAGCTATCACCCCAGTTGGTCTCATTATTTGACCTCTCCACAGAGTTGATGCACACCCCCTTAGTTAAGTATCCATGCAAGTCCATGATCTCAAAATTATTTTGCATATTTCCAAGATAAGGTAAATTTCACAGGGAATTTTGTACGGAGGCTGGCAAAGAGCTCAGTTCCTCTGGTAACAACAGTTGTTTCCTCCCTTAAGGTTGTTATACAATTTGTTTTTCATATAACAAGGTAATTAGGGTGGCTTAATTTCCTTTAATGATCAATGTAGAAAATTCAAGTCAGTAGGCAAACCAGCTGAATATATATATATATATATATATATATATATATATAATCTCAAGCAGCCTTTCTTGTGATCAGCAAATTATTCCTAATTTGCTTTAGCAAGTGTAAATTACCTATTTATTTTCAGGAATTCTGAAGCACCATGATTCAAGGGCGCAGCATCCTACTTTGGAGTCTTACTCATGACCAAGTATCTTTTTGTATCAAGTAAATTCAAGTGCTTTTTTGTGGGGGGTCACCTTCATAAAATCAATCCATTGACTAGAGAGAGATGCATACTTGAAGAGTTGCAGCAACCACCACGATAATAATTTTGTTGATACTGGCACATCTTTATTGCTGTATCAGGTCTGGCGGATGAGGAATTCCCAACCGCCTTAACTGGGGTGTTCTTATATGGGTGTAGAAACCAAATTACAAAACTGAACTCTTACAACCAGCCCAATTAGGAAAATTCACAACACGCTTTGGAACATCTGTGATAAAAATATACATTCCAAAGAAAACTGCACCTAGGTGGCAGGGCTTGGCTGCTGATCCACTTGATGTGCGGCAGGTGATGGTCCCATTTGACTTGCTGGGTAAAATGCAGCCATTTCCCCTGCGTCCTGAAGGATGAGTGCTACATAAGGCAGCTGCTATGGTTTTGTGGCAAGTGGTTCAGTTCACAAAAGTCACTCTTTGTGCAGTGTTTGATGGAGGTGAAGATAAAGTGGCTTCTTGGTCAACAATTGGAGTTTCTTCCTCTTGAAGTCAGTGGGTTTTTTGTACCTATAATGACATAAAGAACTGTCAGACTCTTCAGTTTAATGATCCTTAGGACATGTGCATGCACAAAGTTACGATGAACCTGCCTCTGTGCGCTGCAGCATCCCATGTCAAGATGTATTAGGTTTTGATTATCACTCCTGCTATCTTACCTACTAAAAGTTTTAATACTTTGACAGAGGATGCTCAGCATCTTTATCAGTCTAGCAGACTTTGAGCAGCAATTGCCAATCCAGCATAGCACAAGTAGTTATGTTCTTCAACATGCAAGCAATTGGTAGGATCCGAGTGTACAGGATGTGCCCAAGGTCACTTACAGTTCTATAACAATTGGTCCAGGTTTAATTTCATCCATCTCCATGAAGGCAAAGCACTTGGTGCTGGTGAACCTTTTCTTAGGCTTATAGTGTTTAAATTCAAAGAAAATAGCTGCACCTGAACAGAGGGGAAAAGAATCATTCCTTGAAGGGAGGAATCTAGGATACAGAGGGTGAAGACCCCCAACCACATAGACTCATAGAATTGTAGAGTTGGAAGGGACCATGAGCGTAATCTCGTCCAACTCCCTGCAATGCAGGAATCTTTTGCCCAATGTGGGGCTTGAACCCACGACTCAACTGAGCAATGTAGAGATGACGCAGAGCTGTAGCAACACAGTGCATGTTACATGGCAGAGTGCTTCTTTTTATAGGTTTGGCACAAAGCTGCCTCCCATTAAACAACATTTTTTGCTTTACGTTATAAAAGGTACTGAGCAATTATTAGAAATACTGTTGTCCATCTGTCACAAAAGCAAAACATGGAAATGTTCTTCCTCCCCACCCTAGATTTTTGACTTCTGAAGTGGTTCTAAATTCAGCTTTGATCAGCTGGTCCTATTTCAATGCAACAAACCTTTTGTTAATTTTTCAACATGTTTCTGAATCTCGATGTCCACATTAAAATGAACGTATGTGTCCTCCTTCCTTGAAGCAACTGGTGTGTCCTGCACAGGGGTCAAGTCTATCCCATTCAAATCTGTTAGGAGGCAAAACATGATGTTTTTATCAGGAGAGAGAGCTGTTTCAATTCTTAGAAAAATACAAGGACCACTGCATTAAATTTTAGATGCCTCCATTTCTGAAAATGTAACAACAGAATTATACATGTTACTAGTGAAAAAAGCATTTGTTTTTGGGAACAGCACAAGAATCACCTTTAGACAAGGCGAGTATCTTACATGACTATCACGTCCAATCCAAAATTGTGTACATAATACCACAAGGAACTGACGTATCACACCTATTAGGAATTCTCATTGTGCATCACTTGTTGCAAGAGAAACACATGAATATGACAACATATTTATTCAGTGTGAAATCCAATGTTGCCATTCTGCTTAAGGAATCCTTTTAATTCAGCAGAAGCATTGACTAACATAAAAAAAAAGGGAAGACGGTTTTTTCTACTCCTTGTTGCAGTACCCTGCACCCCGCCTTCTGCTCCAGATAGCTGAAGGACCCTCCAATACAGCATGGAGGGTGGTCTAGACTGAAGGGGAATTGGTTAAAGAATGCCACTTTTCTAACATTAGCAGACATCTCCACTGGATCAAAAACATTTCTGTAAGCAGAACTGCAGTGTTGTTCATTATGTTTGTATGGCTACTCGGTAAAATATATTTTCTTATAGTGTATGTTCTTGGAAGCTCACAAAATAAAAACAGCATTAATCATTTCCTTTCTTGCAGATTAAGACTCGAATTTCATGTTTAAAAAAACTCAAGTAGTTTAAAAGGCCTGGATAAATACAAATATTTTCACCTGGCACTGAAAATACAATGTGGTGGTTGCAGGTGAGGCCACTGCATAACTAGGATATCACCCTCCCTAGTAGTATGCTCAAGGTATATGTTATTTCCTATCCAAGGGTGATTTTGGTACAGAAAATCTGACATGTTAGATCTGAATGCATTTGCAGTGTATATTGCAGGATATTGTCCAGTAAACTATCACCCACCAGTAACAGTAACAGCAGGCATAACATAACTTCAATTCTGTGAAGGGCACTTTCCAAACATATAATCCACCTTTTTTTTGATAAGGCTCAATACTTTCACACCTCAAATGTCGCTTGAAGATTTTCAAGAAATCCACAAAATATGTTGCTCTATTTATTCTTTTAGGAACACTTTGTTATTAGCATTTTTTAAGAAACAGAATGATACAAAGGTAGACAAGGCTTTTATATATTTGAACACACTTTCATCGTCAGAAGAAGTTAATCTAACAGAAATCTGTCATGACTTGCTGAATGTTAAAAGCCAAGAAAGATTCAAACACTTATGACTTGAAAGTGAGCATTCATTTCAAAGTGAAAAGAGGAGCTACGATGTTGAGGACTTGGAAGAAGTCTGGATAATGCACAACTCCTAACAGATGCAGGATGCCTCTCAAAACCAGTATCTTGGGGTATTGGCATGACACAAATGTGTCATTTTTCAGCCCTTCATAAACACTGATTGAGTCAGAAAATGTGTACATGTTGAGGGGGAAAACTACATGCTTGCTGTGGGAGTCTTAAGCAATTACTGCCAAGTCTGCTGGCAGCCGGGAGTAGATCAGAAGTGTCAAAGGAACAAAGCTTGACTTAATTGCCTCGCCAACGCAACTAACACAACAACTACCTTTCACACTAACTGTGATATAGGGATCGATGCACTGCCCAGCATCTTTAAGACCAATTTTCTCTATTTTGAGAGTAAGCAACGTCATCCCGGGTTCAGATGGCAATCTGGGTAATAATGTACCTGGCAAGAAAACAACACAAGGGGGTGTTAAAGAAACAGAATTATAGCCCTTCAGCACAGTTTCTACCACTGTTTTTATCTACATTCTGAACCTGGAGGATTCAATCCACTGACTGTATTCAAGGAAAAACGGGGCTGCCTAATGTCAAAGGACCACCTTGAGCCACAAACAAACAGCTATTCATTTGGATCTGGCAGCAAGTCTCATGAGTTAGAAGTCTGCAGGTCCTTTTCAAAGTTCACCATATGGGGAAGCAAGGTACCAGCCACCAGTAATCCAGTACACTTGGATTACAAGGATCAGATATATTATATTAGTACATCTAATCCCCCAAATAAGCACCGAACAGATACACCCATTGTGGGAAGACAAAAGATTCACCTCTGTACCCAAAGACCTCGATTCAATTGAGGTGGGCAGACTTCAGGGGGTTGAGGTCAGCTCTGAGGTCAACTTCATTGCTGTTTAACTGGAACTCTGAGATCCAGTAATTGGAACCAGGTGTAAAATAGTGGATCAGGGAAATGGCAGAGCCAGATGCAAAATGGCGGCTCAGGGCCAATTAACAACTGTACTCGCAGCTCTATATGGTGATAAACCTGTGTATATATAAGTACAAATCTACATTTGAGTCACCTTAGATAAAGGATACTAACAAAACAGCAACTGGCAAGGAGAGTTTCACAAAGGTCTGATCAAAGGTAACCAATGAATATTATTATATGTTTGAGTTCAGAAATAACTATCAGCATAAATTTCCTCCTTTTGAAAGAGATAGTACCAGGTATTAATCTGCAGGATCTACTCTTCAAATTACAACCTCCCCCTGCCGCCACCCCCAAAGTGGAATTACTTTCTTCATGTGACCTTGGTCATATAAAGCAATATGGACACTTGGAGATGTTCTGACTTTGGGTTTAATTGTGTGGTGGCATGGGCAAAGAGCTCTGCAACATCTAGCATTTGTTGCTGTGGGCAGGATGATTTTACATACAAGAGTTTTCACATCCAAGTGAAAGCACAAGGCCAGTGCTCTGGCCAATACGAACACATTCACAATTAATAGCTGCTCACATTAAGATATTATCATACCTTCATTGGCTCCTGTGTTAGATGAATTATGTAGTATATGGTTACACGATGGAGCCATGCATGTAGAAGACAAGACCACGTACAGTTAGGCAGCACAATAATGCAATAGGGGATCCATGGAAACAAGCAGATTGTACAGGCAAAGCAAGTACAATGAACAGTACAAATTCAGCAAAGCAGCTGATTGAGAATAGCAGTATAAAATGCCTCCCGAAATCTAGGTTGCATGAGTCACCTTAAGCCTTTCACATTTAAGCCCTTCTGTAAAAAGTATTTCAACATTATGTTTACACATATCTACCTACAAATTTTGTCCAGACATAGAAAACAAAAATGAAAGTGAGTGCTGGTGGTCTAACAGCCATTTCGGACATGGCAATTTGCCAGGGAACAGGAAGCACAACTATCAGGTGCCCTGCACACCTCTAGAGATTCATCAGCTATAGGAGTGGAGTCAAGATCCCAATGGATGCAAGTGATTTTATACTCAAAATGCTTTGCAAATAAGTCACAGCGAGCTACTGTTGGTTCTATCATCTCTTTTAGAACAGACTATAAAAGGCCCCGCACTACCCAGAAAAGTTCTGCTGGACAGCACAATGAGGGTGCAATGGAGGCAGCAAAGTTTGCCCTCTTTACTGCCTTCACTGCCACTAGGTAGGCTTGATGAGGAGCCCTCACCAGTGTTCGATTGCATTCAATTGCAATTTTCCTCCACTCATGTTTGAGCCGTATCCCAGCTTGTTTCCTCTGAAATATACCAGGGAGCCAAATGGGCTCTACAAAGCGGGAGACAGCATTCAGGCTGATCGTGTCAATGGCATGAGCCTTTGGATGTTCCAGAGGTCAGCCAGGGCTTTGACAGGAGCGCCAGTCATATCAGCCAGAAAATCCTCCAGAGCCATCTGGAAACCCATTGGATCCAGCAGCCTCTGGGGTAGTGTTTTTATAGGATCTTTTATTTTGCATTGTAAGCCACCCTAGGAATTTACTCGAAGGGCGGAATATAAATTCCTACAATAAATACAGTAACTTAGCTGCTGAAGAAAAGCAGATACCTTGTTGACATCTGTAAAATGTTTCCCCTTTTTGGCCTAGTATAAAGAATTCTCCAAAATTAGCAAACCTATCTCATATCCAACTAGTAACCAATAGTTTATTACTATATGTAAACTATGTGAAAAGAACTTTAGCAAAGCTTCTATGCACAGACTGGTACAGAAGATGTACCAACTGGTATCCATCCATTAGCTAATGACCATCCAAGTGTGCACCTAAACACTTCTGCAACAAATCTTAACTCCCACATCATCACCCTCATCCTAGTAAATGACATTTGAAGAAAATGATGCCCCTACTACCTGGAATTCTGGCAGGAAACGCGTCTGGAGATCCTGCTCCAGCTCCACCCTCCTCCTCATCTTCTTCAAATTCCAAATCTTCCTCTTCACCAGGTGCTAAGATCTTCCTTTAAAAACACACACACCACAACTGAGGGGTGATTATGCACCTTCATCACTCAATTATTTTCAGATCAATGTGCCTGCAATGAACAGTATGGCTTGAGGAATATCCGTAGCCTTCCAGAGGGTAGGAAGTTAGAATTGACCTATAACAATTCCCTGTTAGACACTATACTCCAATCTCTGGTATAGCTTCCTAAAGCCCTCTCCATATATACTTCTAATTTATTGGTTGCTTACCTTGGCGGAACAGGCTGAACATCAAAGGGGAATTCTTTATTATAGGAAAGAATATTCTTTAAGACTGTAAGGGAAGACAGACAGTCACCATCAACTATCAAAAAACCTAATTAGTGTATAAATGAAATAAACAGGCAGAGGGTTTCATTCTTGTGCCCTCCCAGAAGACACCTGAAAGAAACAGTGGTTCCTTACATACAATATAACAACAGGGTCACTGTAATTGTCATTTTCACAGACACCCCCCCCCTCCCAAATTCTGAATTTTAAGTAAGTAGCATTTCCTACAACCTAATTCATGCAAGAAAAGCAAAGAATGAAAGAAAAAGGGTCAAATGCATGGTGAGAAAAATTACAATCGTATTTTAAATCAATGTCACTGTGAGAGCCATACTTTCTGTCTTTTCATGTTGAAATAGCTTGCTCTCTTCTCAGAAAAAATAGCAACTTGCAAACACTGAGAACCAATAGTGTTTCCTTTCATTCCTAGTAATGCTCAGACAATAATCTCTCGGAAATAGTATGAAGAATTAGTGATGGTACTTTTATGATTTGTTCCCACACAATGACACACAGTATGTATTTATTTAATAGAGCAATATCTACTACCATCATGTAAATTAAAGGGGGTGGGGGGGAGAGAATAAGACATTGTATACATAGGACTCTTCTCCAGAATAAGATGGAATATCCAGTCCTGATAATATGAGGAAGTTCTATAAGGTTGCTGAACTTCATGAAGTACAATTAATCGTGGCCCTGGTTACAGATGGACAAGACCTTTCATTTCAAAGTAATGTTTCATATTGTGATTTTGGATTTACAGCTACACTGTTTACACATACAGGCTCTTTGTTTTTAATGGTTTACCTGTGATTTACCCAACACACTGAGAAGTTAAGGAAAGCACTTTGCTTTCAACGCTTTACTACAGAAGAATCCAATTTCACCACTCTCCTGTTCAAGAACGGAAAAATTCAGGGCACCTCTCCCTTTTGTGAAAAAGCACACTAGAGACTAAGGCTGCAGTGTTATGTACACGCTCCTGGGAATAAACCAAAATGAGCAAAGAGGGGTTCAGACTTGCATAGGATCGTGTCCTTAAGAGTTACGAGTGGAGAAAAAAGTAAGTACCAGGTTCAGAGCAACATCAATTCAGTCCCCTTTGCCCAAATCAAAATATGACACTACTGTTTTCAAGCTTTCCATGTGTGAAGAAATAGGATTTTCAATCATGCTACATTTAGGTATTGGTTAGAAAATTTGGGTTGTAAAATACTTGCTCTCGCAGCTCTCTCCTGCATAGGAGGGTCAAAAGTTCACAAGAAGGTTAAAAGTACAATGGAATGCTTCACTCATGATGTTTGCTTATATTGATTTATTTAAAATACTCACATGTCATCCTTTATTTAAAAAAGTTCCAGGGTAGTTCAATCACATAGGAGGCTGTGAAAGCCCTACCCTCCATGAATTGCATAACTTCCTTTTAAAGCCATCCAAGTTGGTGGTTATCAAAGCCTACTAGGCATGGTGGCTACACATGGTCAGAGGCAGTAGGCCTCTAAATACCAATTGCCAGAAACCACTGGAGGGTAGAGTGCTTGCAGGTTTCCCATGGGCATCTGGTTGGCAATTCTGAGAACAAGATGTTGGACTAGACCAGGCATAGGCAAACTCAGCCCTCCAGATGTTTTGGGACTAGAACTCCCATCATCCCTAGCTAACAGGACCAGTGGCCAGGGATGATGGGAGTTGTAGTCCCAAAACATCTGGAGGGCCGAGTTTGCCTATGCCTGGACTAGACGGACCATTGGCCTGATCAGTCAATACCTTACATTAAAATAAACCCTTTGGATCAAAGAAAGCTACCTGCCAAAGTGGAACCTGCGCACTGGTTTGTATTCAACTTACTTCTGCTCAGAGTAGAAATATTAAATTAATGGACCTAGGTTAATCATGGCCATTCGTTTCAATGAGTCTACACCGCGTAGACATTTCTTGACTAAAACCCATTATGTATCTGCAATAGTCACTGTTCTGGACATGCATTGTGAGTGGCTCACGTAGGCACATAATGGGCAGCTGTCTCAGAGGAGGGATAATCTATCTTTACATCAACAGTGACTGAATGATCCATACACATCCTCCTCCTCCAAGCAGAATCCGATTGTGCTGGAAGGGTAAATAGCCAGTGAATCATGCACAGGTGCAGTGGAAATCTGTGCCGATATTTTCATTTCAAAGGTAACTTCTTGTTTAATTAATTTCTCATGATGCATTAACAACCTTTTTCACAGCATTCATTTTATGAAATTCTGGTCTAGAAAGTTGCTTCATCACTTGCCTGACGGAACAGCATGCTTGGAAGATTATTTTCCTGGAGAAAACCAATCAGCTCCTAGCTCCTTACCAACAGAAACTTTATAGAACTGTATGGAATACATTCATAGCAATCAGGTGCCCGAGCACCTAGATATAAAAACCAAGACCATCTTGTGGGCCCTCCAAGCTGTTCTTTGTGATGCATAGTAAAGGAAACCAGAATACCACAATAGCACGGCTGACTGAACACCATCCCACACTGACACTGCTTTTAAATTATTCTTGAAATTAAAAGATACTTACTTGGTTCTAGTTTCTTCAGATCCTCTAGCTTAAATTCTTCCTGGGACTGTGTAGACTAAAAGGAAAGTAGTATTACATATCTGTATCTACTATCCATTGCTACAGCCAGTTACAATGGTAAAAGTAGCGCTGGTTTTGCATTTTGTTCTACCTCTTGTTTCCTGAAAGGGCCCTGTATTTCAAAGAGAAACTAACTGTTAGTTCTTTGGGTACCTTTGAACTTCATTGTTTACCTAAAGGGAAAAAGTTATTGAGACACAAAATCCTGCTGATGTAAAAAACTGACTGGAAAACATGTTGAATTATCAGCATGTCTTTAATGCATCAAAAAAGACAGCATTCTCTCCAGCTTCATGAAGATTCATTAAGGCATTAGAAATAAAAAAAAATATTTCCCTCGTGAGTCTTAAGCAATACCTGCTCTCTTCAAAAATTGAATATGGTACTAATGTCCAATCATTTTCCATATTAGATCCACTTTATCACACACACACACACTGGTCCCTTATATATTTTAATTAAACCACAGGGTGGGAATTTTTGTGTGTGTTAGGACCACCAAAATTCAGAACAGGGTTTACAGGACTAAACTGTGGCCTTTCAGATGTTGTTTGACTCCCAAATCCAATCATCCCTGACAAGTGGTCATGCTGGGGATGATGGGAATTGGATTCAAACGTGATATGGAGAACTGCAGGTTACAGGACTAGAACCAGGAAAAAAAACATCAAGGATCATGGATGTGTTTTAATTGCTCATGTGGTCAGACCAGGCCAAAGGTGAAGAAACCAGTGATAAGATGTCTGATCGGGCAGAACTAAGGTGGGGCCTTGTGCCAAAGTAACTTTACAAGGAGAAGATAGCAGAGATCAAGACTGGAGGGCAAAGCAAGTTATAGACCAGGAAGAAATAAAGGCTGCAGTGAACACAGAACAGCAGCAACTACTAGCTTACTAGTCACTGCATTTAATTAATTAAACACCCTGGTGATGCTCACATATTATATTGCATGGAGACCTGTTGGCAATATAGATAGATATCAAGAAGTAATTATGCTGGTGTTGAAGGCAGATAACGACACATTTGCTTAAGACTGAAGTATTGGCATGTTGAAACAGCATGCAATTTAGTAGTATGTACTTAAAAGAAAGCAATGACACTGTAGACTTTGGGTTGATTTGTTTAAAGTCAGAGCCCAGCGAAACATTATACTTACTGTGAGAAAAATATAAGCCACGGTCTAAAGGCTCCCCCAATCGGAAAGCTGAAGGAGCTTGTCCTGATGTCAAACTGAAGGGAGAGAAATCCACAGGCAGCAGGCTTATCATCTCTACTTTTCTTTTTACAGCTATGAGAGATTAACTGAGCAAGATAACCAGAGATAGAAGTCTGCCTGTTGGCCAGCAGCATTTCTTCACCTCTCAGTGTGACACCAAGGCAAGCACCTCCAGCTCCTCTTGACTACGGGGAGGAAGTCTTCAGAAATCTCAGTGACTAGAACCTGGCTGCTTTTCTTATGGCAAAGGAAACATACTGCCATGTATCACGCTTCTCAGTTCTATTTTTTGTGCTCCAGCAGTAAAGCATACATATGCTTTGCATGCAGAAGGTCCAAAGTTCAGTCCCTGGTGTCTCTATTTAAAAAGATCTCAGATACCAGGGTTGAGACCTCTGCTTGGAGAAATTCAACCAGTCAAGAAAAGTAGACTATGGACAATTGCATAGTCTGGTTCAGTATAGGGCAGTTTCACATTGAGAATTTCAGCTTAATCCCAAAGGGCTTCATTCCTGTGCTTGTTGTAGTAAAATGATTATGAAACAGGTTTCAGTTTGCGCTACTTTCTATTGTGATCTAACATGTCAGTAGGAAAGGAACTAAAGTTTCTCTGAAGAATATATACAAGTGATGATGTTACTTTTTCTTGCACAATATCTATAGGAGAAAATTTAAAAGGTGAAGAAAAGCAACAAATAAAACTAGACATCATTCTCATCCTAGACCAACTCCAAAATACATCACTGCTAGTGAAGTGATCAGTCTACTTTACTTTGTTGTTCACGGGACAAGAGTACCTTTGTGAGGTGCTCCTAAGCACTTTGGTGATATTTAGGAACACTTCGGTGATATTAACATGGAAGGCTTGAAAATACAGGCAGAAAGCCACCACCTTCAATATTCAGAAGTTGTTTTAAGAAGAACATTGACCGACCAGAGGAGGGTAGTCAGAACAGTGAGGGGTTTGGAAACTAAGTTTTATGAAGACTGACAGAAAGAGAGCTGAGTGTGTTGAGCCTGGAGAAGATAATATTAAGGAAATACGTGATAGCAATCTTCAAATATCTAAAGAGCTTTGATGTTCCAGAGGGCTAGAGACAAAGAATGCAAATTGCAAAGAAGACTTCAGCTAAGCATTAGGAGAAACTTGCTAACAAAAAGCAGTTTGTCAATGGAACAGACTGCCCTAGGAGTGATGGCATCTCTGCTGGAGGTATTTAAGCATAGGATTGTCAGGAATGCTGTAGCTCCATTCTGAATTGAGCAGGAGGTTCGACCAGAAGACCTCAAACAGTCTCTACAATTCTATGATTCTATTCTCAACCACTGCTTAATTTTATCTCTCCTTCTGCTTCTGATTCCTTGTAATAAGTGGCTAACAGGAATAGAATACAATATATGTAACAAGCCATCTTTCCATAGATAGTGTCTTTTATTTAACATTCATTGAGACCCACAAAGAAACTGGAAGTCACAAGGTGAAAACTGAATTAACTGTACCTGCAAAGCTGCACTCCTGAGTTCCAAACATGTTGCGATCTTTGCTAAGGTTTTCTGTAAGTGAGAGGAGAAAGTTAACTTTTTTTTTTACTAACAGAATATTTCTTTTCAAGCTCATGTACTAAAGCAGCAGCAATTCAGTTGTGTGTGTAAAAGATGGAAGAGACGGCAAAGTGCCTATCTAAGTATAGAGGCAGAAATAGCAGGCAAGAATATTGTTCTGTGTTCCTAAGAGCTGTTTCCCATATGCAGCCACACTCCTGCACAAAGATATACATTTTATTATGCAAGTTCAGCTGTGCAACACATGTAGTTTGAAAGCAGAATGACAACCAACTTCCAGACTGAGCTACAAGAGACTACATCTTCATAGATGAACGCAAATCAGAATATATTAAATTCTAATATGAGACTCTTCCCAAATACAGTGTTGTAAACAAGAGGGCTAAAGATGTTCTCTTCTTTTTCCTCCACCCACATTCCTTCCCACTCACCCCCTGCACTGAGCCAGAGGCAAGTGAGGTATCAGTCTGCTTTCCTTTCCTGGCTTAACAGCTAGGCTTACAGCCCTATTTCTTCTCCCCAAATTAGAGCATTACAGCTGCTTGAACTTGCCAGCTGCACTTTGTTGTGGAGCAGAAAGCTTTGAGATGTGTTAGAAGGCACTTGAGAGTTGAAGAATGATAATGCACTCAGATTTGCTTGGGAGAGATTTAGAGCCACAAGGAATAGGTCTGGTTTGTTATTTTTTAAAGAAAGAAACTGAGATCTATTGAATGGTGGCAAGATACCAGCAAGCATTATTCATAGCTATTTCTCAGGAACCACACCCAACACTAACTTTTTTTAAAAGAAAAAAAAAACCCCAAATCCAAAACACTACAGCTAGATACAGCTAATGTTTTTCCAAGTGTTGCTTTCCCCAACAAGATGCTTCATTTTTCAGCAGGGAAAACATTTATCACATTAAAAGCATTAAAGTTGTAATGTCCTTGCAAGTGAGAATCTTTGTCCACAATTTATGTTAAAACTGAATCTTAAGAGTGCACTATTGGATATGTTAACCATTAGCTCTGCTGTGCAAGTAATGTTTGTGCTACTGCACATGTTTTTCATCCAAATTGAATTTTGCTTTGTTAGAGCTTTAAGTCTATTTGCTAGTAATCAGCTATAAGTACGGTATGTTTCAACACAGTGATAGTTTGCAATGAAACAGGATTTTCATGACTTCATACTGCTAAATGTAACAGAAAGATCAAGACACAACCCCCCTTTCACAAGAGCCAAGAACTCACCATGGGAAGAGAGGTGTGACCAGTAAGAAGGAATTAAACAACAAAGGGATTAAACTAGTGAAATTTCTATCTCATTTGACTTTATGTCCTCTATGATGCATAGAATGACACAATGTCCATTATGGCCGCACCTGTCCTTCCTATAGAGTTTGTACCTAGAGATAACCATGTCACACTGGTTCTCTCCATTACACCAGGTTTCTGTTATGCCGATTCTATCTATGCTTGCCTTCAAAACCATGCACTTCAGCTCACCCATCTTGGTTTTGTGGATTCTAGTATTAATGACTGAACACAGTTTCTCTCTCCAAATGTTTTTGGCACTTGCATATTTATAAAAGAGAGAGATGTGGCTGAAAAGTTCTCAGTCTAATTCCAAACCCAACTCCATTCTATTTAGTCACCTATCCACTTCTCCCTAAAGAAACACATCATTCATTTGCTTCCTGACCCTTCCTTCTTAGAACATCAGAGCCTGAATGCTTTCTTTGCTCCTGTTCCCCCCCCCCCGAACATCTTCCCTTTCCATGGAGGCGCAGATTGCAGCTACAACAAAGGTGGCATTTTTCCATCTCCGCCAAGCTAAGCAGTTGGCTCCTTACCTCTCTCGCCCTGACCTAGCCACTGTGATCCACGCGACGGTCACCTCCAGACTGGATTATTGTAACTCGCTCTACGTGGGGCTGCCCTTGAGACTGACCCAGAAACTCCAGCGGGTGCAGAATGCTGCAGCGAGACTCCTTACGGGGTCTTCGCTGCGAGATCACATTCACCCGGTGCTATACCAGCTGCACTGGCTCCCGGTGGAGTACAGGATCAGGTTTAAGGTGCTGGTTTTAACCTTTAAAGCCCTATACGGCCTAGGACCCTCGTACTTACGGGACCGCCTCTCCTGGTATGCCCCACAGAGAAACTTATGGTCTTCAAATAAAAATATCTTGAAGGTCCCAGGCCACAGAGAAGTTAGGCTGGCCTCAACTAGAGCCAGGGCTTTTTCGGCCATGGCTCCGATCTGGTGGAACACTCTGTCACAAGAGACCAGGGCCCTGCGGGACTTGACATCTTTCCGCAGGGCCTGCAAGACAGAGCTGTTCCACCAGGCCTTTGGCCAGGGCACAGCCTGACTCCCTCCCTCGGCAATCTTCGCGGAGCTCTGGCCCAATGGTTGCCAGTGGCTTGAATTAATTAATTTTATAATGAATGATTTTAGAGTGTTGTTTGTGCTGTACATTTGTACTGTTTTATTGTTGTCAGCCGCCCTGAGCCCGGCTTCGGCTGGGGAGGGCGGGATATAAATAAAATTTATTATTATTATTATCAGAAATTTATGCACTGAGATGGCAGTGTCCAGGGAAGACCCGCCCCCTTCTAATTGCCATGTAGCAATTTGCTACTCTAGATAGGAAGAAGAATCTCTTTACATTAAAAAAATAGTCCAAAACAAAGCTGGTTATTCTTTCAGAGATTGTATCTTGACATTTAAAGCAAGATCCATTAAATCTCATCATTTTGCAATGATAGTTGTACAATCGTCACAGCAGATATAAACATATAGCTGTGAAGAAATGAAGAAATGTCCTTGGCATTAACACCTGCTTGTTCTGCCTTTATCCACCCATCACTCTTTTGATTAAGATGGACCATAGATCTAACCAAAACTTTTCAGAGTGCACATTGGCTTCCCTATTGTGAATTATACTTCAATGCTATCCTAGAATGTGCCTTGAAAGGCAGGGAATTAATCTCTGAATCCTCACCATGCATACTCTTATTTAAGATCCATTTGAAGGCTCTACTACACAATGGCAGGGATTCAACAGAGCCCTAGAGTAGAAGACATTTCCATTAATGCAAGGGGAGACCGCCAATCTGCTGATCCTTCCTTCAGCTAAAGTCCTCATATTTCATGGTGTTCTGAGAAGCATTTTTTTTTTTTTTTTTGCGGGGGGGACTGCAGTAGGAAGAAGAGAGGAGCTCTGTTCAAGAGCAAAATTTTGTCTGTTGTACTTAAGACCAGGCAGAGTCAGTTAAGCAATATGGAGACTCAATCAAAACTATTTTAGCATACATTTTTTCCTAATTTAGGTCTGGAAGCATTTACCTATTAAGTGATTCAAGCTCCAGATCTCAGTGGACAATTTACCCATACACATTCACTTCTATCACACATCATAGCCCCAAGGCTATGATAAACCCTGATTGGTATTGATTTAGAAAATCTGTTTCATCCAAGAGAGCCTGGATTTGGTTAGCAACCACTTGCTCACGAACTATGTACAAGAAGGGGACATTAGTAACAGGCTGGCAGCTGTTTAAATTTTGTGGATCCAGGGAAGGCTTAAGGAGTGGTTTTACCACTACATCCTTTAAGCAGACAGGGACCGTTCTTTCTAGTAAAGAGGCATCAATCACATCTGGCCCAACTAGCCTTCCCCTCTTTATTAGTTTTTATCAGCAATGAAGACCAAAGGTACAGACCCACACCAATCCAAGCACCTTGTTCACACCCTCAAACCATACCAACTGAAGTTCATCCAACAAAACAAGACAAAGCAGTGTTCTGGATCCCTCTTGAGATTCACCTGCTATGAAGTCAAGGTTCAGCAGATGCAAGTAATTTTATCCTCAAAATGCTGCACAAACAAGTCACGGTGAGACACCATTAGTTTTACCACCTCCATCAGGCTAGAGTATAAAACGCCCTGTACTACACAGAAAAGCTCTGCTGAATGATGCAATGGAGGCAGCCAGGTTGGCCTTCTCATTAACAAATTGTGAATGGAAAGATTTGGTTTAAAGCCAAAATGACACCTGTATAATAAAATGAATGAATTTTCAATGGCCTGGCTAACTTGTTGGTGCACGGTGAAGCAGGGATCTCCTGCTTAGCAGTGAGAGTACTTTCTATCTATGGTAATCTATGTTAAGTTTCTTTGAACAAAATTTATTCTCCTGAAAGCTGAATGCCCAAAGCTTTAGAGGGCAGATAATGACAAGGCAGTTTTCAGACATTCACTGCCACACAAAACCCAATATTTTAAAATGGCTGCCCAGATAGTACTTCCTCTTTTCTCTTTACCTCCACCCAAAGACTGCAAGGAAAGGGTTAAAAACTATTTTAAAGAATATTCCACCACCAATGAACATACACCATCATGTACCTTTTGATCTTCTGTGAATTCTGAGTTGTTGGGTTGAGACTGGGCCTCTTTCTGTAGATGCCTTGCTAATCTGGAAAGAGGGGAGACACATAGTGAAATTTAGGGTCATAAAAAGGGTAACTGTGCTCTTAAAATTCTTAAAAACAGGTTTAAACAGAAACCTGTATTTTTTATGTTAGGAGGCAGACAGTGTTCTCAGTAATGAAACAGCATGTATATTATATAGTGTTAGGAAGGTATACAAGAATTAAAATAAGGACAATCAAACCAAGATTTAAAAACATGCACTTCCGCAAACATTTTCACCTAGAACTAATTGAGACATACATTAATTAGCCACCCAATGTTTCTTATGTTTATGCTTGGAAGACACAGTTATGTTGGTCTATGTTGCCTCCATCATTACATTCTACATGGAAATTCTTACTGTCATTAACGCAACTCCCACCTATGATGTAAATTCTGAGTAAATAAGAAATAGTAAAACTACTACTGTACATCTCAACCAAGCCCCTAACAACACCTGTTACTATTCTCTATAAAAAGCCATAGTATATCCATACCATTTAGCATCTCTGTAGGTCAAGTCCTTATCAGAGAATGACAGAAATTGCTTTATATTTGAGGAAGCATTTATGTGATCAAGGGCACCAAAACACTCTCAAAACGAGATCCCTGTTCCTATCATTTTTAAAATCTATAATCTGACTTGCAGGAAAGTTGAGTTTGAAGCAGATATACAACTTCCAATGCACTTTCTAAGCAGATGCAATCAAACCAAGGAGTTACGTAACATACAGGGAACTGAAGTTATGCTGTTTCATATAACAGATAATGCAGACTCCAGGCAACTTAATCCAAGTTCACACAAGTGGCAGGAATTAGGGCTAGGATATAAACAAAAGTACGCCCAATAGTGCTTCCGAATCTCTGCCTCCCAACAGCAGCTACCCACCCTTGTTGGCAATGCCCCAAAAGCTGCACCCGGAACTGGAAAGCTTCACAACAGCTAAGGTACTAGTGTAGTAGAGCAGCAGGCAGCAACAACCTGTTGGAGGTGTGCCTAAAGGTCTTGCTGGAGCCTGCTGAACATCAGGTTATTGGAGATTCCTTGGAATAATGATCGAGAGCAATAAATTCATTCCAATCTAGACACTGAACTTATACGATCCATTTCTACCACTATTTCAATCAAAGCTAAACAATTTATACTTGCTTCCAAAAAATACTCGTACAGAAGCGGGCTGTTGGCAATTCTGTTTCGTAATCAGTAAGCCGGTAACATGTGGAACTTCACTGAAAAAGTTCATTATTATTAATGAGAAAGGGTCAAGATGAGACAAAATTCATTTAGCAGGAATCTACCTAGGAGCAGGAGCCATCAGAAACCCCTCTTATTTTTACTGATCTTTCCTTACATGACCTCATTGGCTGTGTTCCAGGGTAGAAAAGCAATTATTATATATCTGGCTAACCAGCTTTGTGAACTGTGTACCCTAGAAATCTTTGCAACACATAGCAGCTCCCCAGCAGGCAAACCAATGTGCACAGGGCTAGTTGAAGACAGAAAGCTTGAAAATGGTTGCCACAGCTTACAGGGATTCTGAAAGTATGTACCAATATTCTCCCAAGTCTAAAATAAATAAGATTGCACCTCTGCCTGTGTGGCAACAAAGACAGAGCTAATGCTTGCCTCAGGGAATGGGCCATGCAGGTCAGTGGCAAACAGCAAAGTATGTGGCATGCCCCAAATCCCCCAGCAAAGAAGCCCAAGAAAATGCAGAAAACAGGTTGTTTTGACTGGTCACCCGCAGATTTATTCAACACACTAAGTTAAGGGTAGGGATACTCAGGCCCAGGGGTCAAATGTAGCCCTCTGGGCCTCTCAATCTGACTCTCTCCAGTTACATACCCTGTCCCCAAAGCCACACACCCTAACAGCCTTGCTTCCCCACCCTCCTTGAGTGCCTTTGCCCGGCTGGAATGTGCCCTTGAACTCTGATGAAGATTCTTGCTTGCCTGGATGGAGGATATAGAATTGGGTATGTGTGTGTATAGAAACTAGGCTGGTGCATTAAGGTAAAATTTACAATTACTGCTCTGCCCACTCTTCCCTCTGGCCTGCTCATCACTGGCATGTGGCCTCCATGTCACCTGAAAGGGGATGTGGACCTCAGACTGAAAAAGTTCCCCTAGCCCTGCAGTAAATGGAAACAGGGCATCAATTTTCCACTTTTAAAAACAACAACAAACAAAAGCTTTTATACCCATTATGCAGGCCAACCAAAAAGGTGGTGTGAAAAAAAGATCAGAAAAGGCTTGCCTCTCTCCTCACAACTGCATACCGCTCCATGAGAAATCCTTCAAATTATGGGGGAAATGTAAGCCTACACAGCACATGGCTTGTAACACATAATTTCAGCTAGTAGGGTTTTTCCAGATCAACCATCAGACCATTTGGTATTTATGTTACCTATATGCTGCTTCCAGCAATGCACAAAGCCAAGAGATGTAAATGGTGCAGTGGAAGCACCTCTTTTCTCAGGTGCTTGAAGTAGATGGACCAAGAGTTCAGCCCACTTTTCCTCATGGCCTGAGTTGCCAGGAGCTATAGGTTCAGGTTCCTGCTGAGTGACAAGCTTCTAAACCTCTTGTATAATGGAATAAGAGATGGGAGACCAAAAAAAAGCAAGGTGGGGAAATGCTAGAGATTTTGGAGGTATGTAGTTGAGAAGGCAAAAAGGTGTTTGAAAATCTTAGGCAGGCTTCCTCAACCTCGGCCCTCCAGATGTTTTGAGACTACAATTCCCATCATCCCTGACCACTGGTCCTGCTAGCTAGGGATCATGGGAGTTATAGGCCAAAAACATAGGTTGAGGAAGCCTGATCTTAGGTACATGGAAAAATATGACTTTATTAAAGTAGTACTACTTTCTTTATATAAATTAAATGCATAGCATACAGCATACATTTGAAAGAGACAATAAATCCCTTTGCAGGGTTATACAACCCTGTAAAGTGACAAGGGCTATCAATTTAACAGCAAGAAAAACAGTGAAATGCTCTAAACTTGCAAATGGAAACTCATACTTACCTACCTGGAAAGATACAAAGAAAGCTGCACACAGTTTATGTTGCCAAACAACTCCACAAATCTAAGTGGAACAGTCTGAACGATATATATTAACTTTCTAATTCTGTACATGTACTATAAACTGTCAATTTTGCAAGATTTCTATACAAGCATACAATGATTTCTGTCCAGCACACCCTCTTTTGCCTTTCTGAAGTATGAGATTTGTGATTTCATTTCAAAGATTGAATTTGCTCATCTTAAACCTAAATGAAGTTAAGCCAGAACAGCAAAGACTGTCCCTACCCATCTATAAAGCTACAAAAAATATATAATATGAAGAGGTGAAACCTGACATTTTAGGAGGGATAGCAAAGGAACAATTCTCAAAGTGGGTTTTAAGCGTGTCTTATTTTCACCTTTGATATTATGTGTTTGTATGTTTTGTGACTCACCCTGAGAACTTTTTATGATGAAGAGCAGAATGTAAATGTAAAAATAATATAAAATCTAGCAAAGTTGATTGCTCTTAGAAACCATTTTAAGGGAACGAAGTTCACCGAACACCAATATTTTAAAACAGTGCCTTTAAAAGCATCCCATCCAATATTCTAAAAGAGATAAGTACTTAATGTTTTCCCCACTTACCTAAAATTTTCAATTTCCCCATGTAGGGCTGAAAACAGGAAAAAGGTTTTGCCCCACAATATTCCCAGGCCTCCATATTGCTGCAGAACAGGGATAGGCAATCTGTGGCCCTCAGTCTAATTTCAAAAGGTCCCTGCAAGTTCACATTTCTAGCAAGAGTGCTGTGGCCTGCTCAGCTGAGCAAGTCCTTGGCAGTATGAAAAAGGAGAATGGAAGAATGGTCCCATCTACTTTTTGCTCCAGCCCCATCTACCATCATCACAGAATGAAGCCCTTGGTACGCAAAAGGTTGCTCAAATCTGTCAAAGAATCTAACAGTTATTGAGGCACCATTTTCAATATTTTAAAGATGGGAAGCTAAGTTGGGAGCTGGCAAGTTATCCAAAGGCACACCATGAGTCAAACTGGCAAAACTGCAACTCTGAATGCATGAGATTTGGATGCAAATCCAAATCCGCCCACAGGATTACTCTGCCCTATTTTTGTCCTAGAAATACAGGACCACATTTGCCATTTCTAGATTTCACCATTACATCTCTTAGGGCAGGTTTGCACACTCATATCAAGTGAAAGTGTTGCAGTAGACAGCCCTGAAATACAGTTCAATGAAAAGGGATGTTATGCTCCACCACTTAAGCAGCTGCCAGGGGAAAAGAGTGTCACACTGTTACTACTGCTTTCTGATGAGACATTAGTGATGAGGTTCATCACTTCTGCCACCTGGTTTATCTCCTCCTTCAAAAACCTGTGAAATTTTTAAGAGGCAAGACAGAATGGCTAAATTCCTATCGCAGAACAATTTGCATGGTTTTCCAGGAAAGTCTGAAACTAATGCATACTGCACAAACCAAATCAATTTAACAAGAAAAAATTATTGGAGTTCCACAAGCCTACCGTGAAACCCTACAGCATTTTCCATGTAAAATCTATATTAAGTTCCATCGCAAACATAGAAATGAACCTTTATTTGCACAGACCATCTGATGCAGTACTGTACTTGGCATCTCCTTGAGTGAATTGTCCTCTGTATTAACATTTTACAGGCAATTCCAGTGGAGACCTAGAACAGCTCCAGCAAATGTCAACAGCAGGTATTTAAGTGTTTTCTTACTTGACAACCTGCATGATACATAAAAAGTGATACATACTCATAAATCAGTAACACCAATTGCAAATCAGTGGCAGCCAAAGGTAGCTGAAACCAGTGGGACAGCAAGGAAGTCACAGTGGGGTGGCCAATAAGGCCATGGGGACATAGCCAAGTTGCACTGGTTTTCTCTCTATCCTCCTCCCTTGCAAGGATATAGTGGACATTTAAGTACAGTATTGCCTTTGTACAACTAACTACTTAGTGCCTAACTAAACTGAAAAGTGTCATACTTTAGGTTCAGAAGCGGTCACAGTTGCTTCTCTCCTAGAAGAAAAGTTGCATGGCCTCCAACTATTCTGGTTCTCTTAGTTTAGTTGTACAAATACTTTGTTGTTGTTGTTGTTGTTGTTTAGTCGTTTCCGACTCTTCATGACCCCATGGACGAGATCACGATACTTAGTACCTAACTAAATGTCTTAACTTTTAAATTACTTAATTATTTATATACCACACTTTCATACGTTACAAGCAGCTACAACTTAAAAGCACAACTCTAGAATAAAAACAGTAACAACTTGAGGCACCTCAGTAAAAGCTGGTTGGCGAAGAATCTCAGGTTCAAAAAGACCAGTGCAAACCTTGGTTCAAAAGATATGCCTGCTGTGACAATGTCTACTGTGGGTTCATGCCACAATAAACGTACATTACTCAGAAATAAGCCCCACTGAATTCCATAGGGATTGCTTCCTGATATGAACAGAATTGCAGTATGAATTGGTAAGACTTTTTTTAAAGTGCCACAAAGGACTGTTAACTAGGGACCCCATAAATTTCCAGAACTATGGAGAGACTATTTCCCTCATCTGGCCAATCACTCTCTCTTAGCCTAACCAAGCTCTCAGGGTTGTGGGTACAAAATGGGGAAACTGAGACCCATGAATGCCACCTTGAGCTCCTCAGAGCAGCAGTGGGGAACTGTGTTCAGCCTGAAGGCCCAGAAGGGAATGTTCTGAGGGTCAATTTGTTCTAAATTATTATTATTATTATTATTATTATTACTATTATTATTAGTAGTAGTAGTTTATACCCTGTCCATGCACCCCCTCCATGAGTGGTTCAGAGAGTGGCAACACAAGAATGGGCCTTGTCTAAGGTGGTTCTGTTTCTAGAACGCTCCCTCTAGGGAGGCTCACTTGATGCCTTTATTACATATCTTTAGGTGTCAAGCGAACACATTCCTCTTCTCCCAGGCCTTTGGCTAATTAAACAATTTATGGCCTGTAAAGGGAGATGAGCGCCGCAGCCCCAGAGTCGTTCGTGACTGGACTTAACTGTCAGGGGTACCTTTACCTTTTATGGCTTTTTAAACTATGTGTAGGGGGTGCTATTGTTTTGTTTTTTGCTATGTTGTGTGGGTTTTTTAATATTGTAAACTGACCTGTTATTCTCAGATGAAAGGTGGTATAGAAATTTAATAAATAATAATAACTGGGTTCACTGTACTCTGATTAACAATGATGTGGTGGCATGGCATATACTAACAAGGGGAGGCCTAGAACAAGCTTCAGCGTATGTCAATAGAGGGCATATAACTGATTCTACACTTCACACCTACATGGCACTCAAAAAGGGATACTCCTATGTTGTGGGAGGGACAGAAAAAGATTCTGAAGTAACTTGTAACGCACAGTGAATAACTATTTGAAAGATGAAGGGCACATGTTCTAAGACAAGACACCAAAGAATTATTAATCTCATTCTGTGAGGTCAATGGGTTTTTAAGACTTCTTTTTCTTGAACTGGAGCCCTCCCCATGCCATACTGACTGGAAGTCACGAAGGCGCTTTAAAAGCTGTTTGTGGTATGGCAGGGAGGATGTCAGCTGTTTGAATAGGAACAAATTTAACCGAAAGCCCCTTGCACGAGTTTAAGGCTTAAACAGCTCTCTTGGATCTCAGCCTGTCTTCTGGCTTTTTGCAGATTTGATTCAAGTCAAGAACAGCAGTCATAATTGCTTCCCAGCAAGCTATTAATATTATGCAGCAGTCCCCAAGTGCCAGCTGGGTGCCGATCGGCAAAACATGAAAGCTTGGCAGGAAAGAAAAGGTGGGTCTATCCAATTTTTATGGAGGGTAGGTATCTAACTGGCAAGCACAGATCTCCACGGCACGGCATCCAAAGCACCTGCACCTGCAGAAACCCTTCTTCCACAGATGGTTTCTAGAGTTGCAAGAAACCCTGTGCCACAGCACATCTGGCAGCTCCAGCGAGGGCTGAGAGATAGTCGCAGCATCCAGATTAACAATGTGGACAACAACAGGTGGCTCCCAAAGGCAAAACTTTCCCCAGACACCACACAACTGGCAAACACATAGATGTGCCTGGGAAAGCAAGACAACGTTAACAAAATCATTTAGTCTTATTTCTAATGTTAACTTTAGGTTTCAGCGCAGAACACACGCACACACACACAGAGAGAGAGAGAGAGAGAGAGACCCAGGGCGAGGACACTGAGGCGGAGATATCTCCCCATCCTTCCTTAAGGCTTCAAAGCTCAATGTTGGAGGCAAATATTTAGAAATAGAGATAGGAGTGATCTAGTTCAGCAGCCCTTCCCACGGCTCCCCAACGCCTCAACTGCAGACGGCCTCATCTGCACCCTCAGGCAACCCCCCCGGGACCTTCGTGGCCCTACCCCCCCCAAAAAACCCCACATCAATCCTCCTGAAGTGGGCTCCAAGCACGCAGAACCTCTCGCAGCCTTCAGACCCCCCCCCCCGCCTCCACCGCCCTCGTCTCCTGAGGAACCGGAGCCTCTCAGCTCCTCAGCCCCACCCAGAGCTTTTTCGATGCTTGTGCCCTTCGGGTCACCACCCTCGGCCTCCGCCCAGAAGCGCCAGACCCACCCAGGCGCCCGCAGCCCTCCAAGTGCCTTCGCCCCAGCCTCAACTTCTTTGCCCCACCCAGTGCCGCCCGCCGCCTCTCACCCGCCGCCGCCGGGCTGCCCAGCCCTTCGGAGCCGCCTCGCCTCAGCAGCCCCAGGCGCCGCCGCCGCCGCCCACCCCGCACTCACATCTGATACTCGTCTATCGCCTCCACGAGCTGCCCCCAGGAGTCGAAGTCGGTGCCTTTCCTGAAACTGGCGCCCCAGCGCTGCAGGAGGCTCCGGGCCGCTTCCGACATGGTCCCAGCGCTGCTAGGGCACCATTTTCACCCCCGGGGCCGCGCGGGGGGGAGGAGGAGGAGGAGGGCTCGCGCCGGGCAACCGCCGCTCCGTCCAAATCCTGCAGCACCGCTACTCAGTCACCGACCAAGCCCATCTGCCACCGCAACCAAACCTGGCGGCCGCCTCTGGGCCGGCTCCGCCTCCCCGCCATCACGCTCGGTTGTGCCCGACCCGCCTTCCGTGCTCTGCTCTCGGGCGCATTTAGAGCCGCGGTGACACTGGCGAGCGAGCGTCGGCTTTGGATGCGCCGGGGCCTCCCGCCAGTCCGTTGTTCCCACTCCGGAGTAAAGCCGCCTTGAGTTCCACGGGGCTTAACTCCCTGGTCAGTGAGCATATAAAGACGGCAACCTAAAGAAGGGGCTGCTGGGTTTACATGCTCGCTGGGCTTTCCCAAGGAAGCCAGCAGAGAAATTCATTTCCCCGGAGGCTGCGATCCAACGGCAGAAGCAAAGACAGGGCTCGTGATGGAGCTCGAGCATTTCTTGCGGGAAATATTTATTCATTTCTATGTGCGCACGCAAGCGATTATTGTTATTCCATGTCAAAAATTGGGAGAGGGTGGCTTTTAGGACCGCCCTCCAGTGTAGTCTTGTGTCCCTTTCCCCATACTGGCAGGTGAGCAGTTGAGTAAGCGCATGAGACCATAACCCAGCAGTGTAGTCCAGGCTTAGCATCAGGCGTAATTGCGCATCTAATGCACCGTCGCCCTCCTTTCGTAGAACAATAGGGAATTCCCCCCGGGGATTATATTGTTAGCGAAGTTTAAAGGTAGGCCCTGCAATAGAAGTTATATGCTCCCTACATGTCACTTTATATTTAGGGCAATATAGATATTCGCATACACACACGCAGACACATACAAAATCCATAGGATTATTCTAGGAAAAATGTAATCGAGTTGTCCTCTCCACCAATACGCAGCGCTCAGCTAGGGCTCAAGGCGCCTTGCCTTACACGCACTTCGTCGGGGTTTGCACCCCTCCACAGCGCGCATGAAAACTCAAATTCAAACCCGGAGGCAGAGGAGGGGCGCGTGGGCGTGGCTACCTGCTGTGGGCAACGTGCCGGGCAACCAGTGCAAAGAAAAAAGGCCAGGCAACATAGAGACACGGATGATAGACTAACTGCCCCGTTTCTGCATTACGGCTCTGCACTGCGGCTTTCAGAGGGAATCGGGAGGCGAGCTCCCCTAATAAAAAGCCTACATGCTCTCTCTGCTTCCCGATCTTACTCAGCCGTTACCTCCCCAAGGGGCACCTAACCCAGGCGTCGTCGCTACTGAAGCAGCTGCCCCGCCCCATTTCTACGATGGCACCAGCCGAAGCACTTCCGCCTCGTTACCTGATTCTTGCCAGGGCAAGGGAGGACACGTGATCTTCGGCTAGTAGATCTGTCTCGGGAGTTTAGGGTCTCTCTTAGCGCATTTATTGCCAAGGTCTTGGATCAACCTGTTACCACGCTCCTGCTTACCACCACATCTGGATCTACATAAGTGGGCTAACCAATCCGTCGTGGGTAGAGGTGAGTGCTACAGACAGACTTTATTTATATTATCTAAAAATGTGCGTTTATCTTACGTTTCAATCCCTCCACACCAGCATCCGAACTAAAAGACAACGGTATGTACCCTGTCTCCTTCCTCTCTTTGCCGATCGTAGTGTTTCAACAGCTCAATCCTTTAAAATGTTTACACAGAAGTGCCGTTGCATTCAGGTAGGGCTCAAAACACCGCGACAGCCTGATGCTTTCATGAAGAATTAGACACAGGGCGCTAAGAAGGCATGTTTTCATCCTTATATTGTGTAGGGGATATTTGTGGATGTGGACATAAGAGAACTTCTGTACACTGGGGAATTTCCTTCTAATGCCACCTCCTTGGCTTTATTTTGTCTACTCTTGTACAGTATGCATATTATTGCCTAGCTAAGCATAGGCTTCACTTCTCGAAGGCTTGTTCTATTTTTCAGGCTGCGTCCCCCCCCCCCCCTTCTCCCCTCACTAAATCCATTTCCTGGCTTTGCTATTACAATCCTTTTGATAGGAAGTACAATCTCAGCGCTGTCTCCAAAGCAAACTGAACTGATTTCAATGGGCACGGATTGAATCTTCAATTAAACCCAAGTTCCTACCTTCCATGTGATAATTCTAAGAGTTTTAGCAACTTAGTTACCTAGGAAGTGAATCCCATTGGTTTCAGGTAGGATTACCTTAAAAGTAAATTCACTGATGACCGCAGCCGAAGACAGTTGGGAACAAAGCTCGTGGACAAAGATTCGTACAGTATTAACACGGTAGTCAGCAGCCTGATGCAATGCATGATTACTTAGAAGCAAACCCCACTACGTTCAGTGGCGCTTACTCTTCAGTAAATTGGCATAGGATTGTAGCCTGAATCGCGCGAAATTAGACCCCCCTTTATTCCCTATTATGTCTGCCTAAGGCAGTTGCACTAACAAAAGGGAAGGATGGAACAATAAGGTCCTCCTACTTTCTCTTGCTCGTGGTGGCCATTAGCTCGAGTGAGAGAGATCGCAATCTACAACTTTTTATTCCAGGTCAAATTGGTCTTGCTGTAGTCAACGGAGCTACTACGGAGCAAGCCCACCCCCCGATTGCGATCTCTAACAGTGAGCAACTTTGACATCCATAGTTTACAACGCAGTGAGTTAATATAAGAAGTGTCCTGGAGCAAACAGATGAGCAGGCCATGGATAACCTTTCCCCCGCTGATAGGGTCTTGGCTCCTTATCAGGGGTTGAGAGGAGAGGAAAAAACTGCAGGATGAGTCCCTCAGAATGCACGCGGGTGGCAGATACTAAAGCAGGAAACTGATTAAGCCTGTACACTTTGTGGGAAGCAGATCACCCATTAATTGGCAGGGTTTGCATCCAAGCAAGACTGGAACCTATGTGTCTTGCATTGAGCCCATGGCAACCTGTCTGAGGAACAGCCTGGCAAGGCCATCGGGTGCAGGCTGGCTCAAAATCCCACTGGGCTCCGTGGGCTTTACTCCCTCGCAGTCCCGTCTCTTTCCGTCTGGGAGCAATAAGAGACAGGGGCGAGGCGTGGGGATCCGCTTCCCCCCTTCCTCCTTCGCAGGCTTGAGAGGTATCGATGCGCTCGGGCTACTGCGAGGAGGCCGCTCCGCTGCGCGAGCGACTCCCCGGGCTTTCGCGGCGCGGCCATTTCGCGCCTGCTTCCCGGATCCGCGCGGCACCATAGAGACCGGCGGGAGGAGAAGCCGGCGCCGGAAGTGGAGGAGCTGCTCCGCCCGGGATCCTTCTTATTATATCTCGGTCTCTTTTCCTCCCACACCCACAAGCAGGAAGTGGTTGCCGTAGCAGCGGCGCAGCAGGAAGAGCTTGGCGGAGAGAAGGTAAACAGAGCAGCCCCGCCCTGGGGAGGAAAGGCCGAGAAAGGCGGCCGGTGGTGGGGGAGACACAAAAACACACGCGGGAGGGTTGGCGGGGCGCGACTTCGTGCCCTTTTTAATACTCCGGTGTTTGGCCCGGTTGTGTGTTGGTGAGGCCAGACTGGGAAGAGATTCCCCTCGGCAAGGCCTGCGACGAGTGAAGTAATGTTTATAAGCAAAAGATGACCACGCCCTGTAGAGAAGCACTACTTCGCTTTTCTCAATCTGCTAAGTTTTGACAGGGATTTGAGGGAGGTATGTTCAATCCTACATGCCGTATACTCGGAAGTAAGTCACATTGAGTTCACTGGGGCCTGCTGCCCAGTAGGGAGGTAAAGGATTGCTGCCCTGGGGTAGAAAAGTATTGATTCAGTGCAAACATTTGTACGGGGGTGAGGTGGGGATAAGCGATGGGGGAAATCTGCTTGGTCACTATAGTGCTCTGGTGTGAAGCTGGGGCGGATGATGGCCATCCTTGACTCCTCCGAAACATTGCATGGAAAGTGTGTGTGTGGTAAACAGGAGATTTCGGGGAAAACATCTCCGATGATACATATTCCTCCTCCATTAATGATCTACCCTATTAACCTGGTGGACGCTCTTTCCTGTTCATGGCTTAAATAGTTCTGTGAAGTGCTTGATTTAGGTCAGAGGCTCCAAATTAAGTATCCCAATGGATTCTTTATATTGCATTGTGAAGGGGTAGACATCTAACAGCTTAAAAGATCCTTGAGGGGTATATGTGCTATCAGGAACACCTCTTCAACCCCAATTTACTTCCCTTCTCCCACTAGTCCCAGACTGAGAAGAAGCATGCAGTAATCCCCTTTTGTTTAGCCCAGAGGTTTTCAAGCTTTTTGAGTCTATGGCTCCCTTAACCAACTACATTCTTTCTGTGGCACCCCTGTGGGGCTCAGGAGCCCAGTTAAGTCACCCCTTGCCTGCAGAGCTGGCAGTGCCTCACCCTTTTCAAACATTCTCCTTTGTGGAGTGTTCCTTCAGCCTCCTCTCCTCTCCCATCTCCTTGGGAGTTCTCTGGGCAGCTGCTAAAGTCATCCCTGGTCTATGAGTTGCCCACCTTCCTTAAAGATAGCCAGGGCAACTGCAATAAACAGCTGTGAAAGCCTTTGGGAGGCAGAGATGTGAGGGCATCAGAGGAGGGAGGGGAGGGAAGAGGGACAGAGGCCAGTGTTGCCCCCAGCACCCCTGACCATCATTCAAAGCACCCCAGGGTGCCACAGCACACTGGTTGAAAACCACTGGTTTAGCCTAACGGTCATCCAGCAAACTGAGGACTTGCAAGATTCTCCGCATAGCTGTCAACTTTTAGATTTGAAAATAAGGGATCAGCAGCCTCACCTGTCCCAGGGACAGTCTACAGGATATCTAACAATCTGGGGAAGCAGCAGGAAATGGCGCTGGAATAAGGGAATTTCCCGCAAAAAAAGGGAAGGTTGACAGCTATGATTCTCCGGCATGAAACAGAGGTCAGTGTAGTGGCTTAGGCATTGTTAGGCTATTATTTGGGTGTTTTTATGACTATTGGTTAATAGCTCAGTTAACCAGTCCTGACCTTATAAGTATGACTTCTTGTCTAAACATCCACATATGCATTAAGCTGTAATGGTGGACTGAAATAACCAATTTGAGAAGGACAATATTTATTTTTAAGAACTGTTTTAATAAAATAGATGTTAGATGCAAAATGGTGTTAGAGTAGAACCTGGGCTGTGGTTTTAAACCTTTGTGCTGTTATGGTAGAAAACTACATGCACAATTGGGGGTGTCTTTTATATTTTTTGCTGGAGCCTCTTGCATGACGGATCAGACAAGGTGCTTTACAGTTTAAAATCAGTTTGCTTCTTGAACTGTGCAAGTGCCTACAATAGAACTTTCAAAGATAATTCCAGCTGTATGTGTTCTCACTATGCATGTATATAGCTTCACATGCACATTGGATCACAGCCCTTGTTTATGCCATTTACAAATGGGGAAAGATTCAGTAATGTTATTTGTAAAGGAAGCCTGCACTGAGGGTTTTGCTCTAAAGAAGCTTGCTAAGAAATATCAGATGAACATCAGCATTTATGTTGTGCAGTATAAGTTTAGTGGTTGTGCAGCATCTCAGTCAATAGACTCAAGCAGAAGTTTCTTAATGCTCTAAAGTGATACTCATTAATCAAGAGAGCACAAGCAACTTCTAATTCTATAGAAGTGCTTTCTGTAAATATAGTTTGTCTGGGGCAACTGTTGTAAAGGTATCCCATTCTTATGTTCTTGAAAAACACAGTGGGGGTGAAATTACAGTAATTAGATTGTTCAAAGTGTTGCTTTAACTATCCTAATCACAATCTACTTGCTTTTAATATTTAATTGTACTATGAGTCCATTCTGCTAGGAAATATTGGTTTTCCCCCCCAAAAGCAGCTGCTGCAGACTTTCTTCTGCTTTAATGTAGGCTAAGCTTGTGAAAGGGTTGGATGCTTTTTTACATACATGTAAGCATCACAGTTGAACAAATCTACTAATGCAGGAGTGGGCTTACAACAAAAACCAAACAGATATCTGATATGAACAGTCAAGTTTAACTAGTTCTAGCAAATATTTCTGACACTAAAGCAAAGGCATCTTATGGACTAGCGTGAACTCACAGGTACAAAAGACAAGTTAATAATGGCCCCATTGATAGAAATTCTGAGTAGCAAATCTAGTTGATGCAGTTGTATAAGTGCTCTGTACTTCTTGCCTCTTAAAATATTCTTGAAGCTCTGGATATTGTTTATTCCAGAACAATGCCTAGCTTATGAAAACTGGAAAAGATAACATAAAAGAGATTTATCCTTCTGCAAAAGTGTATCGTGATGAATGAATGATTGCTATGTAGTATATCTCTGCTGCACTAGTCATATTAAACTGGGTGTGAAAGGGTTAAGCATTTCCGTGCTGCTACCTTAGCTAATACTGACTTAAAAAAATACAGTAGATGTTTCATATAGTGCAGTCCTTTCTCAGAAGTAAGTGCTCTGGAGATCAGGCAGGCACCAACTATTAGATGCTTCCCCCAGCCACTAAAAACATTCCTTTTACCCAAGCTCTTTTTGACTGTTAATACTAACTCCTGGCATATTTGGCCACTGTAACTGTAATTGATGTTTTACTGATACAGCTTTTATTGTTACATTTTGTTAGATGTTGCTGTTTTTATTGCCCTGTACACCACTTTATTGTGTTTGGAAATGCAAGACAATACTGTATACAAATAATTTTAATACAGTACTGGTAAATAAATTGTAAGGGAGATGTGCGCTGTAGTAATGTGTCTAGGATTGTACCCTTAAGTCTTTCCTGCAATGAAGAATTATTTCTAAGTAATTAGATACTTTATCATTATTATTTTTTTGCTGAAGATTGGTATTTATGTGTATAATCTCCGGTTTCTTCCCTTCCCTTCACTATTTCAGGCTTGCTGTAGTTCTAAACCTGCAGGAGACACTCAGAAATGACTCACTGGTTTCATCGAAACCCTTTAAAGGCTACAGCTCCTGTCTCATTCAATTACTATGGGGTAGCCACCACTCCAGCTGCAACAAAGATTTGCAAGTAAGTGGTTCTAAAAACTCAGTGGGGCTTCTCAACATACAACATGCATTTGCAAGTACTGAAATAAGAGACAATCCAATACTGAATCTCTCCAAAGTATCTGTCTTTGAACTGTGTTTTTGGTGTGTTTCTTAATACAGTGATCTAAGATTATCACGAAGCCGACTCTTGGAGCTTTTTACAGATCTTAGTTGTAATCCAGATATGATGAAAAACGCAACTGATTCCTATTTTTCACTCTTGAAAGGTAAGATATCAGTGCAGCTGGCATAGTTGTTCTGGGTTACTAGTAGTTTCAGTAAATAAATCTCTGTGCTTGGCACTAGAGAGCACAAATTCTCAGCTGTGCTAATAAAAGATAGAAATGGGACACTAGCCCAATGGGCATGATATGTGTATCAGTGGCCCAGAGATTCATATGTCTAGTGGATGTACTTGACATATTTGAAACCAGTAGGAAAATGCTGTACTTCTATAGCTTTCTTAATTCTGCTTTTCCAACTAATAATGAAACAATTTTATTTAATATATTTATTAGCCGGTTTATGCAATGAGCCTGTAGAAGATGTACAGTACAATATGAAGCATTAAAACTGGCCCCCAATTAGCCCAGTGGAGTAGATCTTGGGGGCTATTAAATAGTGAAAGTGCACATATAAACAAATTACGTATATAAGGCTGAGTAGTAGACTCAGGAACAATTGCTGAAGATAAAAATCATCATTTTGAAAGTTACTTTGAATTTTAGAGGAGTTTGTTTGTTTTAACAGGCTTTATAGTTTCATTGGATGACTCTTCACAGGACAGCAAGCTGAGATATATTCAGAATTTTAAGTGGACAGACACCTTGCAAGGTCAAGTACCAAGGTACTTACTTACATGTAGTATGGTTTTCAGTGTCTATTGTAACTATTTTTATTACTTCTGTTTATGCTGTGCCCCTTTTTTCAAGGCCCAGTGGTAAAAATATCATTTAAAACATTGTATAAATGATTAAAAACAATTGCATCCTATCAGCTGATTGGCTTCCACTTATCCTTTGTTCCAAGAGAAAAAACCTGTGAGCCTGGGTTCTCAAGTAGTCCATATTTTGGTAACTGAGAGGCTGGATTGTACAGTTGTTCTGCACTGCTTTTCCACCTGGAGAGCTGGACCATGAAGAAGGCTGATTGCCGAAGAATTGATGCTTTTGAATTATGGTGCTGGGGGAGACTCTTGAGAGTCCCATGGACTGCAAGAAGATCAAACACATCCATTCTTAAGGAAATCAGCCTTGAGTGCTCACTGGAAGGACAGATCCTGAAGCTGAGGCTCCAGTACTTTGGCCACCTCATGAGAAGAGAAGACTCCCTGGAAAAGACCCTGATGTTGGGAAAGATGGAGGGCACAAGGAGAAGGGGACGACAGCGGACGAGATGGTTGGACAGTGTTCTCGAAGCTACCAGCATGAGTTTGACCAAACTGCGGGAGGCAGTGGAAGACAGGAGTGCCTGGCGTGCTCTGGTCCATGGGGTCACGAAGAGTCAGACATGACTAAACGACTAAACAACAACAACACTGCTTAGATTTTCTTTATGAATTAGTGGTATATAAATATTTTTATAAATGAATACTAATGACAAGCCACACAGTGACTTGCTTCCTCTCTGGCTTGGCAGGAATGAGGGGCAAGCAAAGCGCTTGTGTTTTCAGCAGAATGCTAGAGCACATTGCTCATTCACATTAAACCAGGCCACTATGATTAGGCAAGATGTTGGTGCCTGGAAACAAATCTATATTTATTTTTTCTCCTATGATTTGGTCTTCCACAATACCTGCACATTTAGGGTATTTGTATGGGTAATTGCAGCCCCCCCGAATTGCAAACTCTTCTGTATCAAACCTGCCCAGAATGGATGGAGAAACCCAGCCAGATGTGCAGGGTATAAATAATAGTTTATTATTATAAATTATTATCATAGAACCCCAGAGAGAAGAAGATTAGTTCATATGAAATTTATCTTTACAGGGCATGTGAATAATTCTGCTTAAGATAAATGTTCTATTTAAAACATCAACTAGTACATTCTCAGTTGCTCTTTATAGGGAACTGTAAAAGTTCTGACTGCTATTCTGTGCTTTGTTTGGAGGGGTTGATGGAGACTTGGATTTTGCACAAGAGTTATGCTTCAACCATTCTTAATCCAGTTTAAAACAAAGCATAAATTGTTTCTGACTAAACAATTATCCTTTTCAAGTTGTCTGAAATCTATGTGAGGAGCATACATTTGAATACTCTGGGGTTTGCTCACATGATTTGGGATGGGAGGGTGAGGAAGGAACTAAACATAAGATTGTTTGTTCGCCTTAGAAGTCTCTAAAAGAGAGGTGGAGTACTTAACAGTGTGTTGTAGTTGATGCAAAAAACCATTTGAGTTTATATTTTTCTTTCTTTCTCTTCCCTTGTCCCTTAGTGCCCAACAAGATGCTGTGTTTGAATTAATTTCCATGGGATTTAATGTGGCTTTGTGGTACACAAAATATGCATCGAGGTTGGCAGGGAAAGAAGAGTAAGTATTCTCACTTTAGTAATAGGCTTCTAAACTATCTACCTCTTTTCCTGTGCAGAATTAGTTGTGCTTAAGCCCATTGAAACATCAATTAAGCCAACAGACGAAATTGTGAAGTAGCATATATAGTGGTTATATAAAGCACATATATGGCTTTGGACCAGCATATCTGAAGGACTGCCTGTTGTTATCTGAGCCTGCCCTTCTCTGATATTCTCATCAGAGCCCCTGCTCCAGGTTCCCCTTCCTTCAGAGTTTTTGGTACTTGGTGACCTGATATAGGCCCTTCTCTGTTCTTTTCCTCCAATAGACAATGAAAGAGTGCTGTTGTGCCCGTGTCCTGTTTGTAGGTTTTCCCTAAACATCTGGCCGGTCACTATGGAAACAGGATGCTGGACTAGATGGGGCTTTCATCCCATCCAGCAGGGCTCTTACGTTCTTCAATGATGGCACTATGGTTATGGAATGCTCTGTTGACACTTGCCTTCCTAGCCATAAGGTAGCAAGTGAAGACAGTCTTGTTTTTCATGGGATATATATGTTGCATCTTTTGTTCTTACGCTTTCCATTTGAGGATTATGTTTTAGGTATGGAAACATAGGCCAGGGTCCAAAGCAGGCATCCCCAAACTCGGCCCTCCAGCTGTTTTGGGACTACAACTCCCATCATTCCTGACTACTGGTCCTGTTAGCTAGGGATGATGGGAGTTGTAGTCCCAACACAGCTGGAGGGCCAAGTTTGGGGGTGCCTGGTCCAAAGGGTATTTGTGGTGAAACAGATACATACTGGAGCTGCAGTTGTTGGGCTGTGTTGACGACGTTTATAATTGGTGACAGAACACACATTACATACAGATGGTCCCAAGTTCCATCCCTGACATACTTAGTGAAAGAAATCAGTGTGCGATAAATGGGAAAGGCATCTGCTTGAGACCCTGTCTGTCTGTCAGCACAGACAATGCTGAGCTAGATGCACAGCACAACTACAGTGGTACCTTGGGATGCGAACGGGATCCATTCTGGAGCCCCGTTTGCATCCCGAATGGAATGCAAGACGCGGCGGCACGTCTGCGTGTGTGCGGGTCGTGTTTTGCCGCTTCTGTGCATGCATGTGACGTCATTTTGAGCGTCTGCGCAAGCGGTGAAACCCGGAGGTAACGCGCTCCCGAAGCACATTCAACTCGAGGTATGACTGTACTTTGATCTGGTATAAGACAGCTTTTACCTTCTGACTGTCTCGGCTGTATCAGACATTTAAAACAAAGGTTATTTACAGCAACCCCTCCTGAAATGGGGTGAAATAATAGACATTAGAAATAAACCTGGCCAATGAGAATTCTGGAAAATTTGATGAGGTTAAATGGGAGTAAATTCGGGTGATGTTTAATATCCTTGGAGAGTTGCAGTACTAATTTATTGTTCCTCCTTTAGCATAACCGAAGATGAAGCAAAAGATGTCCACAGGAGTATGAAAATAGCAGCTGGGATTTTCAAACACTTAAAGGTACAAACCCATTTTATTTAAATAACAAAAACAAAACACACACACACATATTTCCTCTTCTGAAGATCCTGTTTTCCTGTTTGTTTTTGGTCAGTATAGCTCTTGTTTGGGGGGATGTTCTGATTCCCCTCCTTTTATACAGTAACTTAATTTAGAGAACGAAGAACAACTTCAGATGTTTATGAAAAGTCTGTGGAATACCCACCATGGGATAGTTGCACATCAGGATTTATATGGGGGAATTGCTTGAAGGCATTCCAATATCACCATATTTGTATGCATGGAAAACTAGCTAAACAATGGGTTGGGGGGGGATATGGTTATTAGGGTTTTGACCTTATTACAGTAAAACAGAACAGTCTCTTATTCCCTCCCACAACCACCGCTGCCCAATTTTCCCCAGCCTGCCCTCATTTCATTGTTCAGGCTCACATGCTCAGAAAAAGGTTAGGATAAATGAGTGCCACTGCTCTGATTGAATCCCAAATTAAAAACTGTTAAACTGGAGAGGGTTTCATCCCTGCATTGTGCTTCCCACTTCTTCTAGTTGTGTAGATATTACTCTTGAGTAACGCCCTTTCAAAAATGCACTCCAAATCTCTTGGAAGCTTGTCTTTTTTTTCTTTTTCTTTTTGTAGTTTATAGGGCAAATCTTCCTAATGCAAGGAGATTTTGATGTGAGAGTGCATTCAAGCAAGGAATCAAGCGCAAGGGAGACTATACCACATGCTGTTTCTTAATTTTGAAATGACTTATTGACTAGTGGGGCCTGGTCTAATAGCAACTGTCTTTTGTTGATCCGCATTCCTCTGGAATTCCATGGTAGCCATAAATGCTCCATACACTTCACAAAGTCGGAGAATTCATTCCTTTGCTTGGAAGTAGAATGACACAATACTTTTACTTATTTGCAAGACTATTTATAAACCCACCTTACATGTGAAAAATATGGCAGTGTGCAATGAAGTCATTAAAACATCATAATATTATAAACGTATTAAGTACAGAACGGTTGACCCACCACTGGATCAAATTAATTCTATAAAAAGCTGTGTCAAAACAATAATGTTTTCAACAACAGGTAATGAAATATAAAAACTGTAGGGGCCTGTTTGATTTCAATAGAAGCGTGTTCTAAAATAATGGTGCCACGATGCTAAAAGTCTCGTTTGCTTAGAAACCGGGTTTAATAAGTAAAAATACTAATATGTAGCAATCATGAGCCTGCTCCTTCAGGAATCTTTTCAGGATTCAGCTTCTATTTATTTGCCCGCATCCATCCCATCACTGACTCCAGACACTGATTCAGGACTTGCACAGCCTCCTCTGATTTAGATGTTACAGAGAAGTAGAGCTGAGTGTCATCAGGTCCCTGGTGACGTCTTGCTCTAAGTCTTCTATTGACTACTCTCAGTAGTTTGTTAAAAGCATTGGGGGGAAAGATGGTACCTTGAGGAACCCCATAGCAGAGGTGCCAGGGGGCAGCCAAATAGTATCTGAAAGCCACGAGTGCCCATCCCAGAGCCAGTCCAGGGTTATACCTGTGATCTCATTACTCCTTGGTCATTTCCTTCAGATGTTACCTGTGTTTGGTTATAGCGCTTCAAACATATCTTAAATTACATTTTCCCCCCTTTAGGAAAGCCACATCCCTAAGCTGATCACTCCTGTAGAAAAGGGAAGAGATTTAGAAGCTCGACTGATAGATTCCTATGTTATCCAGTGCCAAGCTGAAGCACAAGAAGGTACTCCTTAAATTTTTAAGGGCTCTCTCTGGATTTCTTTATATTTTCTCTCCTGGGGAACTCTAGGGTGGAATGTGGTTTGGCATTTTACCTCATACTTGTGGGCTGCCTGTAAGCATTTAGTTGGCTGCTGTGAGGACAGGATGCTAGACTAGATGGGCCTTTGGCCTGATGCAGTGGTGCTGCTTTTATATAGTAATAATGCAAAATCCAGATATTTTAGGGGCATAGGAAGATGCCCCTGGCCAGTATTTGTTCACCTAGCTGAATGTAGTCTGCTCTGACTGGTAGCAGCTCCCAGTGATTTAGAGATGTTTCTCATCACCTGCTACCTCATCCCAATAATTGAATGTTTTTCATCACCTGCTACCTCATCCCAATAATTGGACAATCAAACCTGTAACCTCCATGGAGGACTAATGTCCTTCCTCATAATGGATTTGAAAACATTGGTTATGAAACTCAGTAGATTATTTATTTAACTGATTTTGTCCCTTTGTATCAAGTCAATTAAGGAATATTTCTATTTCTGATCCTTGGAAATGGAAATACTCAATTGCTGGAATACTTAAAAAACAGGATCCAGAGAGGATCTGGTTAGCTTAATGTCTGTTCTGGAAAAACTGCTGGAAATATAGGATTACCAAGCATATAGAAGAACAAGTCTTGCTGAAGTAGTCAGCGTGGCTTCTGTGAGGGTAAATTCTGTCCTTTGGAGTCTTTTGAGAGTGTCAAGAAGAATATAGATAGAGGTGAGCCAGTCATGTACTTAAGACCTTCAAGAGCCTTTGATAAAGTACCTCGCCAAATGCTCCTGAGTAAGCTGAGCAGTAATAGGATAAGAGGAGAGGTTGACAGGGTTACTGCTGACCTCCTCATGTTCTGACATTGCTCTTGACATGGTAATTTCAATTTTCTATTCTGGCTTGAACACCTGTGTCCCCATCCTTTTCATCCTGACATACATGCACAACTATACTAGAACATTATTGTGATCTTTGGTATAATGCCCGTGTTATTAGCTTTGGGGCATCTGTCCAGTTCTATTACTCATGATATCACTTTTGCTAATTTAATTAGCTACATTCAGCCATGAGCAATGTTTGTACCTTTTTTCATTGTGAAATCTGACCTTTCCTGTTTCTACCAGCAGCTATGAATAATTCAGTTTAACTTTAAGATAGCAGAGCCTGGTATTTGAGCGATTTCCTTCAATAATTGGGGCACGGGTCTCAGGGTCTCAAAGTATTTACAAAGTGTATGGTTAAATTGTGGGATTTGCTCCTACAAGATGTAGTGATCACTACCAATTTTGGTGGTTTTTTAAAAAGAGGGTAAGGCTCTGAGTGGCTAGTAGCCGCAACGGCTGTGTTCTATCTCCTTTGTCAGAGGCAGTGTATCTCTGTATACCATATGCTGGGAATTGCAAGTGTGGAGAGTGCTGTTGTTTGTGGGCTTCCCAGAGGCATCTGGTTGGCCACTGTGAGCACAAGATGCTGGACTAAATGTGCCTTTTAGCCTGTTCCTGCAGGGTGCTTCTGTGTTCATTCAGTGCAGCTCAGTTGTGAGAAACATTTTATTTATTTATTTCTGAACAGGACTTCTGTGGCCAATTTTTCACTTATACTTTTAATCACCATCAACTACAGGAAATAGCTTCAGCATATCTATTTTTTGTTTCAGTGACTATTGCCCGAGCTATTGAACTGAAACACAATCCTGGTCTAATAGCTGCTCTGGCCTATGAAACAGCTAATTTCTATCAAAGAGCAGGTATGTCAAAAAGCATTGCTGTATGAATTCTTGATAGCTTCTTAAGCAAGTCCTAAAGTACAGGCTCCTAAGCGTTGAAAGAATACCAAGGAAATATTATGGACAGTAAATGATTTCCATGGCTTTCAGATTTAGCTAAGAAGGGTCTTGGTTTGGGTTAACCATGATTCCAGAAAGTAGACTGACTTGATAATGTTTACCTTTCCCTCTTTATAGCTAACTGGGGCAAGAAACAAACTTAGGTTGAGAACTTAATTGACTTGCTGTAGTTTTCTCCAAATAAGTGAGGTGTATCTTGCAACCATACATATTAAAGACAGTTTCCAGAGTAACTAGAGCTTTCATACCAAATTAGTGTCTCAGCAGTCACAGTAAGGCTTTGTGAATAGACTGCTATTGTAAATGTAATGCTGTCTTCTCCTTCCAGATCAAATGTTATCCAGTCTGGACCCAGCATATACAACCAAGTGGCGAAAATACCTTCAGCTGAAGTCATGTTTCTATATGGCCTATGTGAGTGCTCTGACACTGTTTATAAACATTTCAAGAAGATCTCCAAAGGGCCATAAAATACTAGCATAGAATGCAATCAAAGCTTTTTGTTCTATTTAAAGCAGTACTTTTCAGGAAGAGTATATTTTTGATAGGATGCTCTTAAATTTCCTATAATATATCAGGCCCAGCATCTTGTCCCCACAGCAGTAATCCATTACCAGTACGATTCTGCTGCAATGGACAGTGACAATTGCGTACTGTCTCAAATAAAGATGTGCGTTGTGAACGAGAGCAGAAATGCACTTCGTACATATTCTCCTTTTTTGCTCCCCGGTTGGATTGTTGGTGATGCTTCCCAGGTCATGATTCTGCTGCTCTTCTGCCTCAACCCTTGAAGCAAGTGGCATTTTAATGTTGCTCCACAGCATGTCATAATTCAGGGGTCAGCAAACTTTTTCAGCAGGGGGCTGGTCCACTGCCTCTCAGACCTTGTGGGGGGCTGGACTATATTTTGAAAAAAAATAATGAATGAATTCCTATGCCCCACAAATATCCCAGAGATGCATTTTAAATAAAAGGGCACATTCTGCTCATGTAAAAACACGCTGATTCCTGGACCGTCTGCGGTCCAGATTTAGAAGGCGATTGGGCTGGATCCAGCCCCCAGGCCTTAGCTTGCCTAACCATGTTTAACAAATGTATTCTTTCACCAGGCCTACTGCTACCATGGTCAAACACTCCTGGCCGGTGACAAATGTGGAGAAGCTATTAGGTCTTTGCAGGAATCAGAAAAATGTATGTATGGTGGTTTTAAAAAAATCTTTTAAACTTGTTCATAAATAATCTGGAGTTAAGGGTGAACAATAATGAGGTGGCCAGGCTTTCACAGATGATGCCAAATTATTCAGATGGTAAAAACAAATCTTGGGAAGAGCTCCAAAAAGTTTTCTCCAAGCTGGGTGAATGGACATTAAAATGGTAAAATGCATTGTTAGCATTTAGCTCCATGAAAGTGTCAGCACAGGGTTTGGCGTCTGTGAGAAATGCAGATTCCCCGTTGGGGATCATTAGGAAAGGGATAAAAAACAAAGCTGTTAACACAATAATGCCTGCATACAAATGTTTGGTGTGACTACACTTGGAATATTGTTTCCCATTCTGATCACTCACCTCTAAAAGACGTGTTAGAGGTGGGAAAGGTCCCAAACAGGGCAACCAAAAAGAGCAGCAGGAGCAATGATTACAATGTTTGGCGCTGCTGCTGTGTCTTAACATGAGGGGACATAATAGAGGTTATAAAGTTATGCATGGTGAGGAGAAAGCAGATAGAGAGATGATGTTCTCCTTCTGTTGTAATACTAAAGCTGGGAGCCATTCAATGATGCTGAATATTGAAGATTTCAGGACTGACTAAAGAAATTACTATTTTATACAGCACACAGTTAAACTATGGAATTTGTTTCTACAACATGTGATGGTCACCACTTCTGATGACTTTAAAATAAGTTAAGACAAATTGGAAATGGAGGAAATGGCTACTGGTGACAATAGTGGGAGAGAGCTATTGTCCTCCTGGCATCTGGTTGGCCACTGAGAAATGGAATGTTAGACAAGGTGTAGCCTTGGGTCAGATCAAGCAGGTCTGCTCTTACATTCTTTTGTACCTTGTTCCTCCCTTCTGGAAAATATGGGATTTTACCTTCTATTTACCAGACATCAAAACATCCAAAGTCTTGCTCATAAATGCAGAGAATCAGAGTGTCACCTAAATCTCCCTCAGAACATTCTTAATAGGTCTGGGACTTGCTATGGTAAATATTCCTGTGCCAAAGTGATAGGTGCAGAGAAATCATTAGTCTAGGAAAGACTGCACTGTACCTGAGCATAATTGTAACATAAGTGTTTGCTGAAAGTATTTTCCACAAAGATATGATAGTCAGATTTGGTATCTGCTAATCGTCTATATGAGATTCTGCTTTAAAAAAGCTTAGAACGATTTACATAGGGGGAAATGCAATGGTTGTTGTAGTCTGGTTTTTGCCAATGTAGAACAATCAGCAAAAGTAAAAAAAGCAACCGTCTCACTTTGTGACTGTTCAGCTTGTTGTCATTTTCCAAGTACATGTCATCGTTCTATAAAGTGTAAATCATGTCCATGATTGTGTTCTCAGTATTTCAAATCTCCTTTCAGGTGAAAACAGTAGATTGTCCAGCTTTTACAAAGAGGAATAATTAAAGAGCATGCTCTCACTTGTTGTTTTCTTGTTCAGTTTTTGCCAAGGCTGAAGCTTTGTGCAAAGAATATGGTGAAACCAAAGGTCCTGGAACTACAGCTAAGCCTTCCGGCCACCTCTTCTTTCGGAAACTGGGAACTCTGGTGAAAAATACCTTAGAAAAATGCCAGCGAGAGAATGGATTCATGTAAGTTTGTTACGTCTCTTCTGTGCTTTCAACAAATACTTGCATGGTTTTTAAGTGATCTTGCTTGTTGTTTTTTGAAATACAGTAACAGCCAAATAAGCCAAAAACATATTAACTAAGAAGTCGATCTTGCTGAGTTCTGTGGGAAATAATTAGTACTAATGGGTGCACATGAACGTGTGAAGATTGGCAGCCATTTTGTATGGCTGAGAGTAATGACGTTAAAGGCCACTAGCAGATGATATTCTTTCATACTTCATTCTCTAGTTAAAGAAGGAATTGGCAGGGCATGACTTTTATCCATTTCCCAATTATAACAAAACTTCAGCAATAAAATAAGCAGCCTGAAGTGCTTGGGAAATCTTCATTCCAGGATTCTTTTTGGGTTGTGCTCCTGTGTTGAAGACCTTAAATACGGGACAGCCAGTGAAGAACTGGATGTGGCCAGTGGGTGAGATCATTATCTCCCCTGCTCCTCACAGGCCATATTTGGCAAGTAGGCAGAGCAGCCCACCTGGTGTCACAGTGGTTCCAATTGACCTTTTCGACCCACAGGAGTGTTCAGAAGCCCCTTTTCAAAGTACAGTGGTACCTCAGGTTACAAACGCTTGGGGTTACAAACTCAGCTAACCTGGAAGTAGTACCTCGGGTTGAGAAATTTGCCCCAGGATGAGAATGGAAATTGCGCGCCGGTGGCAGCGGGAGGCCCCATTACAGAAAGCGCGCCTCAGGTTAAGAACTGTTTCGGGTTAAGAACGGACCTCCGGAACGAATTAAGTTTGTAATCCGAGGTACCACTGTACTGCCTTGCCCAGTGCTTTGAAAGGGACTTGTGAAGATCTGGCATCCAGCTGATGATTGGATCTTCAAGAGCCCCTTTCAGAGTGCTGCCTCACTCGGTGCTTAACATAGTGCTTTACAGCATAGCTGATTGGCAGGGCCTGCAAACCTTTCAGCTGAGCCAGATTTATACTTGCCCCACACCTGACATTTATGGTGTCAGGTGTAGGTCAGTAGGCATAGCTTGGCAGAAATGGCTTGGTGGGCCAAAGGATGCTGCACAGGCCTAATTATTCCTTTGGGCCGAGGTTCCCCACCCCGATATAGGAATGAATGTGCAGACTGTGAGGTGTGTTTGTTTAAATTGTGGCCACTGCCTTGTGGCACGAATCCCGAGTCAAGAACGAGGAGGTTGCTAAGATTCAACCTGGTGGTGTGTTTTTTTCAGTTACTTCCAGAAGATTCCCCCAGAGGCTCCCCAGCTGGAGCTGAAGGCAAACTATGGTCTGGTTGAGCCGATTGCTTTTGAGTTCCCTGCTTTGCATGCACACTGGACTTCAGAAGCCCTTTCTGCGTTTGATCTCACCAAAAGGCCAAAGGAGGACAGTGTAAGCAATTCATGCTGCTTTTTCCAACTTGAGTTACCTTTTGCATCAGCATCACTTTGCATTCTTGCTTTGTAGAGGAAGAATGGTGTTGATAGATATTAGTGCTGTGAAAGCATTGGATTTCGGTGTCTTGGATATCTTTGCCTTGTTCCAACGGCTCCCTGCACAAAATGTTACTCCCTTGAAAAGCTTTCAAAATATGCCTTGGTTGAGACCACTATTGAATAATATGCAGCTGCAGTTTTATAGTACCTGAAGAACTGGCCTAAATTTAGAGTGCCTTCTGCATTCTTGTGTACCAGATTCAAAAAACAAAAACCTGAGTAATCTAGCCCTGTTTTGGCATTTGTGTTGCTCTTGTGAAAAGAGCAGGGGAAAGGTTGGGGCTCTATCAAGTCCTGTTTTCTGTTTACTGCCCTCCACAAGTTGGAGAATGAAGATCCACAAGAAGTGGAGGCTCCCCACTTCAAAACCTTTACCCTCAAACTTATAGACTGAAGCTGACTCACTGGAAGCAACAGGCATTAATAGCAATGCCTCCCCCGCAAGGTCTCCATCTTGTGGCTGTTTTCATGTGGTGAATATAAATGCACAAATGGGGCTTATTTGTCTCTTGATTCTGAAAGCCACATTGCTTAAATCTGTATTTAAAAGAAAAACAAAAAAAATTGCTCTCCAGTAACACCATTTTCTCCTTTTTATTTGTAGGCTAAACCAAAACCAGAGGAGGAAGTGAAACCTGTGAAAGAACCAGATATAAAACCTCAAAAAGACACTGGGTGCCAGATCTCTTAAATGCTTTGAAATAGCCCTTGTGAGCTGCATTTTGTGAACTCTGGGTTTTTTTATCATCTACCTTGTTTTCTGGACTTTCTCATCCTACAAAGGAATTCACTGCTTTTCGAGTTTTTATAGATACTTTTCTTTTAAGCTCCCTTTCGGAAGAATTAAGCGATTAAAATTGGAATTGTCATAAATGTACCCTTCTCAGCATAGAAAGTGAGTGTTTAGATGAATTTGCACTGGAATATGGAATAAATGATAGTGAATACAAGAGATGAAACAGAAGCAGGTGAGTCTTGGGAGAGGCAGTATTTTGCGACGGAGGAAGACTGAACAGGAGGAAATTTTGTAGAAGCTTTAAGGTGGCATGTAAAAGAGCTGACTGAAAATACGAAAGTCAAGGAACATTTTTAAAAGGTAGGACAAATTCATAGCACTGATTTTTAAGAGCAAGGATGTTAAGTTGAGGCAATGGAGACTTCTAGGGGAATCAAAGTAATAATCTATTTAAAGAAATGGTATGAAAATATAGTGCCTCGCCTTGCTAAGGGAATAGAACATTTTAGCTCGTGTAATTTTCACCCTGGCAGGAATACAACTGATGCCATGTTGGCACTTCAAATACAGCAAGTGAAATACATGTAAAATATGCTTTTGGAAGGTATTTGACCTTGAAGTCCTTTGACAGAAACAAAACGTCTTATTTTGGTCATGCTTGGGGAAGAGAGATTATAGGAACATACCGTATTTTTTGCACCATAACACTCACTTTTTCCCTCCTAGAAAGTAAGGGGAAATGTCTGTGCATGTTATGGAGCGAATGCCTACGGGTGGCAGGGGGGATCTGCTGCAGTTTTGAGCAGAGGATCCATGGTTCCCTTCCTTCCCTCCTCCATGGCTCGCTTTGAAACAGCAAAGCGGGAGAAGAGCCGCTGAGTGGGGAGGAGAGAGGGACAGAGAGCCTGCTTGCTTTAAAGGAGCAAAGCAGGAGAGGAGAGGAGTCCGGTTGGCTCCTTTAAAGCAAGCAGGCTCTCCGTCCCTCTCTCCTCCCCACTCAGCTCGCTAAATAGCATTATTAGCAGCATCCTTCTCCACACACTCCATGCGTGCTCCTTGTCCCTTGAGTGCTTTTCCTTCCCTCCCCACTTAAAACGTAGTTACAAAGCACGGATCCACATGGATCCTCAGGATTTTTGCACTGGGTCACCCCAAATTCACCATCAGATCACATAGCATGTCCATGGCTACATCTTGCACCAAAAAAATCACGCACCCACTGTTGCCTGGGGTCGCAGTGGTGCAAAAACGTGGTTACAAAGCATGGATCCACATGGATCCTCAGGATTTTTGCATTGGGCTACTCCAAACTCACTGTCAGATCACATGTCTGTGGCCACAGCATGAACCACAAAAATCATACATCCACTGTTTCGTTTAGAATATTTTTTTTCTTGTTTTCCTCCTCTAAAAACTACGTGTGTGTGATGGTCTGGTGCGTGTTATAGAGCGAAAAATACGGTATGTTAAGCAAGATTTAGCCTTTGCACCAAAAGGGCTAAACAGAAGCAAAACTTTTACAGAAGGACTATGCAACTCTTAATTGAATGCAGAGCTGCCATGGATAAATATCAAGCTGCTCTGTTGTGTTAAAAAAAAATCTACCCACTCCAGAGTCTAGTAAATAACACATTATGGGGAAGGCCTGAAGATAATGGCAGATCTGTGTAGTAAATATGAAGAGGATTCATGTTAAGTATTCGATATTTGTGCCAACTGCTGTTATCAGAAATGGGGTAAAATCAATTTAAAAGGTTATTGTAAGTGTAGAGAAAGGATGAAGGAGAAACAAAATTGTGGAGTTATGGGAGTTGCAACCAGATAAGACTAATAGAATGGAAAAGCAGAATCAAAACGTGTCATGGTGGATAGGGATGGTGTTTGTGGAATAGAGTGGCTGTACTGATTCCGTTCAGAGACCTGGACTGCGTCTAGACACATCAAAAAAGTGTTTCAGTTAAATGAGTTGTAAATTTAAACAGGGAAAACAGGTAGAGAAAAACGAGACTCCACATCGCCATCTGGTGGCACAATGTTATATCGCATATACAACGCATATAAATCGCCTTTTCGTTACCAATCTGACTGAGGCCCTGGTTGTGGATAACCAGCAGATTTCAAAGATCTAGAATTGTGACCTGGAAAACAAAGAAATGTTGACTCTTGAGAGCCAAGGCAAAAGAATGTTGCTGTATGTGAGCTACTTGGATTACGCTATGGGAAACTAGTAGAATTTGGTTTGCAGAACATTGCTTTGAAAGAAAAACGTCCTGTAAAAACAACTACCGTTAACACACGATTGGGAAAATTGCTGATGCTGCCTGCAATTGAATTTGTATATATTTGTATAAACAGAGTCCTCAGTAGATTACTCTGGCTCGCTACCTGTATTTGGAGAAAGTAAGGTAATTTAATGCAGTGTGGTATCAGCTTGGCTGGACTCACCAAAGCCTAAAAACACCTTTAAGATGTGACATGCTACTGTGCTCACGCCCTCCTTGTGGGCTTCCCATATTCACCTGGTAAGGATGGAACGCTAGACTGAATGGACTTTTTTCTGGATCCAGCAGGGCTCCTTTTATTATTTGTGCCAGCTGTGCCAGTACAGGTCCGGACCCTTCTCTTCCATCAAAATTTAAAATCATCCAGTGGTTTAGGATGTCTTCCTCCTGCCTTACATCACACTGGATGAAAGAATAGTGTTCTGATGTATGGAAACATATATGAATATGCTCCATGCACTGAGAAGTTCATGGCATATGTAAAAGACTGGGAGGATGTCCAGCCAGGGATTAGTAGGGATCAGATAAGCCTGAACGGCTTAACAAATCTTTGGAATGTATTGTGCTACGGAACTGTAGATTATGTTCTTATTAGGGGTTCTGGTCAGTAACCTTAAATTAACCAGTTTGTAAAATGTAGTTAATGAACACTTAGGAGTTGGCAAACAACCTGCCCCCAAGGCTTAGAAAATAAGTTTCATAGCTCAGTCCTGGTTGTATGTATTCAGAGATAAACAGTCAGTTATTTCAGTGGAGCTTAACTCACATATAAGTGCTGCCTTTGCGTGCTTTCACTTACCATCCATATTTCTCATGCTCTTATTTATTCCATAACCTTTTCCTTGCATCAGGTGGGTCCCCCCCCCAACCACATGCCTGCAGGTTCAGCCACCTGTAGTTCTCAACCAGCAGTGTAAGAAGTTTTGGCTGCATGTTCTTACTCTTGTTCATCCCCTTATCTTTGGTTGCTCTGAAGCTGCCACTAATTACAGCACAAAGCGCTTTGTGTGCTCAGGGTTGTGATTCCCAGCCCAGTACTCCAGCTTGTAGTGGATGCCCTTGTATGTTACATACATTAGTATGTACACCACTTTTTCATCTCTTGAGTTTTTCTTCCAACTCTGCTTCTTTCCTGCTGCCCTCGCTCCCTTTCTGACCGCACATTCCCGACTGGTAAGATCTTCCTGAAGCTATTGGAGGAATAGGTGTGACATGACGGGTTAAAAGTCTTCAGTACACAAGCCAGTTTTAAATTAAATAGAAATGTGTGATTCCAGTGGGCTTATCGGCACTGTCCTCTCTTTTGCTCTTTCCAGGCACAGCCCACACTTTAAGACTCTGTGTCTGAGCATCCTTTTTTGTGCCTCCAGGGTTTTCCCTGTGAAAATCTGTTCTTTAAAGCTCAGTCGGAGCAAGCAGCAATCCACAGAAAATCTGAACTGATGATTTGGTGGGGCAAAAAGCTCCCAACAACCAATGCTTAGACATGGGGCTTTTAAGTGTATTCCTGTGCCTGGAAAGAGCAGGACAGAAGGTAAGGTTGGCTAAACCCTCTGGCTTGTTGGTGCGTTTCTGATGTTGAAAAGGCACTGCTTCAAATCTGTGGAAATGTTAGCTGGCGCTGCAAGATGCTTTGAAGAATATACTGATTTTTGTACCGGTCACTAATGAGGCAGCATGTTAGTGAGCGTATTTGCAGATTTGGGATTCCAAAATTATCCTTGGCAGTAAAAAAACATTCCGTTTATTTTTAGAACAGCTGTGTTTATGTATTTAAGGTTTCCTAGTGTACATGTTTGCACACTCGCATACAAAAACACATGCTGAAAGTTCCTGATTGCTTTTTTGTAGTTGGGGAAACTTTACTCTTTACGTCTTGCCATTACTGGAATGCTGGTTGAGATCTGTATCAAGAGGGAATTAACAGATCTTCCTGGCCTCTTTCCCAAGCTTGGGTGGCCTTTGACTGCATATCAAGAATGTGGTATGAATGGAAATGAATCAACATGCTCTTGGATTTCTGTTTGCCTTTTACCATTATTTTGACTCGGATGTCATGTAGTATATATAATTATGTATATAATTAATGAAAACAGGGCATGATCTTTTTACACTCCAGTGTATATAGATTTCTCTTTTGTAATTGTGACATTTTTCTCTTGAAGGATAAGCTATTCAGTATCTGTATGCATTCCCTACATTTAATACTTCTGATTTGCCTCTTCGGTTTGCTCCCCTGCTTGCCATAACATTCTTAAGAGAAGCTGGTTGGGACTTTATGGACGAATGAATTGCTTAACATGCAAGCTGAACATTTTCATATTATTTTCTGAATGTTGGGCTGCTTTTCCTTATGCACTCATAATTAAAATGTATCTGATGGAAAATGTAGCAATTGATTTTAAAACACTGCTATGTAAAAGCACCATGGAGCTGTAGGAATAATAAAATGCCTAGCATGTTCACAGCTTGTAGGCTGCGAGTGTTAATTTTTCAGCAGATCCCTGATGTCGCAGTGGGACCACGTAACCCCTCTGAATACCTTTTGGCTTAGCTGCTCTGATGTTGCTGGTGCACTGGGAAGGCTCCCCAGCCTCAAGGAAATTTTGGTGGGAGCTGCTACCTCGTATGACAACAGAGACCCACTAAAGCCAAAGGAGTGTCTCCACCCCATCATTCACCCCATCCTGCTCCAAGTGCCAACTGGCAGTTCCCTCACTGTGAGAAGCAAAGTTACAGGGAACCAGGCAGAGGGCCTTCTCAGTAGTGGCACCCACCCTGCAGATGACAAAGAGATAAACAACTATACAACCTTCTGAAGGGAGCCCTGTAGGGAGAAGCTTTTAATGTTTGATATTTTGTTTTGTCCCTTTATATTTTCTGGGAAGCCACCAGAGTGATTGGGGCAACCCGGTCAGATGGGCGGGGTATAAGTAATAAATTATTATTATTATGGCAGGAAATACAGCCCGGATAATTGATTTTCCTTACTGTTCTTACATTTCCATCCCACCTTTCCTCCAAGGAGTTCAAGGTGGTGTACGTAGCTCTCCCCTCCCCATTTTATCCTTTCAACATCCCTATAAAGTAGGATAGGCTGAGAGTCAGTAAGTGGCCCAAGGTGACCCAGGTGAGTGGGAATTATACTCCGGTCTTCCATGTCCTAGTCCAACATTATCCACTCTGCTATGTAAATTCTTTTCCTGTACCAGATTTTGAATGTGACACTATTTTCTTGTAAACCACTTTTAGATATGCTCTGGGCGTTAAAGTGGACTGTACAAATTATATATACTTTTACATGAACTGAGAGTAATGCAAGGTTTAAGAGACTTTACAGAACTTGGGATACTAGTGTTAAAACCATTTTTATTAAACCAGATATATAAATTTGTCAGCATGATATGGCCTTTAATAAAAAAGAACTGCATAAACTGCAGTTTCAGCAAACAATATGCTATGATAAACGGTATGCCTGAAATCTCCTCTGACTGTTTTCTGTTTTATTTTAGCTCACAGGAAATAGCTAGCTTTGTTAGAGACATGCCACCCTAAAAGCTTAATTTCCGCTTTGGATATCTTGGACAAATCAGTAGGATTATTGGTTTTCAATGAAGAAACACTAAAGCAGCATGTGTTACACCCAAGTTTTCATTGAGCGTGCAGTGCTCGAGCTCAAAAGATTAGTATGTATCATAGCTAAGCATTTTTGTCTAAGCATGTGAGAACCTGCACTGAGGCCAAAGGTACTTGATTCCTTTAATTTAAAAAAAATCTGCTTGTGTCCCGATGAATCCTGTGATACAGCCTTACACACAGCTGGATATTAATGTATTGTTGCAAAGACAACTCTGCACTTAAGAATTGTGATGCTGCTTATAATTTTGTGAATTATCACATGCTACTTGTACTGGTCAAGATACTATAAGTAGAAGATTGACTACTGTAACCTACCTGATTACTTGAGCTAGGCCAGATTACAAACCAATGTTGAATTATTCTTGCAAGGTTGCCTGTTACCTGATTGGTTCACAGTCTCTGTTAGCCTCCGCTTATCTCAAGGCTTAACCCCAGGCAGGGGAAACGACAGGCTTTTTTACAGCAAGCTGTTATGGGGTTGTGTGTGCGAATTCTTCCATATCCTTCTGGTGCTCGCTCTTTTTGGTGCCTAAAAGTTTATATGTCAAGTCTCCTTGTGAAATAAGCAACTAGCTTTCATGCAAAGGCTCTTCTGTCATTCATCCTTTGTAAACACTTGATGACATCCCAGCAGCCCAGCGCCAACCAAAGTACCAATGTTGCAACCCCATAGTTCAACCATGGTATAGCAGCTGTTAACGGCTGCCAATTCAAATGGCTTTTAAAAAGCAGGAGACAAATTCATGGACGATAAGGTTATCGATGGCTACTACTAACCCTGATGTCTATGTTCAGTCTCAACTATCAGAGACAGCAATGCTTCTGAATACCAGTTGCTGGAAGCCACAGAAGAGGGGACTGTTCTTGTGCTAGGGTCCTGCTTGTGAGAATAGGATGGTGGACTAGAGAGGCCACTGGCCTGATCCAGCAGGCTTTTCTTGTGTTATTAAACTAAGGTGCTTCCCTGTACAGTGGTACCTCGGGTTACAGACGCTTCAGGTTACAGACTCCGCTAACCCAGAAATAGTGCCTCAGGTTAAGAACTTTACCTCAGGATGAGAACAGAAATAGTGCAACAGCGGCACAGCAGCAGCAGGAGGCCCCATTAGCTAAAGTGGTGCTTCAGGTTAAGAACAGTTTCAGGTTAAGAACGGACCTCCAGAATGAATTAAGTTCTTAACCTGAGGTACCACTGTATATTATAGTGTCTTAAGACTACAAGCTTGAGCTGGGACATCTCCCAGGTTAAATTTGTCTCGCCTATTAACTCCCTACATGACTTAGGCAAGCCAGTATCTTTCAGTAGGGTGGTCAGAGGCAAAGCAATCATGTGGAAACTGGAATATCAGCAGCAGCAGCAACTTGTCCTGCCCACACATCCCATAATGTGCCTTCATAGTTTCCCATGCGGCACAAGTCTTATTTGCAACTGGCTGCCCCATCTCTTAACCTCTGCCCCTTTGCGATATGCAAAGAATCTACTACCTCTGCTTTTTTCAGCCTTGCCCTCAACCAGATGTTGATGGACTACAACTCCCATCATCCCTGACTGCTGGCCCTTTTCTCTAGGGATGATGGGAGTTGTAGTCCAACAGCATTTGGGGACCCAAAGTGGAGAAAGCCGGGCCTACCTTATAGGACTGTTGTTAGGACTACTGACAGTGATTGACTATGAATAATTCTGAATACCTTGGTACACTATAAATTAAAACCTATTACCAGACTGAATCAGAGTTGGACAGAATCAGTCAAGCTTTGGAGAAGTTAAACTCAAAATAAATATCCCCTTACCTAGTCTGATTATGCCTTATTCTTTGCTATGCATACGACAAAAGCTTCTGATTAAAAAACGAGATAATGGCTTGTTCAAGTCGGTTCTGTCGGGAATCCGCAGCATAGCTAGAAGACCTGAGATTGCTACGTGTAACTTCCTAACACGTGGCACTTTCGCAAAACAAGCAGTAGGTGGCGCGGCATCCCAGGTCACAAGCGGCTTCTCTCCATTCAACAAAGGTGTGGCGTTGATTCTGGCTGGTTAACTGCTGGGAAAGAGCAAATACCACTGTGACTTTTAACCTCGTTAAACATTTTGAGGGAGGGAGGGCATCAAAAAGGAGGTGCTGAAAATGAATCCCTAAAACTAGATTTGGAAAAAAGAAATTGCAGATTTGGCAGCCTCCTAAACTATTATTGTTGCAGGTACTTGTTCCTCTTGGCTCTCCACCTCTCTGTTGCAATCATTTAGATCTGCATGACAGAAAAAGGAAGAAAAAAGCCCAGCCCACAATTCAAATACAGCCAGCCCTTTTTATGAGCGCAATTCCTTCCTGAAGCAGCTCTGCTTTTCCTGGCTGGTGTCTTCAGTTATGAGCTGCTAATGTTCCCAAAAGAGGAGGAGGCCCAGTTATGTTTTCTTGTTTTCCTCCCAACTTCTTCAGCATTTTAGTCAGATTTTCATTTCTGTGATGGAAGGGAGCCAAGGGATTCTGAAGGTGAGTGACTATTGTGGGTTTTTAATAGATCTTTAGCAATAGCTGCCTATTATAATTCCTCGCACACGGCAGCAGAGAAAATCCTTTGAACCTGCTTTTAACTCCCCTGGTGTTTGTCACAGTAGCTGGGAGATAATGGAGCGGTAAACAAAATTTTCTGCTCCAGAGCTAGATATGTTTTTAGCACGATCCCCTGATGCATTGTAAAATATGTGTGCAAAATATTTTAAGTGCACTATATGATTTTATGGACTGTGCTGAAGCCCTGAGGTCTTCATAATCAACACATATAGACTCTCATATTTTGTACTTTATCTGTCTGAGAAGACAAACACTTTCCCTCTAGCTAAGCACAAATTTAAAACAACTCAGGCACGTCATGGGGGTGTGTTTGTATGTCCTGAACTTCTTCCCTGTTATCCTAGAATAGGGGTAGCCAACATGGCGTCCTCTAGATATTGTTGGACTCCAACTCCCATCATCCTCAGCCAGTATAGCTGGTAGTCAGGGATGATGGCAGTTGTAGTTCAACATCTGGAGAACTCGTACCCTAGAATCAAGCCTGCTCTTGTCTTCATAGCTCTGCTTGGTTTTTAGTTTCCTGGTCACTCTAAAAGTGTGGCCAAAAGTTGCAAAGAGTGCAATGGAATGTTAAGTAGATTCCATATTTGTATATGATATATACACAGAGGATATGTGCAGTGCACAACCTTATTACCAACTCACCGTGAGCGAAATAAAAATAATGATGCATATGGATGCTCCCACAATTTTCCTAAAATTGTCTCAGCTGATCACCATCTTTCTGATGAGCAGGAAGAAGAAAATGGTGGCAAACAGCCAGGAGATGAAGGTTCAAAGGGGGGAAAACCTCCAAGGAGGATTATTCATTTTACAAGTGGTGAAACGATGGAAGAATACAGTACAGAGGAAGAAGATATGGAGGAAAGCGACCACAATCCACTTCCTGACACTGTGAGAATGTTTTTAAAAACAGCAAATTTGTATATAACCTTACATTTAAAAAAAATACTCCCAGGGCAGCTAGTAACACAAAACAAAAAGCAATTAAAATAAATGTATCTAATTTCCCACTGCATACACACTATATCTTTAAAGCACAATCCACACCCACCCATCCCCCGCAAAGAATTCTGGGCACTGTCGTTTGTTTAAGGTTGCTGGGAATTGTAACAACAGCGCCCATAATTCTTGACAAAAATAATGTGCTTTGAATGTGCTTGAAAAGCAATATACGTGCACAGCATATGACATCAGGTAATTTAAAATCTCAGTAGAGCCGATAATGACCATCAGTTGGTCTTAATGTGCTGGAAG